TCGCTGCTGCTGCTGCTGCTGCTAGAGGCCTTCTTGACGACGGCCTTGGCCGCCGGCGGCGCGGGAGCCGGCTCGGGCTTGGGCTCCTCCTTGGGCTTGGTGTCGAGCGAGCCGACCTGCAGCTTGGCCTTGTACTTCTTGAGGATGCCCTCGTTGTGGTATTTCCAGAACTGCTTGGAGGCGTCCTTGCCGGCGACGCGCTGCAGGATCTTCTTGCCGCCTGCGACGCAATCCAACGGTTAGATCTCACAGTCGCGGAAGAGGAAGAAAAAAACAAGATGGGGGGGAAGATGCGCACCAGGGTGATCGTCCTGGAACTTGGTCAGATCGTAGACATCGCCGTCAATGGTAATGTACAAGCTGTCGGGCTTGTTATGCGACGCCACGTCGCCGGCTGTGAATATCTTGGCCATGGCTGGTGTGTTGGGGTATACTCCGTCAAATCAACAGTCGGCCGGAACGGAAATGAGATCCAGGGAGAAATAATCAGAAGGAAACGGGGTTGAAGAGGACGAAGAAGAAGGTGAAGAAGGAAGTGAGAAGAAGAAGAAGAGAGAGAAGCCAAAGGGAAGGGTGACACGAACAACTGCGATGGTGCCCCCCCCATAAATCCCCATTCGGCAAATCCTCAATCACATGCTCGGCCTCGAAGGGATTTGCTGGCTCGGGAAGTCCCTCCAACAGGCCAGCCCGCCAACATGTGGCATCCAGCAGGTTAAGGTAATCAATCTCCAGCCAGCCACTAACCCTCATTCAAGACAAATCGGACTCGCTGGCCTGTCATGTCGCGTCCTGCAAGCCAAGGTCCGCATGGTCATTCCCCCACAAAAAGGGGACCGGCAACCATCTCCAACAAACTCCACACAATGCGACTGTGCCGACGAGGACGAGCCTATCCCGGTCCGTCGAATGCTAATGCACCCAAGCCAACCTCGTCCTCATTAGAAGTAGTAGTACCAACTATCTAACAGCCAACTTGGTTATCCTGTCATGTGTCAAATGAATCAAACGCCTCATCACCCCCAAACCCTGAAAGCACAGCATGTGAAGAATGCAAGTATCAATTACATACAACTACCTATACTCGTACCGTCCCGGAAACCGCTGATGTCATGCCGACCCCCAACCCCCCCGACACTGCCGCGGGAAAACACACCACATGGGAGATGCCGAGGCACAACACGTCCCCAAGAATTCCGTCCCCAGTCCGCCTCGCCCCCGAAGCCCCAGATTGTTCCCCGTCTCTCCGTTCCTGTAAGTATGCATTACTAGTAGTAATAATATCTTTGCTTGCATTGGATGTCTCCCACATGTCCATACTAGTTCAGGGGAGCGTGTGCCTTTCTTCCCTATACATATAATCATGACTGTGTGTGTAAATGTCGGTTTTGGGAAAAGTCGTTCCTGGCATGAGGCGCAAAGACGGGGATGATGATGATGATGGCATGCATCCCGCATCGAGAAACTGCAGGTCATCCCCAAACAGACAACTTCACCTAAACAAACTCCAACCTTGTCTAGTCGTTAGAGCATCCCTCGCCAACATCACAAAATTGGCGGCACATCGCTTCGTTTCTCAATTCCTCATCAGATCAGAGCCCCTTTGCCCCGTAGAACTTCCTTCTTCTGTCTCACTACCGTAAAAGAACAAAGACGTAAAATCCTCCCCTGAGCGCCCAAAACTCCGTCCATGATGCCTCAAAAGCAAAGCCGATCCATGCACATGTGCCCGCCATCCCCTCAGGCCAGTCATCAATACCCACGCCCTCGACATTTCCGCCCACAAGCAAGATGATTCTTTGAAGCGCACATCTCCAAGTTATTGTCATTTCCCCGCCCGCAGTCAGTATCGGATCATGCGCCGCCGCGAGGCTTCGCCTTGGCCGCAGCCTTCTCCTTCTTCTCCTGCTTGAGCTTCTTCTTCTTCTCCTCATTCTTCTCCTCCAGCTTGCGCTTGTGCGCAACCTTCTCCGCCTCCGTCTTGGGCACGGGCTTGAAGAAGCCCTCCAGACGCGCCTGCTGCGAGTTCTTCAGGTTCTTCTCCAGTCGCGCGCCTCCGCTGCGGACGCGGTCCTCGGAGAAGCCCTTCTCGGTGACGAGGAACTGCACCAGTCCGTCAATGTCGGGCTTGTCCCACTTGAAGTCGCAAAGCGGATCGTCCGCCGGGCGCACGTCCGGGTGGAAGAAGAGCTCCCGCGCGTCCTTGTAAGGCCAGTCCTCGGGCAGGGTGTACTTCTTCTTGGGGTCTTTTTCAATCGCCTCGACGACCTTTTCCAAGGTACCGTGTTCTCGAATCAGCTTGAGAGCAGTCGTGGGCCCGACTTTGGGAATTGGGTCGAGATAATCGCAGCCGAGCAGAATGCAGAGGTCGACAAACTATTGGAGAAAGCCAGTGTCAGACGCCCGCATGTAGTAATCATCTAAAGACGACGGTCAAGTTCCTCGGAAACAACTGCATACCTGTTCCCGCTCCATATTCAAGCCCTCCAGGACCTTGTCCAGTCGAATCTCCTGGATAGGCTCTTTCCTCTGCTCACTGAACGTAAGGTGGCGCAGCAAAATCGGCGTGTTGAAGCACAGCGTGTCCATGTCCTCGCTCGCAGCAGCATACACCTTGCCGGCCCTGGCCAGCACCGCGCACTGCGCCTCGGCCTCGGTCGGCGCAATGATATAGGGGATGCCCATGAGCTTGAGCAGGCGCTGGCACTCGGCGTTGTGCTCCCTCGTGACCCGGACCGTCCGCCGGGAGAACTTCTCGACGTCCTCGGCCGTGCCCGTCTCCTTGGCCTCCTCGAGGCCCTCGGTGGCCTCCTGCTTGCGCTGGAAGCGCTTGGCCAGCTCGCCCGACTTGAGCTTGGGCGGCGCGCCGTCGAAGACGTAGAGCGGCTTGATGCCGTTGTCCACCATGCGCAGCGTGCGGTAGAACATGCCCATCAGGTGCGACGTCGTCTCGCCGCTGTCGTTCATGAGCTGCTGGCCGTCGGATCGGACGGCGATGAGGAAGCTGTAGATGCTCATGGAGGCGTCCTAGAAAGAAAGAAACGTCATTAGCAACCGCGACCAAAGCCCTGCAGCGCATCGCATCGGAAGACACACAATGGCGACTTTGCGCCCAAACTGGTTCTTGATCTCGCCCTCCTTGATGGCGTCCGGCGCCTCCTCCTTGACAATCTGGAACAGCTGCTTGATACCCATGGCTGCGGCAGAACGGTGCTACAGCCAGCTCTCCACGATCTCGACGGTTGCAGATGGACAATGAGAGTGAAGAATGAGAGTGAAGCCTGGAAATTGGCAAGGGACAAGTTTTGAACCTTCTGATTGCGCAGGCGAGGTTGTGTGGCTGCCTAAGGTAAGGTAGAGGCTATGGAGCGAGAATGAGAGCGAGGTGGGATTACAGTATTCAAGTTAGCAGCTGGTCGAGGGGACGCGCCGCAAAAAGTGAATGACGCGACCCTTCGCGAAGTTGTACAGCACCTTTAGCTGGGATGTTAAGTGGTTTCCACTTTTCTCTAGGCAGCGCGTCCTTTTTGTATGGGCAACACCAACTGAACTTGGTACTAAGGTACTACTACAAGGGAATTCCCGAGCAACAGCAGTCACGGATACAAAGAGATAGGTAGAACATGAGAGATGGAGACATACAACAGCTCCAACAAGCGTGAGATGTATTACTTTTCTCTTAATGGTAGTGGGGCCAATACGTAAGTGTTGCTAGTCCTCACAGTTGCAGATAGTGTCACGTTCAAAAGAGCCCGGATCCTTCACACCGTTCAGCTCGGCCCCTCACATGCACCAAGCTTCATCATTTCACATCAAGATAGTACACACGCAGCATCGAAATGTCTCGACAGTCACCACCCCCTGGCCAAGGTAACACACGCCCCCCGCCATCTTCAACTGCCAGCAGACCCCTCAAGGCAAGCCATGCTCGCCCCAAGAAGCCGCCAGCCGTGAGCGGACAGCAGATAGCAGGGCATAACTCAGGCCAGGAAAGCAAATGGTCATTTGATACATTCCCTTCCTCTCCCTCCCAGTGTAGATGCCATCGAGTAACAATGTTGATCTACCGCTCGGAATACAGAGCAGTCAAGGATGAGTCTCGCCTTGCGCTCCACCTTGCCGTGCGGAGTTGGCGGCGTCCATTGTTCAGGAGCACCTGTTGCAGTGTCACAAGCATGGAAGCACACATGCACCGCGAGATGATTGACAGACCTCGGATCGAGTTGCGAGCGAAAACTCATAGCCAGGCACAAGCCACATGTCGCTCGGTGCCCAAGTCCTCTAATTAGTTCGGGGGGGGTATCGTACACTGCGTCATCCTGGCGCCTTTCGTAAATGTCTTTTTGGCAATGCCGCTGGTATTCCTGTTCTCATCAGTCACCTGAAAATGTCTAGAAAAAATCAGTCCTCCTCAAAAAACACCTTCTTCCTGCCGCTGCCTCTGTAGTCTTCCAGGTTATTCAAAGCTTGGTCAATCTCCATGATGTCGAGCATCTCCGCCTCCACGTCTCGAGCTGTAAAGTCTGCCGTGACGTCTGCCGCGGCACTCAGGGTATCGGCGAAGCCAAAGCCGGCGCGCGACCGAGTTGTCGGAGTAGGCGCATCCTCCATCTTATCGCCCGCTCCGTTCCCGATGCCAATCCCGTTTCCATCCTGTTCATCCTTGGCAGACGGCTTCAGTCTCAGCGTTCCGGGCTTGACGGTGCTCAAGTTGAAAGACAGGCTCGCCGACCTATCCTGCTTCCCATGAACAATGATGGCTTCTTTGTCAGTCCTCGAAAACAGACGCTTCCTGCGGCTGGCAACAACATCGCCAATCTTCCTTCCCGGCCCGTCCTCTCCCTCGCGCACAATGACAATCCTCGACTCTCCTCGTATCAAGACGTCCACCGGGAGGCCGCCGTCGTCGGGAACGTCCTCATCATTCTTTGACGAGTCCGGAATGAGACCAACTCCGCAACATCTCTCGCCTAGAAGCCCTGTGGCGAGATCGACCAGCTTCAGCATCCTGGTGGGTTGGGCACCGCTGAACAAGTTAACCCCGCCGCCGGACCCTCGTCGAAGCTGCGAGTCCCAAAATCGTAGCACGCCCGGGATGACGCAGACGTGCTCCAAGCCCCCTATCCACAGAGCCAGGCTCTCATCCTGGAGTGCCTTGCCGGGAGTGTAAGGAAGTCCCATCACTTTGACACCACCGTGGACAGCGAACAGGCGATCGACACCAGGGGCGCCAGTCAGGGATGCGGCGGCCTGTTTGCGGGTATGTGGTGTCATGGGTGCAAATTCACTGGCATGCTTGTCTTTCTGCTGAGACGCGACGCTGCGGAGGGAGCCAGTTCCCTCAATGTATCCTGACACGCTGAAGGCGGTCAATGCGGCCCCCTGGACACCCGACTTCAGTTTGTTGGACAGCGCAGCTCCCGACTGCAGTGGCTTCGCGCCTTCAATGTCCCAGATGCCCCACATGCCGTCCGCCAATAGAGCAAAGACTGCCCGGCCGTGTGCTATCCATGCGGCGTCCAATATCGGTTTCCGTGAGGAGGAAGTTTTGGCAAATGGCTGATATAATGAGAGGAGCCACGAGCCTTGGGTGGGAAAGGGGCCCCGGGCGTCGGGTTCGGGGGCCAGCACAGACTGCGCAAAGTCATATATCCTTACAGCATGTGGCGATGACACTGCAAGGAGCTGAGAGGTGTTTGTCGGATTGAACGAGATGCTCGTGAGGGGAGCGGGCAAATATTCGCTCTGAAAGGGCTCCACGGGCCGCTGGGAAAGCGGCTTGCTGTCGAGCGCAATCTCCCACAGGTGTAGAGCACCCGAAGCCTGCCTTGAGAACGCGGCCACCACTGCCCTGGGTGCCTTGCCCGACGAGTCGGAAGATTTTGGGGTGACCATGGTGATGGCCAACCCCTCGCTGCGTTTCGTCTGGCCGCCGAGAAGGGTCAGCGATTCGCCCCAGGCACCGGAGCCAGCTTTTCCAGCCAACAGGTCCGCTCTCAGCTCCGGCCGTGCTTTGCTCTCAGGTGACGGTGGCGTCAGGGGCAGCGTGACGAAATAGGCGTCGTTTGTAGCGCAGGAGACGGCAAAGACCATCTTTTCAGCCAAGATCGGCTCGCCGTTGGAGCCCGCCTCGGCTGCAGAGCATGGTACCAGAGGCATCACAGCGACCTTGAGCACAGCTGTTCCAAAAGCCAGGTCCAGTGTCTGAACGATCTCGGGGTATGGCGTCTTTTCGACCGTGTCTTCGAATTCGGGCTTGTCGACGTAGCCCTGGGGAGCTTGTGACTTAACTGGTCCGTCGTCGTCAGAGTCGATAATCATGACCACGTCGTCGGCCGCCCCGTTTCTTTGCTCCTTCTTGTTTGTCTGCTGCTGTGACGACGCTTCCTTGGCCGCCTTGAACCGCCGACCGCCTCGCCAAACCAAGGTGATGCCGTTGTCATGTCCATAGATGAGGATAGTAGCTCCTTGAGGAGACTGGATGGGGTACGTTTGGACATCATTTACCCGACGCGACAGATTGTAGCTGCGCAGTCATCATGTTAGCTCCGACGATGCCAGCGGGGAGGCGAACATCCCAGCTTCCACACTCACGTAAATTGCGTGTTCTGCGCCGTGCGACGGATCCTAGGCGTAGTTGATGGGCCCATGGCGGAAAGAGAATCGATAGCTGCCACGCACCCTCAGGTGAGAGCGAAGCTGTGAAAGAGCTCGAATCGTCGGCCCTGAACAGTCCTTGCAGAGTGTTTGTGGTCGCGGAAAGAGGGAAAAAAAAGAGGTTCAATGGATGTCGAGATGGGGCGTTTTTGGTACAGGCAGCTCTGTCTTGACGCGACATGCGAAGCAGCAGGTGAAGCTTTGGAAAATCAGAGTCACGTGATGTGCGATTAGCCTCGCCGCTTCTTGGTGGAAAAGGTGCCGACTATCGAGACGTGGAGCTTTTACAGACAGATGAAAAGTAACACAATGATACAATTCAGTCAACGAACTGAATCTCTCAGTGGAGTGGCTATCCAGCATCTTGGCCCATCAGTATCTTCTATAATCATTAGAGATATCTGGACAAATGTTCTACTCTTCGCTATTGTCGCTCCATCTTCTAGTCGTAGGATGACCTTTCATGAATATCCAGTAGCCAGAATATATAAGACGGAGTCACGTTGAGCAGTAAGAGTGAGGACAAGACAAGGCAGCTGGACGGTTATGATAAGGCGCAAGCTACTGCATACTCTATATGGTTTTGACATGACGTGCTTGGTTACTACTATGCGCAATCCCTACATACACAATCCCGCCCAAGTCCGAAAAGAAAGAGGAAGCAAACAACACACGTAGCAACCATATTTTATCTTCTTGTAGCTCCCTCGCCGGCTCTCTCCGTCGCTCTCGATACCGTCCCCTGGCCCTTGCCCTCTCATACATACACCCGAAGCGTCGATCGTGCCAACGACTCGGCCAGTGTCCTTTTCCCCCACGCCAAAACAGGTTTATACACAGGTAGCTCTCCTGTAAATGGGAATTGCAAAGTCGAGAAGAAAAAAAGGAGAAAAAGAAGAAAAATGAAAAAGAGAAACACGCTAGGCTGGATAGACAAAGCGCGCCGTCAAATAGCCTTGCATCTTTCCCCTCTCTTCATAGTGAAGCTGTGAAGATGAGGACCTGATGCCGGTTGCATCCCTCGCTCTCTAATCGCCAAAATTAAGTTGTAAAGGTTCAATCGGACACGTAAGGAGTGGACGGCGTAGGGAAGCCGGGGTATGATGTCGAAGATGGCCAAACTCATTCATTTCCCACCGTATCAAAAAAGTCTATCCCTACGCCACAAGTAAGAGTAAAAAAAGAAACGAAGTCAAAACGCCGCTAGGCCATCGGGCCCTGGGGGTCAACCAAATGGACATGAGCTACCATCCCGATAACGCCGTAAATGCCCATGATTGAAGGAGATTGTTGTGAGTTGAGTAAAGGCAAATTCGCTCGTCGTTAAGTGGATTTATGGCCATTTGCTCATGCGTTGGTGACCTGTCAAGGCGATTAGCTCAATCCAGGAGAATGCTTACAAAGGGGGGCGTTGGGGAAAATAAAACGACATACCCTCAGGATGCGGCGAGAGTAATCCTCATTGTCCGCAATGCTACCATCACTGAGCCTACGGTGGGCCATGATGGGGTCGAGGCGAGAGTCGGTCATCGAAATGCTACCGCTAGTAGAAGGCGGCTTGGAGCCGTTGATGAAGGCATTGACGGCAGCATTCCGGCGATGCTCTTCCTCAATTTCGGCGTTCCGTCTCCGTCTCAAGGTGAAGAAGGCAGCTCCAAGGAGACCGCCGAGGACGACGACGCCCACGACAGTTCCTGCGGCAATGCCGGCGACGTTGGTCTTCTTCTTGGAATCCCCCCCGTCGGTAGGGGTTGGCGTCGCGGACGTGCTGGCAATACCCGAAGGACCAGCGGCGGCTGACGACTTCTCAGCCTCTGAAGTCGTCGTGGAAGTAGAAGACGACGAGGTTGTTGACTTGGGGGGTTCGTAGTAGTCAGGGTTGATGTTGACACCGGTGTTGAAGACGGAGAAATAGCCTGGCTGACCGATCTGACCACAGGCCTCCTTGGGATACGCAGGGCAAGGAAAGGCGCATTTGGAGTCTTCGACCTGGTCGCCCTGGGGAGGATAGACCATTCCGCAAAAGCATTCATCGCCTTGCAGTCCGGAAACAGGCATTTCCTTGGATTTGCAATAATCGTTGCACGAACCGGACGAAACGGTCGTGCTCTTGACTGCAGTTTCATGCGTCATGTTTCCCTTGGAGCTCCAACAGCCCTGCGATCGGTAGGCGTTCGGCACTGGCGGTTGTGATGGCAGCTGGAGGTTGGCTCGGATGACGTGGCTCATCTCGTGAGCTCTAACGGCAGTTGCACCAAGGGCCGTGTAGACTTGAGCGGCGGCCACCAAGGCGCCGGACAGAATTGTTGACGACTTCATGTTGAGATAGCGAGCGTGTGAAGAAGAAGGAAAGTGTCGAAAGAAATCGTCGGTTCAGGAGGGAAAAAGAAAGACAAGAGGCCAACAAAGCGGAGGCCGCTGCTTGGACGCTGACTTGAAACAAGCAAAGGCAAATGAAAGACTAAAAAAACAGTTCGAGCTGGCTCCGCCGGGGAGTCTCTTGTGTTTTCTTTGTGGTCAAGGGATGAAGAAGAGAGACGAGATTTCGGCTTGGGGGGAGAAAAAGAGTCGTCCGATTTGGCGCTGCCTCTATTTGGCCCCGTTGCAAGGTGATTCTGCGTGCTCTAAGAAAGGAGATGTCCTGTTTCGATGGCCAGCTTCGGTGGGATCTTTGCAAGAGGTTGTTGGAGGTGAAGGGCGGCGAGCGAGGCCGGGACTGCTAAACGAGAGGCTCGACGAGACGCCGGTCGGATGGGAAGTGAGCTTTTCTCAAGATGCCAGAGCAAGGCCCGACAGCATCTGACTGCTTGGACCCGATGGGCTTCGAGAGGCGCTGAAGGGAAATCGGTGTTCGTCGGGAGAAGGAGGGACTGGAACGAGCGTCCTGAAGGCGTGACTTGTTTTGTTGAAAGGGAGAGGAGACGAGAAGGAGAAACAGATTTGGGGGGGCAGGACTGGGGGGGTGGCCGGTTGGATGGGCGAGAGGCAGAGGCAGAGGCAGCGAGAAGGCAGTGGAGCGAGGAGCAGAGGCAGCAGGAGCAGACGGGCGGTACGTACCGGGCACGGTGGGATCAGGGAGCCGGGATTAGGGCAGTTGGTGTGGTTAAGGGGAAATTAGTGTGTGCTGGCGGGTGCGGTTGTGGCCCAGGGACCAGAGCCTAAGGTGCTTGTGGCAGCTGCACGGCGTCAGGTACCTACAGGCGCAGGTAGCGGTACCTCGGGCTCGTCGACAAAGGCGAGATCAACATGCGGCGGATGGCACGCATGAGTTTGTATTTATTGGCCGTCGATGCCTTGCCTCGCCTTGCCTTGCCTGGCATCCGCTCGCCCTCGACTCGTCAGCGGGCATCCAATGTCTGTCCACTGCGTCTGCTCTACCTGTACTAGGTACTGTACCCAGCTGCGAAATGCGCTGCCAGACATTCCAGGGAAACCAGGTTGAAGCATGGAGGCCCGACATTGAACCATACAAGTACGAGTACAACTCAGATCGGGACCGTCGCCTGCAGCGCTGCCGCACACGGTACCGCAGTAGGTACATGCGAGTACCTCGTTCATGTGGGTGAGCAGCTCCATCGACACACAGCACCGATGCCTGCCTCTTGCTCTTCGTTCCTGGACTTGGCGCGAGAGCTCCTCCAGCCCCTGGCTAAAAACTCTGGTGCGTCGAACCCCTGGTCTGTTTGCGCCGCCCAGCCAATCGCGGCCGCCATGCAGGAATGCTGCAGGCCAATTGGGGCTGGGCCAGCGCGTCGGCAGCCCGCCAGCCATGCCGCTCCCAGGGCTAGGCCTGCAGGGCCCCCGAGAGAGAGTTGAGCAGAGCAACACAGCGCAAGACGGCGAGCAACAAGGGGGAGAGAAGCAAAAACAGCAAAAGAAAGAGAGAGAGCTAGAGCAAAGAAAACTTTCCATGAACCGCTGCCAGCCTGAAAGTAGATACTTACCCAGCTTTGTACAGTACAAGCACCCGGTGCCAGGCTGGGGAGCAAGGGGACGCGTGGAGCTCCGCGGCGCCAGAGGTAGCCGGTACGGGGGCTGTGCCTGCGCCGTGATAGTGCTGCAGCGCAGAATGCACGCATGAACCCTAACGGCGTCCCTGAGCTAGGCCAGCAGGCGGCGTCGCGAGTACATGGCCGAGCTCCTGCAGACGGCGTCCGAGTGGCGTTCCGTCCCATTTCCCATCTCCACCTCAATCAAAGAGCTCGTCCACACAATGCGACCCTCCATCAGCCAGACATTCCAAGAATAAACCGTCGCCCTTGAGACCTGCGCTTTTGGCTCTCTAGAGGTGCAACAGGGGGAAAGAAAACACCGCCGGTCTGCCACTATAAATTTGTATGTGATGGGCGGCGGTGTTTTCTTTCCCCCTCTTGAGGTGCAAGCAGCTCGACTGCCAGCTGCCGCGTCTGCGTGTGATGCCGGAAGACGCGGCCAAGCCGTCCGTCACATCCATCTGTACAGTACAACTACAGTACAAGCATCTGCGTCATGTCGAGACGCGCGACACCATCGGACAAAGGCGAATGGGGGGCTCGCCCGTTATCACGCACCGTCTGGGCTCTCCAACGGCCGCTCGCCCTCGACACGGGACTGGACAGGGGCGCGGCTGGCTGCATGACTGATATTGGAGAGAGAGGCCACAAAAGTCGGCTGCTGATGCGTCGTCGTGCGACCACTGCAGAGGCCACAAAGTCGCGCTGCGCCTAGCGAGGAAAAAGAAACTGGCAGAGTCCCGTTGGCTCCATCGTGCCAGGAGACGCAGCGCGTTTCATGTCGCGTCATTATTTTATCCAGTCCATGTCCACGCCCGGTTCGTGCGTGCATAACTTCAATGGCGAGCACGAGTACAGTACATGTACGAGTACTCGCCGCCTCGATTCATTCTGCCGCAGCCACGTCGGAACTGGCATCCTTGATGGCTGTAAAGCTGAGACAAGAGGGACCCTCCTTTGTGCCAACTTGCGACGACGATAAGCTCCTCGAACGCTCCAGGTCGTCGCCTATCCGTGCCGGATTCGTCGAGTCCCGCTGCACATCACCGTGGCGAGGCGAGCATCGAGATGTTTGCCCCGGAACTGGGCCAGACTGCCGGTGACTGCGAGGTGGGAGCCTCGTCTCTTGCTCGGCGTCCAACACGTGTCTGCCTCCGCTAGATGAACCTGCGGTGTCCGCCGATGGCGCCCGCTTCTTATTCATCTTCTTCTCGAACGATCCGGGGCTTCCAGTCTTTTTGCCGGGAGGCTGCTTTTCTGCTGGGAGAGTGCATGGCTGCGGGTCTTCTATCCCCGGGTCGGCACTCCCGCAAGGATGGCACTTTGCTCGTTGAAGCCACAGTCTCGAAGCAATGACAGTGCTAGTATGCAGTAGGAGTAGTATTACTTCACCCTGAGCCGTGCATTGTCTACCAGTCCAGGTACAAGGATGGAAATGTTTTCTACGAAATGGCGCGTCTCGGATGGAGGGCGGTGGCACAGCAATCGGGGAAGAAAAACCTGTTTCTGAAGCCTCGCCGCGCCGATGTGGACTCGAACGAGGTACTACGTCCTTGCACGTTCTACAGGACGCCTGAGCGATTAATCCATGGTTCCCCAGCACCAACTGTTACTACTAACCTCCTACGAGGTACGAGTGCAGAGTGCAGAGTAAGCTGCCGGGGATCAGGCTCTTCCTGGTCTGGCAGAAGATGCAAATCGGGGATTTCTTCCCGCGCGGCAGCTCAGCTCAGCTCGCTCGCCTGTTCCGAGTGCCATCCATCTGCCTCGCCGTGATGTGCTCGTACTCCCTTCTGCTTTATCCTACATACATAGCTCATTGTTCATGGCCACCATCCACCTTGCGGATGTATTTCAATAGGGTTTGCCCTCTGCTCCGTGCCCGGTCTGATGCCCTCAAGAACTTGCAGTTATCGATTCACGTTTCTCAAAGCGGTATATTTCTTCGAGGCACCCTCTCGCGGACGAGATGCTCTCCGAGTTGTGCTCGCAGCTCCCTGCTGTAAGAGTATAGAGGAAAGCAAGCCGTTGCTTTCCGCCGTTGACTCCATTCTCCGTGGAGTACGTCCCGGGGCTTCCGTGAGAAGCATCACATCTGCCGCCGGTGAAGAGGAATATAAGGCCTGGCGGTTGTCCGGCCGAACTCGGCGTTCTAGAGCCGGGCCTTTCCTGGGTTGCGTTTGGTCGCGGATCACGTCAAGAACCCAGGGCTTCGGTCATGCACGTTATCGTAGAAAGGTTCTTCATGAAGTGTAGGAGTGGTATGCACAGTACTGGGTACGAATTGTTGTACGGTTTGCTCAGCTGGTTCTCCAGCAAGTCTAGATGATATCCGCCTGTTGATACCAAGTCCAATAATAGATGTTGACGTTTGCGTTGGTGTTTCTTGCGCTGTCGCGGCCGTCTCCCGTAGTGTGAGGTATATCGTAACTCGAAGTGTTCCGGCACGCTGTCAATGGGCGGCGTAAGGCTCCTGATTGGGTATTTCACAGGAGACAATGTGAGGCCGTGTATTGAGTAGCCAGAGACTGAAATACCAGAATGGGCCGACCTACACTCACACGTACTCTGCGTATGTACCCAAGAGAGTCACCCTCTAAACGAGACGTGAATCGTACAGCAATGACTGCCATGGTCTCCAAGGCCAGATACAGGGGATTCGGGTTGACTGGTCAGAGGAGCTCCATCATGCAAAGCATCGATACAGCAGTGTCTACGAAAAACATGGGCTGAGCCATACGCCTCGTGTCATACCATAACTAGACTTTGACGGCCCAGTCTGCAATTCTTGTACAATCCTGATATATAATAAGGCACACAATACTCACTTTTGGGTAGGCTAATCCATCTATTGTCCGGTGAAGGCTTCGGTCCCGGAAGGTGTGCACACAAGCCTCGTACATGCTGGCAAAAGCTTCTGATCATATACGACTTGTCGCCAAAGTCGGATATCCCAATTGTTAAACTAAACACCATTGATCTGACGATCAATATGCTAGTCAGTGATGGTGCCGTCATGCTGGCTTCGTTCAATCGGACGAACCAATTAGTATCCATATGAAGTCGCTACCCTTGAGAGCATCCTGCAACTTGAATAATGGCGACCCTTCTGCTTATTGGTACCTTGCAGAGGGTATATTTATGATGAGACAATCTTGAAAGGCTCTTGTGATAGGCCGTCTCCTGTTATTGTCTTCTACCATTCCGCCGGGCTACGATCGAGCAACTTACTGGGGATTCCATATTTGGTGTTGCGTTGAGATTGAAGCATTAAATACCACCTCCGTGTGGTTCTTCGTATGATGCCGAAGGCTTTCACACCACCTACCAGGACATGCCGTTCTCATTGTTGTGACAAACCAATCTCCAGATTGACACCGAGTAACCCCCCTCGGTGAGCAATACCAGACCTTGCTTCTTCGACATAGTATGCCAAGGCATGGATCTTCGCAAAGCCGGACTGAAACGATCTCTCACAGGCATCACATTCACGATGCGGTGAGCGTCATTTTGCCACATTCGTGATCCTTGCCGTCTCGCTTTCAATGCGAGTACCGCTACTCCGTACTTGTACTCGTATGCTTGGAACGTCTCAAAACAACAAGTAGTACTGCCACTTGCCAGCGTCCAATACATACAAAGGGGCAGTATAATGAGAAAGCATAGATACTTTTTCGTAGGCTGCTGTAAGCTTCCGCTATTCAGTCCAAAGGACACGATCTCCAAGGTGAGTCATTGACGCAGGTACATTTCGACTCTCGCGATCATACCTATGCAAGGGAGGGATTCCTTGTGAGATATCAGGTATTCGAAGCACCAGCGTTGACCGCCATTGCTTCAGGTCGTGCCGACGGAGTTCTGGTCGGATACGGCGTCCTCCGTCCAAGCACTTATCAACCAGGTCTATTAGTCTGAAGCATCCGTTTGTACTTGGAACCTACCTAGCAGTGAGCGCAACCTCTGATACTTCGTACCGACAATAATAGAGGTGAAAATACTTGGTGCTCGTGCCTCGTCCGCACCGTATCGTGAGCGGTACCTACGACTTCAAGACACCAGGCAGAACCGCTGACCCGTCCCTCGTCAGGTGATGGCAGAATCGGGTACTAAGCCCTGAAGTACGAGTAAAGTACACCCCGTGCCTGAGACGCCGACGATGGTACTCCAATCCAAGGTCCAATCTGCTAGCGCGGCCTGAGGCAACGACACCCAACCGCTTGTTGATCTCGGTTGCCCCATCAGCCAGCGCAGTTAAGGCTCGGGCCTGGGCAAAAGTTGGGGTAAAGGCCGGCGGACAATACCTCGCACTAGCAACCAAGTACCTCTGCCAGCGATTGCGGGTGCAAAGGGAACCTCCGCGGCCATCATGGTAGCGCCCCTTGCAGGGAGTGGTGCGTCATCGGCTCGTCAGCACGGCCAATAGACGCAACCGGCGGCCCTGCTTTGATTGCCCAGGCCGAGTCCAGTGACCATCCGATGGGTGGCACCGTGGTAGCACGAGTACCTACAGTACTCCCATCGCAGCCACCCCAATGCTACCGTGCTGGGCGGGCGTTAGTGCTGGCGGTGGCTCGGCGGGCGGACTGCTTAACATGCCTTGCGTGCTGAGCTGCCTGCCTGCCGCCCGCTCGCCTTATCTAATGCCCGCTACCACGCCTCCGTACCTACAGTACAAAGAGGCTGGTTCCTAGCTTCGTCATCCTCCAGTTCCCATCCTTTGGCTGCAATCAAACCATCCCATCCATCCTCCAGCCCATCGCCTTTCCTTTGCCAACGAACCCATCATCAATACCTCAGCGTCGCCCAGCATGAAGAGCGCGTTACTTGCCGCCGCGGCGCTTGTCGGCTCCGCCCAAGCCGGCATCCACAAGATGAAGCTGCAGAAGGTCTCCCTGGAGCAGCAGCTGGTAAGACGCCATCCTCATCCGCGCCCTCATCCTCTGGCCAAGGGCGATCGCTGACATTTCGCTTCTCGTCTAGGAGGGTTCGAGCATCGAGGCCCACGTCCAGCAGCTCGGCCAGAAGTACATGGGCGTCCGCCCTACCACCCGTGCCGAGGTCATGTTCAATGACAAGGCGCCCAAGGTCCAGGGCGGTCACCCGGTTCCCGTCACCAACTTCATGAATGCCCAATGTAAGTCGTGATGAGCAGCCCGAGGGTTCCCAGGCAGCGAGCACAGGCGTACTGACTCGGTCCGACAGACTTCTCTGAGATTACCATCGGTACCCCCCCTCAGTCGTTCAAGGTTGTGCTCGACACGGGAAGCTCCAACCTTTGGGTCCCCTCTCAGTCGTGCAACAGCATCGCCTGCTTCCTGCACTCCACGTACGATTCGTCTTCGTCGTCGACGTACAAGAAGAACGGCTCCGACTTTGAGATCCACTACGGATCAGGTAGCTTGACGGGCTTCATCTCCAACGATGTCGTGACGATTGGCGACATCAAGATCAAGGGGCAGGACTTTGCCGAAGCTACTAGTGAGCCCGGCCTTGCCTTTGCTTTCGGTCGCTTCGACGGCATTCTCGGCCTTGGCTACGACACCATCTCGGTCAATGGCATCGTCCCTCCCTTTTACCAGATGGTCAAGCAGAAGCTGATCGACGAGCCCGTCTTTGCTTTCTACCTGGGAAGCAGCGACGAGGGCTCCGAGGCTGTCTTTGGCGGCGTCGACGATGCTCACTACGAGGGCAAGATTGAGTACATTCCCCTCCGCCGCAAGGCCTACTGGGAGGTGGATCTCGACTCCATTGCTTTCGGTGACGAGGTTGCCGAGCTGGAGAACACGGGCGCCATCCTTGACACGGGCACCTCTCTCAACGTCCTTCCCTCGGGCCTCGCCGAGCTTTTGAACGCCGAGATTGGTGCCAAGAAGGGCTTTGGCGGTCAGTACACTGTTGACTGCTCCAAGCGTGATTCTCTCCCCGACATCACCTTCAGCCTGGCCGGCTCCAAGTACAGCCTTCCCGCCAGCGACTACATCATTGAGATGTCTGGCAGCTGCATCTCGTCCTTCCAGGGCATGGACTTCCCCGAGCCCGTGGGCCCCCTGGTCATCCTTGGCGATGCTTTCTTGCGCCGCTACTACTCTGTCTACGATCTCGGCAAGGACGCCGTTGGTCTTGCCAAGGCCAAATAAACGAGGTAGACGCTTTGAGAGAGTGTGTATCTAGGAAGCGCACAGCCTGTATGTTTGCAGAATGCTAGTTTTGGTTATTTGCACAGTTTCGGGAGCGGAAAGACAGTCCTACTATTGCGGGGGAGTCTGGATCAAGATTGCAACGTCGTTTATGTAATAACTATAATGGAGACTGGCCGTCGTCTGCTGCCGCTGTTTGATTCGATGTCATGAACTATTAGTGCCCGTGCAAGATGCTCATCTCCATTGATACCTTGCCGTGACCAAGTGGCTATTTGCATGATAATGCGTACTTGTAGCGTTGAGAGTCTGTTGGAGCGAGCTGTCAGTACGTGGTTACCCTACAAGCTGCGGTATACGTACTGTAGATCTGCCGCGTACCTTATCACATGGAAGGTCAGAGCTAATAACATGCGCGATTCTGTGCATTGCTAGCACCGTCATTAGCACGGAATGACTTTGGTAGGCAGGCAGGCCGACTCTGCATCGGACAGGGTCCATTATTACCCTGCATGACGGGGAGAGCCATGGGCCTGATGAGCAAAGTTCAAAGGGCAGTTATCCTCGAGAAAAACAAAGAATACGCGATATGTTCAATATTGAACCGAGTGCTGTGTTGAGAGATCAATAGCGAGACAATGCAAGGTGTTTGATATCAATACTTTGTAGGTTGGTAGGTTGGTAGGGAGCTGATTTAGCAAGTACATGTAGGCGTGTAAGCCTTTGAGTGCCGTCTGACGCCGGCAAGCTCCAGGCACTAAGGCGTGTTCCGCCTCGACTACAGATGCATGATGCAAGTTTGATAACTGCCTGCCGTACCTGGTGGTGGCTCTGCTTCCAACAGGAAATCCCAATAAAGAAGAGAGACACGGATGCGATGCTCACAATGCACGTCATGCACAGAAATCAAACCACTCAACGTCAATTTGAAATCACTTCAAGCGCACCTTAGTATGTAGCTCAGCTCAAGTTCCCCGAGGTGGTTCTCAGCAACAAGCAACACCACCAGCGGGGCGGCGTGGGAAATCACGTGCGGGCCATTTTAGACTTTTCCCTCGAGGGCGTTAGCGCGGTCCCGGGCCAGGGAAGTACTTGGCGATCCAGGACACATTCTTCCCTCCCAGCAAGGCTCAGCAACGGCCTTTCCATCGTGCAGCGGCCCTTTTTCCTTTGCAGCAAATCATCCCGGCGAATTCCCCCCTCGTGAGCATCGCCTCCCCGTGCGTGACGCTGGCGGATTTGCAGGCGCGGCGCCCTCCTTGACTTGACTGCAGCTGCGTCCTGGTGGATGTAGACGCTCCGCCCGCGCGGCCTGGAGGAAAAAAGGTTTTGGAGTCGCACCAGTCAGCCCTCTGCAACCGCGTATCGCGACGGGGCGCGGCTAGCATCACCAGCAGCCTCTCGACGACGAGCCATCCAGCCAGCATGGCGCAGCCCTCGCCCGACGATGCCAACGGCGTCACCATGCCCGGCAGCCCGCCCAGCGCCCATCTACCTGCCGCCGGCAAGCGGAAGCGCGACAATGGCGCCGCCAGCAGCAACGGCGACTCCATGGACGTTGATGTCCAGGCCGACATGGACCGCGGCGGCGACGACACACCCAAGCCGGACCGCGAGCCGGCAAAGGGCAAGGAGCTGGTCACGGCCTTTTTCGAGGTCCTGCGAAGGTACGCATTGCCTGCTTGGCGCGCCCGCTCCGTCATGCCCTCCTGCCGCGATGCTTGGTTTCCTCCCGTCCGTCCCTCGGTGTCATTGAGTTGCATCGAGAGATTGGACAGACAAAGAGTGCGTGAAAGCTGACCATCAACCCCCCTTCAAACAGTTTCGATGTCGGACCCTCCATCCTCGGCCGCCCTCTACCGCTGCTGCCAGAGCCGGCATCTGAAGACGAGCCCCAGGCAAAGCGTCAGAAATCCGTCGACCCGCCCAGCAAACAGAGCATCGCCGACAAGGTTGCAGCCGGCGCCTACGCCTCCCTCGACGACATAGCAGCAGACCTCTCCTCCGCCGTCAAATCCTCACTATCCGAGATGGACTCGGGCTCTTCGGACTCCGGCGCGAGAGCCGTGGCGCTCAAGGCAGCTGCGCAGATCAACGAATTCTGGGACAGAGCAACAGACCTCCTCCGCCGCGAAAAGGCGTACCCCAAAACGCGACAGGAGCCTGCACATGGAGAGGCCGAGTCGCATACGGCGTCTGAGAAGAGCGAAGTGGTTTTATCGCTCGTCGGCTATGCGCCCCAGGAAAGGCGCCTGTTTTCCAGCTTACCGCTGTCCAAGGATGTCGACTTGTCCGACGTGAGCCTCCCGCCGGGCGTGTCCATCACCCGAATCATCCCCTCCAACACCCAAGACCGCACGCAAACTCTCGGCGAGCTGTTTGCTCCGCCGCGTCCTCTCCCGCCTCTCCAGCCGCCCAAGCAGCCCAAGACACAGGCCAAGGGCAACCGGTTGGACTTTTACCATCCCCACCTGGCCGACGGCTCCAGGTACAGGGGCAACTCGTACTTCAACACAAAGCTCTCGACCGGCTACTATCTCGACTACAGCCAGGCGACGCCTTCGTGGCAGACCAAGACCAAGCAGCACGAACGCGCGCAAAGCCTCGCCGGTCGGAAACCCTCCGTTTCCGAGTTGGAGATGTCGGAGATGGAGACTCTGTTCCGGGGGGCCTTTTCCACATTCGCACCGTGCAAAGATGACGCCGCCGCAGTAGTGCCGTCCAGCGTCGCCGGCCGGATCTGGTGGCAGCGCAGCGGCAAGCAGAGCTTCCAGAGGATGATTGAGGTGGAATACTATGGCGACCTCCAGACCCCAGACGCCGTTGACGCGGCCCAACTGGTGGAGCTGGACGAAACAGCCGTGCAAGACGCCATTGACAACTGGGATGACACCGTCATTGACCCATCGCTTGAGGACGTCATGGGCGCCAAGCATGACGAGCAGGACAAGGAGGCCGACGAGATTCTCGACGAGGTCAGCGATCTGATCGAGACGCTGGCCTCGTACCAGCGCATCCGCAACCTAACACTACCCAACTCGCAGAACCGCCAGTCCAGCGACCCGGTGACTGGCGACATGCTGGCTAACGCCGGGCCTCAGCCCTCAGAAGAAGAGTTCGCCACCTACCAGATGCTCAAGGCTCAGCTGGCTCTCATCATCAAGACGCTACCGCCCTACGCAGTGGCCAAGCTGAACGGCGACCAGCTGGACGATCTCCTCATCAGCACCAAGATTATGGTACACACCGACCAATACAAGGGGACTATGGATGAAGACGAGGCGGCGGTGCAGGCTCGCATCAAGGCACAGCAGCAAGCTGCCCAGGCGGCGCAAGCCAATGTCCGACCTCCACCGCAACGGACGCCTAGCGTGTCCGCCGTGCCGTATCCCAACCAGTACGCGGCGGCGGCGGCAAACCAGTACGGCACGCCGAGCCGGGCCGTGCCCCCTCAGCCTCAGCAGTACTATCGCCCTTCGCCGGCGCCCAACTACCAGCAGCCTCGCAACTTGGGGCCACCAGCTCCCCACCAGCAGCCCAGGCCGCCGCAGCCGAACCAGTATACCCGTACCAATGGCTATCCCAACCAGTACGCCACCCAGCTTGCCAAGGCTCAGACCCCATATGGCCACCAGAGCTTGCCGCAGCAGTACGCAACCCAGCAGCGGCCGCCAAACTACGGGCAGATGCCGCCGCAAGGTACACCGAACGCCCGATACACCTTCCAGCCGAGTTACCAGCACCAGCCAGGCGCGCCGGCACCTCCCAACTATGGCGCCTACGCTAATAGTCCAGCGGCGATCCCCGCCAGGACCATGTCCCCCCAGGTGGGAAATCGCCAAACGTTTAGCCCATCTCCTGCTCTGCAGCAGAACCCGGGTTACTCGGCTCCGACCCCGACCATGGCCAGCCAGATGAACCGGTTTCCGAGCGGCTCCAGCCAGACGGGGGCCCACGCCCAGAGCCCCGGGCTGACCGGATATCATACCGTCATTCCCGAGGCTCAGCAGCAGCGGATACTGGATCAGGCCAAGGCCCGCGTGGCAGCGCAGGAGAGATCGGCCATGTTTACCGACAGGCTGTCGCAGTCCGGCGTCTCGGGCCTCGCAGGCATGGGGCTGGGGGTTAGCGTCGATGGCGGTCGACTCGCGGCGGCCCGGGCGAGCATGGCGAACCAGAACAAACCGCAGACGCCCACTCCCTCGAAATCCGGCCCGAACGGGACGGCAGGGTCAGGACATGTCCCTTACAAGGTGACACCCGTGCCTGTGCCTGTTATTCCTGGTCTACAACGTAAGCCGACTTCATGAATTTAGGTTTTCCAACGTGATGAAATGAACGCCTCGGACATGGCAAGGGGAGACGATAAAGGGAAGGAAAGGGACGAATCACGCTTTGTGGCTGGCAACACCTCGGCGTTGTTTTGAACGGCGTTTAGAGGGCTAGGATTTCGTATAACAATGGAGTTTCGGCAAAAAAAGGGACAAAGACAGGAACAGAGAGAGGAAGAGAGAGAGAGAGAGAGAGAAGGAGAATGATTACGCGTCTTTTCAAAGAAACGATAATGTCAAAGGGTGGGCGGAATTCTGCCGTCCTCGTCTGAGGGATGCGCGGTGTTGATAGGGAGAGAGGGGAAAGGGTTTGACTACTTTTAATATCCTTTTTATTTTTTTATCTATCGAGCCCTTTTCCTGAGACTTGTTTGTTCATCCTCCCGTTGATCTTCATTTTGCGAAGTTGGGAGAGGGGGCATATTTTGAATGTTGGGCTATGCCGTTTGATGAGGTTATGGCAGACGACGGAACAAAACAAAACAAACACCACGGAAACTGTTGTCGCTGTGAGATTTTCAATGCAAGAGGTGATTCTGAGAGAAGGCGCAAAATCGGGAGGTTATATTTTCCCACCCTTCAGCTCGGGCTGGGGGGCCGGCTTAGGAGATGGCGAGATTGGCAAAGGCTTGACACTGGCAGCTTTTTTTACCTTGGCTTTTCTACAGAGATGTAAAGGCGGCTACCTAGGGCAGGACATGACTTCATTCCTCTTATTTCAGTTTTTCTTTCTTTTTTCTACTATCTTGGAGTGTATGATGAATACCGTTGGACATGTTTTTAAAGGGTCTAATAGAACACCGGAAGGGAAGGCTATTCTTATTTTACTTTATTCGAATGGAGTGTTCTAAGGGGGTTTCAGTATGTGGTGTGTGAGAGAGTGAGCAGTATACAGAGTTTGATGAGAGGGGTATCTTTGATTTTTCGGCATCCGTGTCTTCCGTCTTTTCCAACATCCGTACCAAATGACCAGCTCTTTTCGAGTCATCTCCATTTTCATGATCGTGAAAATAGCGATGTGCGAATGCACACGCAGGTAGTAATAGTAGTACAAGGTGAAGAAGAAGGGTAAATGTAATTACCAATACCCTTCAAAGTCCGTTGAGATACCCATCACACCTCGGTGCCAAGCTCCCTGAGCACCGCCCTCTCCTTGTACTCAATCACAATCCTCCGCAGCTCAAAGACGACCTCGACGAAGATGAGGACAATGATGATCCACTCGAGCCGGGTGCCGTGCTGCTCGCTCGACATCTCGCGCAGCACCGTGGCAATCTCCTGCGCGTAGTCCATCTTCTGGTTGAGCGCGCGGATGCGCACGTTGACGTCGAGCGCGCGGCCGACCTGGTCGTAGTAGCCCTCGAGCCCGAGCTCGGACCGGCTGTCCCAGAAGATGTCGGGCAGGTTGTCCGTCAGCTCCGAGTAGTGGTTGAGCTTGGCGCGCAGGCTGAGCAGCTCGCCCGTCTTCTGCAGGATGAAGCGGCGGCTGAGCGGGACGCCGGCGCCCTGGGACAGCAGCGCGGGAATGTTCCTCGTGCTCTCAAAGTACGACGTCAGCGCCGACTCGAGCACGGCCAGCTTGGTGCTGCGGGCCAGGCCGGACGAGAAGGCCACCTTGGCCAGCGTGGTGTCGAGGAAGTCGCCGTCCTTGTGCTCCTTGCGCGTGCCCAGCACAACGACGTCACCCTTGAGCGTGCTCGTCTCCCGGCTGTTGTCCGTGGTGAACTCGAGGTCCTCAACCTCGCGCAGCTCCTCGGGGTGCGGCTCCTCGGCGGCCCGCAGGATCTGCCTTGTCACGACATCGGGCGGCAGCGACCACGTCACAATGGTGCCCGACGGGAAGACGAAGATGTCGCCGCCGTTGACACCCCGCGCGTGCACCACCTCGGCGGCGTCGAAGCTGGTGCCGTCCGGGTCGATGGCGAAGCCGTGCGACGACAGTATCTCGAGCACGACGGGCATGTTGAAGGCCTCGGCGATGCACGTCGCACTGACCATGTTGGACGGGTCGGCCTCGGCCGCGTCGAAGCCGGGACTGCCCTGGCCGCCGCCCCGCTTCGGCTGCTGGGCGATGATGGCGACCCGGCGTAGCGAATTCTTCGCCGGCGTGGCCCGGGTGGGCTTGCGCTTGGCTACCGGCGAGGCATTGGCGTTGGCGTTGGCGTTGGCGTTGGCAGGGCCGGGCTGTGGCTGAGATGAAGGCTGGTCGTCGCTACCAGGCTGGGAGGAGAGATATGGGTTCGAGGTAAAGAAGTTGCGCCGCCGGGGCAGGCCGGCAGGGGAAGTGAGGTGGAACGAACGAGGGCGCGGCGCAGCGACGGCGCTGTGAAGCTGGCGGACGGCGACTTTGACGCTGATTCGCAGGGGCGAGCTCCTCATGGTGGAGGCGTGAGGTTGCTCGCCATCGAAGACGAAGGAGATCGAGGGCTGGTTCCCTGGATCTTGCGTCGAAGCAGCGTGGTGGGAGTTGCAGGGATGGAAAAAGATGCAGCAATCTGACGATAGCCGCGAACAACCGGCTAGGTATTGCATTGCAGCAGAGATCTGTTATCGCCATGTGATAAGTCACATGCAGGCCTGCCCCGTGCTCTACTGCTTTACTGCCTGCTCGGCCTACCTGCGCTAGCCCGCTTCGGGACACCGCCTTGACGACGGCGCAGAGTCCCCACCAATGCGCCAGCTCACCCGTTTATACCGCCACGCTGTGCAAGCAGTGGTAATTACAGGCCTCCAGGGATCCTCCTCCAGACCTCGCCGCTCCCCTTTATTATATAATTTCCATCTTTGCTCCCTCCTCCTCTCCTCGCCTCTCCTCTTCTCCGTCGTCATTCTCTCCGCCTCCATCGACCAAATCACCATCCGCTCCTCCTCCCGTTGACCCCTCATAGTCAGCCCCAGATCCATCCCCCGCCATGGCGCCCCTAGAACTCAGCGAGAAATACGACCACTATGACTTCCCCATTGAGGCACCCGAGCCCATCGAGGGCCACGCCGGCCATCTGACGCCCGAGCAGCAGGCCAAGGTCCACCAGCTGCGCTTGATGCTCGAGGCAGAGGGACTTACCGAGCGCCTGGACACGCTGACACTGGTATGCAAATCCCGCCTGGACGGCTTGCGGCATCGAGTTGGGCCGCGGCCAGAGGAGGACGACTAGGAAGATATACAGATGAATGGAAGGACACGGCTGACACTGCTGCCCTCTTTACAGCTGCGGTTCCTCCGAGCGCGTAAGTTCGACGTTGAACTTGCCAAGCAGATGTGAGCTGCCTTCTCCCCCCCCCCCCCCCCCCCCCCCCCCCCCCCCCCCCCCCCCCCCCCCCCCCCCCCCCCCCCCCTTATTTAACCCTTGTCTGTTGTCGATTCTGACCGCCAGCAGGTTCATGGACACCGAGAAGTGGCGCGCCGAGATCAAGCTCGACGAGATCCTCCCCACCTGGGACTACCCTGAGAAGGCCGAGATCTCCAAGTACTACAAGCAGTTCTACCACAAGATTGACAATGTGAGGAACCATTGAATCAGAGACGAATGAGACGGACCCGGGTTCGTCTTTATGCGCAGAAGCTAATCCCTTGCCGAGTAGGACGGTCGCCCTGTTTACATCGAGACGCTGGGCGGCATCGACCTGGCTGCCATGTACAAGATCACCTCGGCCGAGCGCATGCTCACCAACCTCGCCGTCGAGTACGAGCGCGTGGCCGACCCTCGTCTGCCCGCCTGCTCCCGCAAGGCCGGCCACCTCCTCGAGACGTGCTGCACCATCATGGACCTCAAGGGCGTCACCCTGACCAAGGTGCCCCAGGTGTACTCGTACGTCCGACAGGCCTCCGTCATCTCCCAGAACTACTACCCCGAGCGCCTGGGCAAGCTCTTCCTCATCAACGCCCCCTGGGGCTTCTCCACCGTCTGGAGCGTCGTCAAGGGCTGGCTTGACCCCGTCACCGTCAAGAAGATCAACATCCTCGGCAGCGGCTACCAGAGCGAGCTGTTGAAGCACATCCCCGCCGAGAACATCCCCAAGGAGTTTGGCGGCACCTGCTCCTGCGAGGGCGGCTGCGAGAACAGCGATGCTGGCCCGTGGCACGACCCTCAATGGGCCAGGCCCGCCAAGTGGGAGAAGAAGGCTTAAACGTGACTGTTCTTTGTCGACCTTTTTTTCCCCTTCTTCCTTTTTTCTTTGCTTTCATCTTTTCTTTATACAGTGCATTTGTGTTGGTTGTGTTTGGGAGACGGGGTCTATATTGTGAGACAGACTCTTTTGAGAAAGCCCACCTGTGTCCTTTTTTTTGCCCGGAAGGCTTGTGGAATCGGTTCGATTCGAAGAGAGAGAGAGAGAACAAAATTCATTACCATGGGCTAAAGCAGGAAGACGGGATCTTAGACGGGAGATGGAAGAAGGGAAGGGACTAACATACAGGAGGGGAGCAGGGAAAGCTACTAGCTCTTTGAATTGTTACACGTACTTCTTTTTTTCCGCATATATATACAGTAGTATTTGATGTTGAACATGATTCTGTCATCTCTGATGAAGGATTTCGCTTGGACGCTGCATCTTCTTACCTCGGGCTTTTGGCGTTATTGGAGAGGCTGGTCTATGTGTGTCTAGATGCCGCCCCATTTCTCAGGGAATATTCCGTCTGCTTACGCGTAACACAGCGACGCAGGGAAACACGACAACTCACGTCCAAACCCCATGATTCCAAAGACAACATGGCAAAAGAAAGGATCAACTTAAGACTCCAAAGTGACGAAAAAACGCATCGATTCACGACCTGTTTTGTCAAGTGCGCATTGGTACCCTATCTCTAGCCGAGAATGCTCATTGAAATTCGCCCTTGACGCCTAAACAGTTTGAAAACAAAGACCCCCCCTGCTAATCGCTAAAAAAAAAAAAAAAAAAAAAAAAAAAAAACACAAGTTGTCAAACGCCCGAATCAGACACCAGGACTCAAACACATGGGGGGGAGGAAGAAACCGCAGATGCCACCAGCAACGGAGCAGCGCCCACTTGTTGATCGTATGCGCGGGCCCCCCCTTTCGCCAATGACCCAGCAAAGTGGCTCACCGCACAACTCCATCTCTCCGTCTCTGATACGCCCGTATGTCTGCCTGATGCAATCATTCATCATAGTCATAACCCTCGTGATCGTCATCATCGTCGTCGTCGTCGTCGGCAGGGTCCATCACCGCCCCCTGGTGACGACATACTCGCCCGCAACCCTCGCCCGCTCCATCTTGGCCACCACGGCCGGCATGTCCCTCTTCAGCCTCCCGAGCCCCTGAACGGCGCTCTTGAAGCCGTCCTCGACGCCCTCCTGCCGCGGCAGCCCCGTCACGCCCGGCAGCAGTCCGCCACCGGCAGCAGCACTGGCCTCCGCCGCGGCCGCATCCCTGGCGACCCGCTCGCGGAGGTCGTCCTCGTCCTGCCGCATGGCCGCGCGGACGCGCTCGGCGTGCTCGGCGGCGACCTTGGCGGGCACGGAGCGCTTGAGCGCGGCAACGTCCTCGAGCAGCTTCTCCTCCTGGGTGATGAGGTCGGCGACCTGGCGGCGCTTGCGCGTGTCGAAGGGCTCGTAGACGGTGTCGGGGGGCAGGGCCGCGGCCGCGGCGACGATGGCGGTGGGCGGGACGGGGAGGCCGTTGATGGTGATGTTGGGGGCGGCGAGGGAGAAGGTCTTGTTGATGTACTGTTTTTTTTTACACCCACGCGCGCCAAGGTCAGCAAACATTTCGCCTTCTTCTCTTCTTCTTCTTTTTCCACCTTCTTTTTCTTCCTTTCTCTAGGGAGGATAAAGCTGTACCTCGTTCACGAGCACCTCGATCTGGATGCGCAGCTCATCCTCCTCGGCGCCGTCGACGGGCGGAAACGCTTCGTTGAGGTGCTCGACTGCGGCGTTGCGCACGTTGGTGATGAGGTAGGCGAGGTCTTCGGGGCTCTGGAGCTCGATCTTGCGCTGGACCTGCGCGACGACGGACTCGGAATCCATTGTGCGGAGGCCGGACTCGAGCTTTTTTTGTCTTTGAAAAAGTATGGTCGCGAGTTGATTTTGGGTTTATTGTGGCTTGTTGACGTTATTTGTCCATCGGAGAAGGGACCTTGTCTGATTGAAATGTCGATGGCTCTGTAGAAGGGCTTATGCAATCGGTGAGACAATGACCGTAAAGGCAAGTACAGGACGGCAAAGGAGTGAGTTGAATTGTTTGTGTCGATAGAAGCAACAAATTCAATGACACGAATCGATCAACAGTTGGCGCATAACGCGTTGCTGCTCGTCGCGTTTCTTGGGTGGGATGAAATTGGTGTAGAAAAAAGGCAACATTGGATGCCCGCCAAATGCCACTGCAGGTCAATCGAAAGGGTACGTACCTTGGATCTGGCTCGGTGTGAAGTGGGGTTGGCTCTTCTTCACCTTGACAACCTGCTGCCGAGGCCTGTACAGGCTTTGCAGGAAGACGCCCATCGGTGATGTAGCGAGTCTTGTGTGCATTCAACCGTGGTCTTTGTCTCTGCGCATGAATTTTAAAAGAGGATTCAGGTCATAGAGTGGTCTTGTTTGCCCTGTTGGCGTAGAGAGCATGAGGAGAGAATGAGCGGCTCGACTTGACGTGCCCGGCAATGCTCGTAGCATCAGCGGACAACAACATAAGCCGAATGCACCTAAAAGTCTCTCAGACTCCTTACAAAGACATTATGAGCGATGATCAGATGAAGAATATCAGCTATTTGAACATGGAAGGAGACGGCGGCATATTATACCCAAGATATTCAAACAGGGGCAATTGGGCCAAAGACGAAATAGAGGCCATCAAGGTGATCGTCCCAACACCCTTGCGTCCACACACTGTGTACTTTCTAGTACTAGTACTACGTTACCTTTACTCCAGATTGCTCTCGTTCTCCAAAGTACAGAGTCATTGTACTGAAACAGCCTTGAATTTCCGACGCATCAACCTCCGTCATGCAACATGTGCCGTCAAGATGCTCAAAGCTTTCATTGGAGTATAAACTCCCTCCAGTATGATGCTACCTGTGGCACCAGTGCTATCAGTATACCAGTCATCACCTTGGAAGGTCCCTGTAGCACATCCATACAACGTATAGCGCAGAAGCACTTGGCGCAGTACCGGCCCAAGTGGAGGCTCAGGGGGGCTGGTTGGCTGGTGCACAGCTAAGTTTGGGGCTGTTTGGGGTCCTCCAGCGACATGCGGGGCAGCCCAACACTTAGCGGAAGCCGCTGCACTGGGCTCCATGCATCGGACTGGGCAGACCTGGGTGTGATGATGTGATGCAGCGACTCTGACACTCAACACCAGTACAGTAAGATATAGCCGTATGCTGATACGCGAATAGGAATTCCAAATCTACCTAACTACCTAACCTGATCCCTTGGCTAAAAATTGCAAAGAGAGGGGAAAAAATAAAAAGAAACCGCGAGCCTCCCCAGCCTACCGATCCGGCTGGGGCCTAGAAGCCAGTAAACCGAAAATACCAAAGTGACATACCGAAACCAATACCAACATCGCATCGCAAATACGAGCGCGAGCGCAAACGCCAAGCGGCCGCGAGAGCGAGTCGAGTCAACGGCCCTCCAGAGAAAACAGGGTACCACCAAGCTCATCGTCTGCGACCCGTCACGGCCGCCTGGAATAAACACCTAAGGGAGCCAACGAGGCCAATCAATCAACAAGTGCCGAGGCCTTGACGCCGTCGAGTGCCGTCCGACACTGGTGAATAACAAAGTCGAGTAAAACATGTCGTGAGAGAGGAAAAAAAAAGGATATCTAGATAATTCAGGGTCCCGGAGGAGAAAGAGAAAACAGGGGTATGGTGCGTAATGGCGATAAAAAGGCAAGACGTCATGTTCATTGCGGAAGCATGTTCTTCATCTCCTCATCAGTCAGATGAATCTCGTGTACGGGGTCTCGTCGGTTCTCCAGGGGAACGTAGTCGCAGTCGATGTAGGACGGCAGGAAAATTTCTAGAGAGGCAGCAAGTTAGCCGCTGATTTTTCATCATCGTCGCCTCCAAACTGTTTGTCGCCGGCAAACATACCAGGGTTCCACATGAAGCCTTGGGCGGACGACAGATACGAGATCTAGCGTGAGCTACATGTCAGCACATCCTTCACATCCTATGAACACAATGAAACTAGAGAGTCGGAAGCAAGAAGAACCTACGAGTCGTGGGGGGCCATCGGGTGAGCCGATGTTGATAACGGTACACTCCTGCTTGGAAAAAGCCGAGCCTGTACAACGGTGGTCAGCAAACGGGTGGTACACAAGACGGGCCAGACGGCGTATTAGGCTATGCCAACTGGCAGCTCCTGAACCAGCCAGAGCATAGAAAAGGGAAGGAAAAAAAAAAAAGGTTGAGATGCAGAGGTAAGGCGACGTACTGAGCAGGCTTGGACGGCGGCTCTCGAGCGCCGTGGCCGTTTCCTTTCCCTTTCCCTTGGCCTTGCTCTTGGGAGAGGCAGACGGGGACGAGTGTGATGGAGAGCTAGAGTAGGAGCTGTCGGACGAGCTGCCGACCGTCTCGGCGGAGAGGCCGTATCGCCCAGTCGAGGACGAGGGTCCTGCCGGAATGTTGATCGACGAAGACATGCTCAGCTTGACGCCAAAGGGCGAGGGTTCTGTGCTGAGCAGGGTTTCGGGTCCGGTGGCTACGCCAGGCAGAGAGATGGGCGAACTTGACGAGTACAGAGTCGAAGCCGAAGCCAAACTCGAAGGAATGTCTGTGGATGTGGTTTGTGCTCACTGCTGAAAGCCGCCAGAGAGGGGACTACAGCTGGAGAGTGAAACGGGCCAGGAAGAGCTGAAGGGTAAATGAACTGCGAGGCTCCAGGAGCGGCAGGTGGGCGAGCGAGCAATTAATAGGCGCAGGGCGATGCGATGGCACAGTAAACGCAAGGCTGTTGTTACAGGCGTGAGGCGGGCGAGGATGCGATTCCGACAGCAGGCGGGCAGGCAAGAAACGATGAGGTCGAGAGCGTTGCAGGAAGTGAAGGTGGTGAGAGGCCGGAGGACGACCAAGTGTGACGAAGAGCCCAGGTAAGTAGGCGAGATGAGCAGCATCCGGGATGGAGAAACTCAAAAGGCACCGCAGCTGGAGCCACGGACTCAAGTACCAGCTACCTGCTGCCTGCCGCCTGCCAGCTGCTCTGTACAGTACGGATACTTGCAGCCTGCTGCTGCTGCGACCTTCAAGGTTCGAGGCGGTTGATTCGAAACGGCCTGGCCTGCGCCGTGCTCCGTACTGTATTGCGTACCCGCTACCTGTCGGCTACGGCATCTGCCGCCCGACCCTCGTTGCGACCCCAGAGTACACTCTGGTAGCTGGACTTGCGCCGCGGACGGAGTGCGGCCAGTGGCAGAAACCTTGTCCTGGTAGCCCGTGGCGACACGGCGCTCGACTCCGGAATCTCCCTGAGCTGTGACTCGGCTCCTGTTAGATGGGCTGCGTACGGAGCGCTGTTCCTAAGGTGAGGTGAGGTGCTGTTCTGTTTGCCCATGCAGGCCCGTGTTTGCAGGTACGGAACTTCTCGTACGTACGGGTGCATGGATGAATGATTCCGTACATGTACTCGTACAGCCACGACGGTGGGATGATCGGAAGGGGAAGGGAAACGAGAGCTCAAGTACTGGCTACCCGCGGGACTGTGCATGTCACTGGCAGTTCCGGCATCGCTCGAGGGACTGCGGCCCTCAGGTAGCGGGTACAACAACGAGCACAACTGCTCGTGCTGCAGCTCGTCTCCCAACCGCCCCACGCCCAAGAACCCCATAACGTACAGTTAGCTTGATTCACGCCTCGGCCTGAATCGACGGATCACCATCCCGTGATGCCTTATCGCCCGCTGGGCATCGGCAGCAGCTTGAGCGCAAGGCCCGGGGGTACATTGACGGCATTAGAGGCAGCTGTCACGCGTGGTGCGGACCCTTACCAATGGCAAGTCACTCCTGGGAGCTCGACAAGGGCTGGTTCCCCACGCCGATGCAAAGACCGGCGCCATGGCGTCCTGCCCAATCGGAGCGCCTGAACGGCATGGTTTGAGGCTGGGCTGGGCTTTGATTGTGTGGTTGCGTTGAAGGTTTCACTGTGGCCGGCGAACTCGTTGCTCCATGTACGCTTTGTTCGAGCTTTTTCTGATGCTCGAGGTGCAGACTTGGTGATGCTGCACCACCGTCTAGTGTCTCTACCTTGAGGGAATACCTTAGGCAATCCAAAGAACAGCGCGTAACAGTGCTACTCAAGCCTACCATCTCGCTTTCACAAGCCGGCACGCTGATTTAGGCACTGATTGATGCAAGCACTAAAATTCAAGGTCCGCACCGAGAGCCTTCGGCCGGCCAATGACGTGCCGCGCTGCTCACCACAGGTGCCGGATGAGTCCTAGCCTCCAGGATGACCTGCCTGCGTCGTCGCGACGTACACCGTACACTGAGCAAGGCAGTTTGCACGGTATTAGCACATGGCATCACTCGTTATCGCGATAAGGCGCGGCACGTGACATGACTAAGCACGGCGCCCGCCTGGGGAAGGCTGCGTCTCGTCGTTGACGCCTGGTGGCAGCTGAGAGAGCTTTGGTTGCGTAACGAAGTAGCTGGCTGATGCTTCGTCGAAATCTTCGTATCCCATACACCATTGCTCACCGATCGATCAACTCACCGACTCACACATTGTGAACAGCACGACCGTCGTCCTCAGCCTCATCTTGTTCTACTTTCTCCCATCAATCACCTCCGTGCAATCGATAACACCGAGCAGTCGACAAGATGGGCGACGTCCTCGTGGAAAACCAAGCCACCACGGTGCCGCCACACAAGAAGGCCGCGCCCTCAGCCATTCCAAACATCGAAGACTTTGAGGGCATGCCCGCCGACGGCGAGGATGACTACGCCACTCTGAAAAAACTGCAGAGGCAGTTAGAGTAAGGCTGCCCCCTTGCCGCCGCATGCCGTCCAGGACTCTGCTCCGGACGGACGACGACCACCTCAGCATCATCTGAAGCAGAGTCGCTGACTGTTCGTCCAGGTACATCCAGCTCCAGGAGGAATACATCAAAGATGAACAAAGGTACGAGCCTCTCCCATGCCTATGTGATGAACCTTCCCATCCGCCAAAGTCCAAGACACTGACATGCTGACTGCCCCGCAGGAGTTTGAAGCGAGAGCTGGTACGAGCTCAGGAAGAGATCAAGCGCATCCAGAGTGTACCCCTCGTCATTGGCCAGTTCATGGAGGCCATCGATCAGAAGTAAGAAAGCACTCCCACCCAACTGCCCCCTCGACTTCGCCAAGTTCTCCGTCTAATCTCTCGCAACGCAGCACCGGCATTGTTCAGTCAAGCACAGGCTCCAACTACGTCGTCCGCATTCTGTCCACCCTCGACCGCGAGCTGCTCAAGCCCTCCTCCTCCGTTGCGCTGCACAGACACTCCAATGCCCTCGTCGACATCCTCCCCCCCGAAGCCGACTCCTCCATCGCCATGCTTGGCGCCGACGAGAAGCCCGACGTGACATACGCCGACGTTGGTGGTTTGGATATGCAGAAGCAGGAGATTCGAGAGGCCGTCGAGCTGCCCCTGACACACTTTGATCTGTACAAGCAGATCGGCATCGATCCTCCTCGCGGTGTCCTGCTATACGGCCCACCCGGAACCGGCAAGACCATGCTTGTCAAGGCCGTTGCCAATTCGACGACTGCCAGCTTCATCCGTGTTGTGGGCTCAGAATTCGTCCAGAAGTACCTGGGAGAGGGTCCCCGAATGGTTCGCGACGTCTTCCGCATGGCACGTGAGAACTCGCCCGCCATCATCTTCATTGACGAAATCGACGCCATTGCCACGAAGCGATTCGATGCCCAGACCGGTGCCGATCGTGAGGTGCAGCGTATCCTGCTCGAGCTGCTCAACCAGATGGACGGTTTCGATCAGACATCCAACGTCAAGGTCATCATGGCCACGAACCGTGCCGACACCCTGGACCCCGCCCTTCTGCGTCCCGGCCGTCTCGACCGGAAAATCGAGTTTCCCTCCCTGAGAGATCGTCGCGAGCGTCGTCTCATTTTCACCACCATTGCCAGCAAGATGAGCCTGGCGCCCGAGGTCGATCTGGACAGCCTGATCGTGCGCAACGACCCCCTTTCCGGTGCCATCATCGCTGCCATCATGCAGGAGGCAGGTCTACGAGCGGTCCGCAAGAACCGTTACAACATCATCCAGTCCGATCTTGAAGATGCCTACTCAAGCCAAGTCAAGGGCACCAGCGATGACAACAAGTTTGACTTTTACAAATAAGCTGTCAATATTTAGCAATGTAATGAGGAAAATCACAGAAGACAGACGATGGAGGCGGACCGTATCAGAAGGAGAGGGGCAAGGGAGTTGTCATTTATCATATGCAGACAGCTTCTTTATTCAATAGGCATTGTGGAAAGGATACCGGTAGAAAACAAGGGCGGACAGGGAGCGCCCAATCAACACACGGAGAGGGAGGGATGGTAGATGAACAGACAGATAATTGAAAAGGGGATAGCTGTTGGTGCCGTCGTCCCTGCCATGATCTACGGCGTCGAAATCTAGTCGGTTCTTGGATCGTCCGTGTAACAGCAAACTGTCTTCTTTGTCTGCTTGTATCTGTAGGAAAGGCTGTCCCTGATCATGAAAGCTTGAGACAGGATGAGTCACGGGTGTGATGATGAGACTCTGAAAGAAGTAGGTCTATAATAGGAGCGGTTATTTTGCTGCTATGGCTAGGTATCCTGCTCATGTTGCTGCATCCTTCTCATCCTGCCATATGCTTCCATCTATAGTGCTAAACGCGTCCAGCTCATCACCTCATGTTTACAGGGACTTCGCGGGAAATAAAATGCTCACGAAAGAAGTCTCACCCTCTTCTTCTCACTTTTCCATTTCTATTGCTGCTTGTCCAACTTCTCCTTGTTTCTTTTCTCGTGCGTCTCACCAGCGTTTTCTTTCATCTGTTTTGCCCATGGACCCGTTGATGCAAAGCCACTGGGCCAACGAGAGCCACAGCCACACAAGTTAAGACCAAAACCACGTTCAGGGACAAAGGCCTTTTATTCTACAGCTAAACTTGGCGCTTCTATTTTCCTTCTCTTTTTCTATATCTTCTTCTACTCCCTTCTTTCTGCTCACACCCGACGCATTTTCACTCTCTTTTTGTCACGAAGCTTCACCGCCTTCTTTCTTTGGTACCTACCTACCTAGCACCTAAAGCATCCTCGTTCACCGCTTTCCTCACTTGTTTTGGTTGCATTGAGTATAGCCTTGGAGTGCCTCTTCTCAACCTCTTCTCGCGGCATCTCGCAACGCGCATCGCCTTTGCCGGAGTGCTTTGGGTCTCGCAACTTTTTGGGCGCCTTTCATTTTTTTCCCTCTCATTTTGGTCACGGCGCTTTTCGGATTCGTTTTTGTTTTAACTTTGTATATCAGATGGCAATTTGGCCGGCCTACGCTTTATGGACTCTATTCGCCTCGACTCGCTCCACGAGCCATTGCCACAGATAAACTCACTGGAAGCGACTCCGAGCTTTGACGAAACCGTTATTGAGCTGGTCAAATCAGACCTTATTCCGCCTCGTCGCGTCACGTCATCACGCAGTTCTACGATCAAGGTCTCTGAGGTTGACGATGCTGTCTCAGACAGTCTCTCCACAGAAACACTTCGAGAAACTTCACCGGACTGGTTCTCTTTAAACACATCCCTGAGCGTTGAGATACCGGACAGCGTCCAGCTTGTACCAAGATCATGCTACCAAGGGTTTCAACCCCCTGATGGCCTACTGAATTTGCCAGAATGGAAGGCTGTTCAGACTCTTACCCCAGCCTTGGCGGAAAGCTCGCAAGACTTTGACGAAATCCTGCTGGACGACTTTGCGATTTACCTTGACAAGGAAACATGTTCACAAGAAATGCGATCCTTGCACCAGCTCAATACCAAGATTGGACACAACGACTTCTACTTTGACGGCGTCGTCAGCGTTGGCGAAGCCAGGGCATACGTGCGCCGTATCCCCATCATCGCTGTCCCCATTGGCAACTATGGCTCAATCTCTTACCACACTGTCCGAGACAACATCTGGCTGCAGTCTCCTCTGAGCTACAAACGAGAGTTATACTACAGGTTGGGAAAACCGGCCAAAGAGTATGCACGCTTCTTTTACCCATTCCTGTGGGTGGCGGACCTGGCGAAGCACTTTGTAGACTTTCTCTCCATTATGGCAGAAAACGAGCGCAGTGTTTCTATACATCACTTTCGGTCGACTTTTGCAGCTTGGATGAAGAAAAGCCACAAGGATTCGCCCGAGTTTCTCAGCTGGCTGCGTCAACACCCGAGCGATGACTACCGGACCTCGATAGCCGCCAACATTGGATTCCTCCACAAAGAGACTCTGGGGGTGTTGAACCACCGAGAGGCGTATTCCCATGCTATCTGGGCCGAGATCTGTGATTTCCAGTCATTCAAGGCCATCACAAGCCAACCCAAGATTGAGAATCCGCCGACGATTGTCACGCAATACATATATGACTGCTTTGAACATCTTCCGTTTGGCGATCGCCTTCTAGTTGTCCCCTTGAGCTCGCGGACCACGGAGCTACGCAACAGCTTGATCCGACAACGGCACTTGGAGCTTCCGTCGAAGCTGCACCAGACATCCAAAGACATCTCTACAGCTCCACAAGAGCGAATCAAGAATATTCGGCCAGGTGACACCATCTCGACCCATCGCGATGACGCAGAGTCCGGCACATTGTGGAAGCGAGAACTATCCAAGGGCTTCTCTGACGTGGACAGATGGTTTGCACTGGTGCAGTCTGTTCACGTTGACAGAAACGGGGTGCGTACCTTTGATGTGATTTGGTACTACAGACCTGTGGACACGCTCTGCGGGTTGATGAAATATCCATGGAATAATGAGTTGTTTCTCTCAGACCATTGCTCTTGCTCTGAGAAAGTCAAGATCGAAGAAAGCGAGGTGCTCGGTGTCCATGCTGTTGATTTCTGGGGCACCTCAGCAACAAGCGCGGAGCTCTTTTGCCGGCAGACCTATCTGCAAGAAGAGAGAAGATGGGTGACGCTGGATGGGAAGCATCTACAATGCAGGCACACCTCACCAATACCTGATGAACATATGCCACCCAAGTATCAGCCAGGGAAGACATATCTACTTCGTCTGAACTTGCAAGGTTCATTTTCCGAGCCTTGTGAGTTTATGCACACGTCGAGTGAGGGAGGTCGAAGCGTGTATCACTTCAGGCGACTGTTGCGCCGTCGCCAGGTTGATCCAGACGCTCGCGATGCGCGGCCAAATGAGCTTGTATACAGCGAGCAAACTTGCAGAGTCAGTAGGGATCGAATCATGGGCCCATGCTTGGTGAGATACTTCCGTGATGATAAAAAGATTCCGACGCCGTATGACCGCGACGGCACGGGAAACCTCTTCTACATTACACATCGACAGATTGTCGTTGATGGAACGTCGAAGTACGTGCCAGTTGATGAAGCACCGGCTTCGCTGCATCAAGGCTTTGATCCTCACCAGAAGTTGCAGAAGCTTCGCGGAATGGATCTTTTCTGCGGAGGCGGCAACTTTGGCAGGGGGCTTGAGGACGGCGGAGGCATCCAAATGAAATGGGCGAATGACTACGACAGCAAGGCCATCCACACATACATGGCCAACGTCAGAAACCCCGAAGACGTCCACCCATTCTTGGGGTCAATTGACGACTTACAACGCCTTGCCATTGAGGGCAGCTTTGCGGACAACGTGCCCCTGATTGGAGACGTTGATTTTGTGTCCGGCGGCAGCCCCTGTCCTGGCTTCTCACGCCTGACCAACGACAAGACGACGGCAGCGCAGAGGAAGAACCAGTCGCTTGTTGCGGCTTTTGCATCCTTTGTTGACCTCTACCGGCCGAAGTACGGCGTGTTGGAGAATGTACCTGGGATGGTCCACAAGAAGGACGACCGAGACCGAGACGTCTTCAGCCAGCTCATCTGCTCTCTCGTCGGCTTGGGCTACCAGACGCAGTTCTTCTACCTGGACGCATCGTCTTGCGGGTCGCCGCAGCGCAGATCCCGCATCTTCATCGTGTTTGCCGCCCCAGGACTCGAGCTGCCCGACAAACCGGTGCAAACGCACTCACACCCTCCCAACACGAAAGAGCATGGGATCGGATGGCTGCCCAACGGCCAGCACATGGCAAGCCGAGAAATGCCGGCGGCCACGCCCTTCAAGTTCGTCTCTGCGGCAGAAGCGACCGCTGACCTGCCGCCGATATACGACGCCAAGCCCGACATCTGCGTCCCTTACCCGGACCACCGCTCAACATCAAGCATGTCAGACTTGCTGCGGGCTCGCATATCAGCCATCCCGACACGACCATGGGGCATGAACTTTTCGCAAGCGTGGTTTGGAGAGAAGAAAGTCGGCGGCTCCGGCACGATGACGGCAGCCGAGCGCGAGCTGTTCATCGGGACGAAGGGCGAGGGCAAGCAGCCAATGTCGACGCAGCCCAACTCGAAGTCGTACGGAAGGATGTTCCCCAACAGGCTCTTTGAGACTGTGGTGACGAGGCAGACGCTGGGTGACGCCAAGAACGGGCGGCTGCTCCATTGGCGAGAGAATAGGCTCGTAACCATCATGGAAGCGCGCAGGGCACAGGGCTTCCTCGACGAAGACGTCCTGCTCGGCGACCCGCCAACGCAGCACAGGATCGTAGGCAACAGCGTTGCGAGGCAGCCTGCTGTGGCTCTTGGTGTGACGTTTCGCGAAGCGTGGGTGGCGAGCCTCAAGAGGAACAGAGAGCTGCAGCGCGCGAGTAGTAGCTGTGCTGCTGCCGAGGAAGCTGGCACTTTCACGGAGGACGTTCCAGTGACTTGTGAGCCGATAAAGATGCAAAACGGCATGGACACATTAACGGACCAGTTGAGGGCCTTTACGCCCGCAACGGACAGCACAATGCAGTCGACGGATATCATGATGGGTAACAAACGTCCTCGTTCGGCCAATCTGGTGATTGAGCTGCTCGAGTCCTCGAAACGACAGAGACCGAGCGCGTTTTGAAGATGTGGTGCTCGTTTTCTTGCTTTCTTGATGAAGAGTATATACTGTATATCAGCTATATCCTTGGGGTTAGATGATTTAATCTTGGTGTAGCGGCTCTTTCTTGACTGAGAGAATTGGATGGGCAAGGTGTGGACAACAAAGGACGAGTATATATCGCATGGGCAGTAGATGCTGCAGATCAAGTGGTGGTGGCATATCAGTGAATAAGACATCATCTTGCTTACTTTGACCATTTTCTTCTCTTGATGAATGCCAAATGCGGGAGCATGTCAGAAGCAAGACACTACAAACATACGTTCTCGTACCTACCTAGGTAATCAAACAACATAAACGCAGGCCCGGATCACAAAGCACGTAACAGATCGTGTGAGTCCGTCCATCAGAAGTACCTGCATACCGGCGACATGACGAGCTTGGTATAAAGCTTACAGGCAGACAGCCCAAGTTGAAGTGATGACAGACCAGTCCAACGACGTACCACTACTTGCACCTGCTTCTAGGTGAGGTACTGGGCGTCAAAAACCGGAGAATCCGGCGTTTAGCTTTCAACGACGATCCATAGAGCCAACCGGCGACATACCTATAGGAAAAGACCCGAAGGAAGGAAAAGCAAACAGAGATGTGAAGCAAGAAGTTGTTATGTGGGCGGAGGGAAACAAGTGAACGACATCATGTGTTCCCGGCTGTTGTTCACGTCCACCTCCTCTGGCGGCCGAGTTTCATTCCTGTATAATAAACCCTCCCCCCCCCCCCCCCACTGCCTGGTCAAGCAGCACGCGGGTTTTGGCGACGTTGGTGTGTGTGTGTATTACCGAAGTCGGGGTCTTCCTTGACGCCATTACGGATTACTCCGTACAACTAGTACAGGAGACGGCATCCCATTTTGCCTTATTACCCGGGCCGTATCTTGAGCGTTGTAGGTGTGCCTTGGCGTGTCAGACAGACACAACCTGCGGGCACTTTATCACTGGGATGCCTGGCCGCATCGCATGTCGCTCGCATGTCCCCTCATGCATGTGTGCCGTCTCCGGGTTGATGGGTAAGCTATAGAACTAGAGCTGAGGGCTTGTCCCCTGTCCCCTGTTCACGTATATTCCTTGCCCCCTGTCCCCCCCCTCCCTGTCCTGTCTTTTGACAAAAGCTCAATTCTGCGCAAGGAGGAATAGGTAGAGTGGTATCAAACTCCATGGGGTAATTTAGAGTAAGAAGGTCTGACATGGCCCTTGGAGGCGCATCGGCGCCATGCTCGGTGTTGCTTTCTTTGTACTGTACTGGCTGTAATACTTTGCTCGAGGCTCTACAGAATCACATGTCTCTTCTTCAGCTGTTGCCGTTGCTTGAAGGGATACTGACTCGGCCCTGTTTTATTGTACTACTACCTACTATATGACAGGACTGGTGCACGCATCTGATGCGGCCGACGCTGGATGAGTGTCATCGCCGAGGGCGGCACGCAACACAGTTCCCATTCGAAGGTCACGGCATTGAACATGCTACAACAATACCTACTGTAGTAGCAAATGGAAAAAGAAAAGCCGGTAGCAGACATGTTTTGGCATCCCCGGGCCACGTGGCCGACGCGTTGCAGACGGGCGAAAAGGGAAATAATGAGAGCATGTGTGTCACTTCAGCTACTGCTGACTTGGATACGACATGGATTACGGAGGACAGGCTCACTCAATCGGACGAGTAATACCTGTATGTAGGTAGTAAATAATAACAACAAGGCCAAGAAGTGCTTGACAAGCGAAAACGAACAAGAGGTGGCCTGCCATCGCGCCACATCCTCGTCCCCTGTCAGTAGAGCCTCAACCGTGAACAAGGGAGCACGCAAATCGACGTCGCCAGGTTTACAGGCATCAGTTGTGTATACTATTACCTAGTAGGTATACATATGATACGGTACATACGATTGCAAGTGCTGCGGTTAGACCACGGGCGTCTGCTGAGGTGGATGTTGTTTGAAATCGTCTAAGCGTGCTTGTTATAGTAGGGACAGCTCCTACATTCTCCGAGAGGCCTTTGCCAGTATAGTAGGTGTTTCTTTGTGATAATATAACTGGCGGCTGGGCAAAATACAAGAACCTACGCGGCAGAATTGTTAGTGCATGAAAAAGGTGGCATGGCAGGAGCCTAGATCTGCAGGAACGGGGATTCCATGACCGAAGGAGCGACTGGGTTGAAGCTGGCGTGCGTGAGCTTCAGCCTATGACACGACGCTACTTTGCGATATACGGAGAATTAGTGCTCAAGACATGTACCGGGACTGCACCGATGTGCGACGGTCTCGAGATTGAAACTTGGAAGGCGCGGACTCGAGGCCAGATTCCTGCTTCATCCCCCTCCTCAGTCCGGTTCTCCTCCTCCTCTTCTCGTCTCCTCTCCACCGCCTCCATGTCCCAGATCGATTCTTCACCACGAATGCCTACTCGTACACCAAACCCCTGCAAAATGAATCTAGGCCCTCCCTGCCTAGCACGAGCCAACCAGGCAAAAGGTCCAACCATCTCCCACGAGACAGGCTCCAGAAAAAGAAGAAGGGAAAAGATGGGGGCGATGGAGCCGCGCCTCTGAAACAGGCGACGATTCGGGCATGGCCGACGCCTCAACTTGTCGGATCGGCCATTTCTCACCCACATTGCCAGACAGCCAGAAGCACCAAGAAGAAGCACGAGCAACTAGCACCACTGCTAGGCCATGCGCGGGAGCCATGCCGAATGAAGTACCGAGGAGGTATACACCTTCTTACCGCGCTAATACTGGGAATGGAGAACCTGGTGGAAGGAGGAAGCATGCCATGTCAACTGCGACGTCCTTTGGCTAGTGTTGCCTGATGTCTTATGGAATCATCAATATCACGATTGTTCGACTCAGCATTGGAAATTGAGCGAACGGCGACAGGGTATACTCGCACATGGCTCAGTATCGGGTCCTGGGCGGTTTTTCGTTGAATCGCAGACCTTGCACGAACTCTTCGGCTGCCCAACTGGCAAGGCAAGCGAATCATGGTGTCAAAAACTCGCGATACAACTGCGTACGAGTACGAGCCCGGCCTCTGGTCTTTCGGGAGCTCTCATTGACAGAGGTTCTCCGAGCCCAAGTCCCCAGAGCATGGGCCGGGTTACAGTGTGTACTACAAGCTTGCAGGGTCTCGCTGAACCAACGGCAGCTAGCGTTCGGCCCTCCGCTTCTTTTTCTTTCTGGAAGCTGAAGAGGAATTCCGGGACCTCGGGAGAAATGGCATAATGACACCGGTTGGCTGGCCAGTTCTCGGGCTCATGGCTAAAGGCAAGTTGCCGGCACAGTTTCAGCTTCGCACGGAGTTGATGCAGCCCGATGGAGTCGAGAGCGACGAGCTCTCTTACATGTGCAGCAAGCGACAGGCATCCCATGCTTCTGCCACTTTCTTGCTTTTTACCTGCCCGTGCATCTCGTGCGTTTCCGTGCCTCGCTGGGGTGGCACCCCGGCTTCTACTTGTCGGCCGCGCTCTCGCTTGCTCATCAAATTTAAGGAAATGTTGAATGATTACTCAGATTACTCAGTTCATGCATGCACGGCGGCTCATGGAACTCTCGTTTTGCTCGGAAGTCTGGAGGACCGGGCGGCTGCCCTACTCGTTCAATGTGCCTTGGACATCGGGCAAAGACGGTCGAGGGGGAGAGAGTGAGCGAAACGACAAGCTCTAGCGCCCTCTTGGATCCGGAACGGTTCCCTACTCGGCCCTGACGCCTAGGCTGGAGCAGCAACACGGCCAATGCCGTGTCGTGCATTGGGGTAAATGCGAGAGAGGACAATTACTCGCCAGAGGTAGGAGAGCTTGAGCTTGCTCAATGGGTAAGGGGGGAGGGAGGAGGCTGAGTTATCATCGAATGAGATGCTGTCTGGTCGACGAAGATTGGGTACGGATATGGAGTAGGATCCCAAGAATGGGGCACGCACATGCTTGTGCCACTCGCCGCGGCAGCCACACGCACATCAGAAGCCACCTACAAGTACGGATTACGAAGTGCAATTACCATCCCATTACTGGTATACTGTGTCACGTCTTCGTTGCGGGTTCCATTGCAGGAACACGGACCGGCTGTCGCCGCATATAGCGAGCCCTCCGAGCTAAGCCATTCATCCTTGGCCTGGTCGGTTGATTTCGATCCGATTGCTGTCGTTCCTGTTCCTGGCCAGCATCGTCAGGCAAGCATCGACATGAGGCAGCGTCGCTCATTTGCAAGGCGACGACCAAGACAGGGCAGGGCAACGGGACAGGGTTGTGACAGGGCAGGCCCTTCGCTGGGCACCCCGTCGAGCAGCTGAGCAGTGCCAAATCAAGTCGTCCGAGTACCTGCCAAGTACTTGGATTCGAAGCCACCGGTCTTGATGGCTTGTTGCTGCGTGTCTGTGGTACCCACCGCAAGCGCCCGGGCCCCGTCTCTCATCAATCAAGACTGCCGGCCCTGCTCGCACCAAAATAGCGAGCCTCCTTGAATCGAAAGGCACCGGCATCCAATCTCATTTTCTTTTTTCCTGCCGGGCCAGCCAGTTGCTCCCGGAGAGCTGCCCAAAGCTTACCTGCCAGGATCCCGGCGCTCCTCTTTTTCCTTTTTCTATCTTGTCCCATCCATTCCCGTCTCTTTCTTTCTCCTTCATTGTCCCGTCAGATTGCGTTGAGCATCGGCTTCGACGGAATCGGCATCTGCTGCTGAGCTTCTCGTCTCTTGTCTTGATGGTACTACGACGACTTCTTTAGGATCAGAACCTCTGTCCACTCAAGATTTCACACGGCCTCTCTCACTTGGTTGTTTTTTTTTCTTTTTACATTCGTCACTTCGGGTCACGAGATTACTGGTTTCGACACTACACACTTCCGCACAACCACCCCACACACTACGCGAGCCTGAGCCCTGGACGTTTGTTTGAGAGATCTGCTTCTGCTTCTGTATCAAGTACGAAGTAGGAGTGGTACTGTCGACTAATCCAAGAGAGCCGTATCTCAGACCTCAGTGAGACCCGAGGCAGCGGCGAGGCCTGGACAGCCCTGCGGCTAGACGCGCAGAGTGGCGACTTTCGACTTACATCGGCGGCGGGCTGGGGTTGCAGCACTTCCCAAGACTTCCCAGGCTCTGTACATGGCTCTGATACCCTGCTGCTAAATTTGCAGCCTTACAAAGCACGGCCGACGTCGCCTGCAAATTCATTATTATCACGACCAGGGTTTCGAGTTGGACCGACACGCAAATTACACGACGAGTGCGCAGCAGACAAAAGGACCGTCGACGACGAACAACGAACAGCCAATTCCCGAGCCGCTGTCCGCACAGCGCATCAGGCTCACGCGCAGGTCGTTGGGAACCTCTTGCAGACGCACACACACGTACACGCACCAGACAACACATCGTTCTCTCATTCGTCGCCTGCGCGCTGCATATACTTATCCAATCGCTGGATACTCGCTCGACGACTCACGGCTTAGCCTCTACTCCCCGGGCGTTGTTCGCGGTCCGCCCCCAAATTTCCTGCCCTCCGAGCCGCCGTTCCCCTCGATATCACAGTACGGCTCAACCGCGTGCGCCATGACATATATCGTAAGTTGATTCATCGTTGTCTCTGTCTTCCTTAGCTGCACATCACATGCGTCCTAGTTTGTCCTCTCACTTCCCTGCAGTGCCACTGATTCATTCCTCTCTCATGCATGTTGCATGCGCTCGGCTTCCCCCATGCAGCATGTATATGTACATATGCGCAACCCAACCATTATCCTGCAAAGCTGCATCCATCCATCTTCTGTCTGCACGGTCATCCATTGGCACCGCACGACATTCGAATCGAAACCCAACACAAGGCTGGCTGCTGAGATTGGCCCGAGTTCCCCTTCTCTCGCCCTTTCCGACCTTTCTTCTTCTTTGTTACTTCCCATCTGCCTCTCCTTGCATTGGCTACCACCTGGGCTGCCTCTGCTTCCCTCTAGTTGAGACTCCGCAGTTCCCTGGCTTCGTGTTGGCGAGAGGTCGTGCGTGTGCCGTCGAGAGCTTTGACTGTTTGCCACCTTGACCACCTCTCACTACCAGAGCAGCGGGAGATACCACGCCATGCCTGTTACATGTCCCTCCAGAAGCGTACGTGCATACAGACACACAGACACACCGCTGCCATCAGTCTGCTGTGCTGTCCGCCCACATGGTCTCCCCTCCGGATTGTATACCTGCCCATGGCAGTGTTGCCGGAGTCGACCGAGAGAGCACCACCCTTATCTGCTCTTACCTCGCGAGTGTCTTCCGCTCGTACACAATGGTCAAGCTGGTTGCACTGGGCAAGTGTCCAAAGTCCTTAGTGCAGTGCTCGGAGGAGAAACAAGATAGAGTGGCCTGCAACATGGCTCAGATGGGACAAGCATTCCAGCATGATGCTGCTGCTGCGCACGCCTTTGTGCCCTACTTCTCAAGGGACCAAAGTGGCTCCCTTGAGCAATCTCGCATCTGAGTGTGAGCTTTACCTCGCAGCAACCACGAAATCCTGTTCATTGGATTGCGGCGTCGCCTTAGCCCCTTTGCCAGGCCTATTTACCCCTTCATGCTGGCCGTTTTCACTCCAGCCACCTTCTTCCTCTTCCATGCACCGATACATTCACAAATGCCCACGACGCACATGAGCCTACCATGGATTCCACGCTCCTGCTAACCCTCCATCTTCAGCTATGTCTGGCCCACTACTGTGACATCCATGGGCCAACTCCCCTGATGGTCACCGAGGGTCTGGCGAGTCCTTGTGGCGTCTGTCACGAACCCTCAGCCGCATCAAGCGACAAGCCCCCACGCTCCGCTCCAGCTGCGTCAGAACCCCAGCAGCCTCGGGCGTCGCCAGCCGCAGTTACCGACGGGCTTCGGGAACTGAGCCTTTCACAAGAGGGCCAGTCTCACCGTCCGGCCCTGCGTCGATCCCCCGGCACCGGTGCCAGCTCCGGCAATGATGGCGCTGCAGTGACTGGCCTCGACACGCCACCCGAGAGCCCGCGACCTCTGTCCCAGCAGCCACGGCGAGACTCGAGCTACCGTAGGACCTACGATGAAACCGTTACCCGGAAACAGGGACCTTGTGACAATTGCGCCATGACGTTGCCTCGCAGGCAGCAGAACGTCGCGGCAGCTGCGGAAGACGCCATTGACACGCGGGCCCCAACCTTGCGGACCCGCGCGCCGGCTGAGCGTGTCTTCCTCCCCGTCGACGCAGCGTCGCCACCAAACTCGCAATCCTCAAGTGACACGGACGCCGAACACGAGGTCCCGAGACAGCCGCGCAGCAGGAAAAACGTGTCGTCTGTGAGCTCACGGACAACGTCGTGCTCCAGCACGTCTACGACTTCGGAGCGTCATCCCAGCCACGTGCACTATGTGGACTACACGTCGACTCATGAGCCCATTCTGCCCGACTCCTTTTCGCTCATCCGTGCCTCATGTCTGCGCGCCCTATCGTTTGAGACTCTCCCGCGAGCCCCTTCGACCGCGACGCCCACAGCTTCTCCTCAGCACCACAACTCGCCTTCCTTTGTGACCACGCAGAGCGCGGGTTCGGCAGCGTCGGGTGGTGCCATCTTTTTTGGTGATTCTTTGGCCGGATACACCACCGCCTACATCTTCCGAATTCCCGATCTCCACGCTCGAGGTCACAAGCGGGTCTATGCCTTTCTGGCACTCAGCACCCACAAAGAGAGACTCGCCATGAAGACGTTTGCGGGCGTTTCTGCGGCCTTTCGCGAGCTCGCCACCTGGATCCAGACTCTTGCCGAAGCCGAGGCAGAGCGTACGGCGGAGGCATCTCCCATCGGAAGCGTCCTGCAGAGCGGTGGACCCGGCAGCCATGTCGCATCATCATCGACCGCCATGGACGCGCCAAATGTGGACCGCAGCGCCAGCAGCTTTCTCACCGGAGGGAGCGGCTTCACCAGACGCATGGGAGGTCCCGGCAGCGTTTCCTCGCTCAAGGCCCGTGGCCTTGCGGAACTCGTTGGGCAGCCAGACTTCTTCATCACGCTGCACAAGAAATTCGTGCAGCTCCTGTTCGAGGTTGGCGTGTCCCTGAATTCGTAACGAGGGCGAAACCCTGACGCGTCCTGTGCGGCTCGACCACCGAAATTGCATCCCCGCCGCTTGTACTCTTCTTCTCTTATAAATAGTTCTTACTGATACCCGCCGAACGGCACTGCGAAACATCCTTCAGGGAGGGAGAGTCGCGGGCCGCTTCAGTTTAAACTGAGAGCCCGTTTTCCTTCCCTCTTCCCAACCGTCTCATGAGGCATCTTCATCACATTAAGCCTTGTTAGTACCGCGTCCATTGTCAGCATAGCACCGGTGTTATCTCTTTTTCTTGTTACATCCCTTTGTTTGACACGATACGATACGAGTTGGCGCGTCCGGGTCATGGTAACGGCAGCAAGCTCGGCTATGATAAGACGTCTTTTACGTCGGCTCTTTTATTTACCTAGGGTGCTATTTCTATAAACCTTTTCTATATTTCTTCTTAATCTCATGTCTCGACACTTCTCTTCAGTATCTTCTGTCCCCGTGTGTGTCGATTCACCTACATTACTGTAATGTGGTGACCCATGATAACATCTTCTTTTCTCTTTGATCTTGCCGTCAGGCCAAATAAGAATCTCGTGTCGTCCTCTTTCTACTTTTTATTCAAGGTGCTAAGGAAAAGGGCATTTTTTTCAATCAAAAATGGGTTGGGAGGGGAAATTCAAAACTCGAAACAAAATAGGTCTTTGATACGCCTTACTTCAACACTTTGGTTCAACTCAGATTCAGGAAGCTACTGGAAAGGGTGTTTAGGCAGGGAACTTGGGATCAAGGGAAATTCTTCTTGAGGGCTCGATAAAGGAATATGAGAATACTAAAGTTGGATATCTGTCTGAACCCTTTTGTCTTTGATGTTTTGAACATTTGCTTGTGGTGCTCTTGTTTTCGGTGAATTCGACAATAACGGCCTATGCTTTCTTTAAGGAGTAGCTACCTAGCCAGTAACCAAATTTGGCTCATCCAGCGTCTGTCTGGTCAATCGATATGTGCCTTTATTGCTGCTATACCACACACCAGATAGTACATCGCTTCGAGATCCTCTCATCCCCCAGGTATATTCAATGCTTCAGTCTAAAGAACGCCTTTAGTGCAATCTCCGTAACAGCCCCATGATAGCTGAGCTGCAGATCCGTTCCAGCCCATCTAATAGTCCCATATACATGATATTGCTCACGCCACTTTTTGTCTCCCCAGCCTTCATCTCCTCCTTCGGAACCGGCTGTTATGAGCCGGGCCACCCTTGGCGCCGTGGTTCCGCAGCTTCAGCCGGTGGAAGTTTGCGTGCGCCAGCTGGTTGACCTTGCGGGCCGCCTTCTTCACCACTCCTTCTGGCTTGGCGGGCTTTTCCGCTTTGGCCTTTGCGCCTGGGGTATCATGTCCGTCTTCGTATTCGCCGTCAGACTCGCCTGCGATGTCTGACTTGTCCATCTGAGCTTGGGTATCTGGAATCGTTGCCTGGTCGTCCTCGTCCTCATCACTTTCATTATCCTCTGCCAGGTTCGCTGGCCGCTTGGTTCGCACCGGCCGCATGTTGACTCGCCGCGTCGTTCGCTTCTGTCCCTTCTTTTTGAATACCTTCATCGGCCGTCCGTCGCGGTCTACAGCGTCTTCTGTAGGGCTGTCGTACATGCCTTCGTCGTCGAATCCACCCAATGGCAGCTGTTTGGCTTGACTATCCGGCTCCAGTATGTCCTGCTTTGGCTCTGGTTTTTGCGACTTGACAGGGGGCTGAGGCGGCGGACCTCCTGAGGCGGCCTCGGCCTCAGCTTCAACCTCCCGCAACGCCTCGAGATCGTCGTCCAACTGTTCTTCCTCGACTTTCCGAAGACTGGCCACTATTTCGCTCAAGCCACGAACCAGGGGCTTTCGCGGTAATCTGAGCGGTGGAGCATCGAACGTCGTGTTTTCGTCTAGCGTCGGCAGAGAGTGCCTCTTTAGAAAGGCGGGAGTATCAAACTGAAGCTTGGATACAGAGGAAGGCGTGCCCGCCATATTCTGCCCATCTCTCTTCTTCATAGGTGTTGAAAATAGCTTTCGTTTGCTCGTGGAGCTGGGAGTACGGCCGAGGTTGGCCGCAGCATCATCGCTCAAGCTGCTTCTACGCTTACTAGGCGTCGCGTGGACATTGGCAGGGCGAGTCGCTCCTTTTAACGGGCTCTTGAACTCCCGCTCCACCAACAGATCGAAGAGGCCAAGGACTTTGCCATCTCGCTGCGGCGTTGGGCCGATGGACGTTATGGGGGTTGGGCTGAATAGCTTTCGAGAGACGGCCGGGCTGTTCATGTACTCGTCGCCGCTTGGAGGCGCCATGCGCTTCGAGGGAGTCTCTGCGTGTTTCGCTCGCTTCATGGGGGTGCCAGCCGGCGCAGCGTCTGATTTGCGCTTCTCGTGTTTCTGCTTCGACGCCGAGGTGGTGTCTGGAGCCAGCTTGCCAGCTATGATATCGCGAAGCTTGTTGTAGTCTTTATACTTTTGGGCTTTTGGAGGCTTTAGCTGGGGGCCGTCATGGGGGCTGAGTGCTTGAGCTGTAAGAGCGTACCTATGACGGGATTGTTCTTGATGTCGTCTCTCCCCGGTTTCTTTCCATCATGTGACTTTGCCCAGTCTGCTTCCCATTGCTTGAGGTCTGTTCGCACTTTCTGGGCTTTTGCCTCGTATTCTTTCTTCAAGTTGTCGTCCATTGTAGCCTCTCGAGCGGAGGCTCCAAGCTTGATGGGAGTTGAACACCAAACCGGTGTTAGTAATGATACCGAGGCGCCGCGATTGACATGTCTGAAGGGACAAGAAGGCAATGGAGAAGGCAAAGGAAGAATTGAAGCCGGATAGCAGAAGGAAACAGGCGAGCAGCAGCTGGAGAGGATTGGCCGGTAGTCAGTTGATGCTCCTTGTTGAAAAGCGTCATGTGGGGAACTTGCAAGTCGCGAATGGAAGCGCGCTGCTTGTCATCAATTTAGAGAAGCGCGTCTTGCAGCAGCTGCACTTCAGCGGCCACTAAGTAGGTACCTACCTAGTTACGGGTAGTACAGGCTGACCCCACTGCAGCAGCCCCCCTGTAGCCACTACTGTTTACCGGCTACAGGGCGCCTAAAGCGCCACAGTTGCGGCGATTCAGCGATCTCACTTGTATGTACCTGGGTTGACATAATTGCCCCACCCTGACTAATCGATAACGATTGCGCACCTCAACCTCGGACCTCGTTGCCTCGCATCTTCTCTCAATCGCTCTCTCTCGCATCATCGCCACGGCTCTTTGGCAGCATCCTCCAGGCAGCACCAAGATTGTCGCTCTGCCTCCATGGAAAGTGGGCTGGCTGATGACAATGACGAACTACAGCGCAAAGTCCTCCAGAACACCCTGCAAGAGGTGGCCGCAAGAGAGCAGCTGACTGACACCAACTGCTGCGTCATCTGCCTCGACGCCGTCAGCGATGCGTGCGAGCTGGTGCCCTGCGGACATGACAGCTTTGACTACGTCTGCGTGTTGAACTGGCTCTATGACAACCCGCTGTGCCCTCTCTGCAAGAGAGACGTGACCAAAGTGCAGCGAGGGCCTCCCGAACGCCGAGAGTCGACCGTTATCGAACCTAAGCCACCACGACCTGAACCGTCCTCTTCGACGAGGACATATGCCCATCTGTCGCCGTTCCCCCGTCCTAGAAGGAGAACATACAGGATCCCTAGGATCACGGACGACAGTCGGGATGCTGAGAGAGCTCTAGCGCATCGGCGCAATGTCTATCTGCACAGGCGGTTCTCAAAGCATGTCGGCTCGAACAGGCTCTCCCTCTACCGGGAGCTGACACCGAGGCTCTTCTGCAGCGACGAGGCTCTCGTTTCACGGGCGAGGATGTGGATTCGCCGCGAACTACAAGTGTTCTCGTTTCTGTCCGCTGACGACTCTACTTCCGCCGCGTCCAGCTCTCGTTCAGGAGATGCAAATGAGGGCGCGGCCCAGCTACGGCGGAGAGCGAACAACGCCGAGTTCCTGCTGGAGTACATCATCGCCATCCTCAAGACCGTCGACATCATGGGCAGCGCCGGACAGGCAGAGGACATGTTGTCGGAGTTTCTCGGCCGGGACAATGCGCGGCTGTTTCTACACGAGCTGCGGTCGTGGCTGAGGAGCCCGTTTACGAAACTAGAGGACTGGGACCGAGCGGTGCAGTACGACTCTGTGGAATCCAGAGGCTCTTCATCTGCTTCTTCGCCTGCCCCGAGGCTTGGTCGAGACGCTGATGCGGCTGTTGCGCAACACGGCCCGGATCGGGTGCGGCCCAGGGGGGACTATTACAGGCCCAGGTCGGCGCAGGCTTTTCGAGAAGAGAGGCGCAAAAGACGGCGCGAGCATTATAGACAAGATGGACGACGGAGGGAGAGGAGTGCTTGACGCTCATGAGGATGTGTGTAGGATTTCGAGAGCTGAAGGCAAGGGGCTCGTCTGACAAATTCGAGGCGTGAGGCTTTGCGTACATGTAGACGGATAGAAGAAATGATACCCATGATACCGCTTTTCAAACAGAAGACGACGACGACGACTGCGATGTCACGGGGATTTTCAGGCATCCTCATTTTGGAGACCATCTTCATTTACTATGTGCATTTAATGAACTAGTCGTTGGCTGCGCCCCTTTTTCTCACCAAGTTGTGCATTGGTCGCTGCCTAGGCGGACAACCGATACGCCTTTTGATACTCCGCATACGCCGTGTCCAAGTCCGCAGAACTGAAGGGTCCGAACATGAAGCTCGGCATTCGTTTAGGCTGCCTCTTTTCTTGTCCATTATAAAGATAGAAGTTTGTGAATATATGTATAACTTGTTACATGTATCCACGTCGATTAGCACGCAGCCTCTCGTTTCAACCAGTTCACATTCATCTCACTATCGATCATATACGACACAATTGATCCGCCCTTGTAGCCAAAGGCCTGCCTCTGTACCTACAGAATAACCAAGCATCACGCGCAACCAACAATGGCAAACTACGAAATCAAAATCATCTCCGACACCGTCTGCCCCTTCTGCTACCTCGCCCGCGCCCGCATCGACCGCGCCGTCTCCCTCTTCAAGAAGACGGTCCCCGGCGCGTCCTCGTCCACCTTTACCATCCGCTGGCACGCCTTCCAGCTCGACAGATCGCTCCCACAAGGCCAGTCGACGTCGGTGCGGGACGTCGCCGTGCGGCGCTTCGGCGCGGACCGGCTGGCCGCGAAGCGCGCGCGCATGGCGCAGCTCGGCGAGCAGGAGGGCTTCCGGTTCACGTTTGCGGGAAGGGTCGGGAACACGCGCGACTCGCACCGGGTGGCGCACCTGGGGAGGCGGGTGGGCGGGTGGGAGATGGAGGACCGGGTGCAGAGGGAGGTGATGGGCATGTTCTTCGAGAGGGGAGGGGACATCACGAGCTGGGAGGACTTGAGCGATGCGGCGGAGAGGGCGGGGATCGAGCGCGGGGTCGCGATGAGGTGGCTTGAGGAGGCGAGGGGAGGGGATGAGGTTGATGAGGAGGTGGAGGAGATGGAGAGATTGGGGATGAAGGGCGTGCCGAAGATTGTGATTGATGGGGAGTTTGTGGTGGAGGGGGCAGATGATGTGACGGCCATCTTTGAGCAGCTGTATAAGGCCAAGGAGGCCAAGGGGGCCAAGGACAAGAACTGAGATTCAGGAGTAGGCGTGGTGGTTTGTGAGTAGCCCCCGTAGATCGAGTAGATGGAGGAAGATAGAACAGGAATAGAAGGGGTATCATAGTTTTTGTGCTGGCTTCTCAACCGCTGCTCGTGCAATCCTCACATGTTCCTTAACCCGCCAAGGTCCTTCTCCATAGACCTCAACCTCGCCTGCAGCTCCCTCTTCTTCCGCTCCATCAGCCGCGCCTCCTCCTCCTCCCTCCGCAGATCCTCCTCCGTCCACTCGTCCCCGCCGCCGCCGGCCTCGCCCGCCTCTTCACCGTCCTGATGCTCGCCATGTTGCCCCATCCACCCCTTATTATTCATGCCCGCCAGCTGCTCCGCCTGCTCGGCGACCCGGGCCTCATAGTACGCCGTCGTGTCCCTGCCGTGCCGGAACCTCGCCCGCAGCGCCGCGATGCGCTCCCGCGCACCCGGCAGCTCGTACACGCCGCACAGCTTCTCCGCGCCCCGCAGCAGCACCTCCACGTCCAGGTCGCCCTTGCGGTCCGTCTCCCCGCGCCGCAGCTGCTCGTGCATCTCGCCGCCCAGCACGGCGGCCACGGCGGTGCGGCGATGGGGCGCGGCGGCGCCGCCGCCGCGTGTGGTCGTCGGGCCCGTGGTGACTTCGCCCGAGGCGACGTTGAAGACTGTCTGTCGGCGGTTGGCATTGCTTCGGGGCTTGGAGGACTCGCCTCCTCCTCCTCCTGCTCCTTCTTCGGTGGAGGGCTTGGAGGGCTTTGCCGTCGGGGGTGGCGGTGGGACGGAGAAGAGGGCGCGTTCGTGGGCTTCGGTGTCGCGGATGAGGGATGTGATGTCGTGGTTGGAGAGCATGGCGTTGGTGAAGATTCTGGGGGGCGGGAATCTGGGGCGTGGTTTTGTTTTTTTGTCAACTTTTGGGCTTTCTTTTCCCTTTGCTTTTCGTTGAGTGTTGGAGATGGGCGTTCTTACGGCAGGGAATCGATTCCATGGCAACAAGCCTGGATTTGCTCGAGGTGAGCTGATAGCAGTGACGAGTCCATGCTCTAAGCAGCACTGCGTTCTAGATGAAGGCGAGCGGTCCAGCGATTGTAAGGAGTCGCTATAGCGAGTTCGTGCAAGGTGCAAGATGTTGACTGAACGCTGGCAGCTCCACCGTCCAAAGCGATGTCAGGCCGGCTGCCTGTCTGCTGGAGAAGCAAGTCAGAACAGAGTGTTGATGAGACGAGGTTGATGCGCATCCAAGCAAAATGCGCCGCAGCTCCAAGGAATCGGCGCCAAACCCCCACCATAGATCTGTGGTGGCTGTTCTGAAGGCTTCAACCCACAGCGGGGCTTGTTGTCTGCTGTGTTCCACTCCCGAGATGTCGATGTAACGTCATTGAAGAGAAACACGGCGAGTGAAACAACAACACCCAAGTTTGGATTTGCCGCAGCAGATGTGGAATAGACACTTCCTAATTCATCTACCAATCTATCTATGGTCTATCAGCTGCGAGGCTCCCATACAGTCGCTCAAGATTAACCTCTAATTGCCCGCTCATCTAAATATAACAAAGGTAAATAACCCAAGCAAACAAGTAGGCCTGCAAGATCTAAAATAAGGTATCAAAGAAATCCCCCTTTCGGGTTATGCTCAAGGGGGATAAAGAGGGCGCAGCAGGGACTACGTATGCTGCAACAGCAGCAGCAGCCCCTACCCTAACCCTGATCAGGCGCGTTGACTCTTGTTGCATCTCCAAGCCAACAGGCCAGAGTCAGAGAGCAGATATCCAAACAGCTCAGACCACAGGTCAGCTGCGCCGTGTGCCTTGTGTATATATCCAGTATCGGTATCCAAAGGACACTTCGCCTGAGGCCTCGATACGCCTCTCCGGTTCTATCGTAACATCATTCGTCATTGCGTCAATAGTTGTAACATGCCTCCCGCTCAAACAGCCGAGGTGGTCGTATCATTTATGAAATGATGTCTTTTTTTTGAGTTTGTTTGCTTCTTGTTTTTCCGCGTTCGTATTGTTGTTTGCTGCTCTTGTGCGTCCTCCTCTTTAGCTCGAGTCCGTATCCATAACCTCCATCCCATGGTATGGTAGCCCCTGTGCAATGCGCATTTCGTTGGCGTACTCGTCCTCGTCCGAGTTGGGCTCCTCTAGCTCGTCGATTCGAGGCGCCGGAGGATCCTGGAAGAGCAAGCTGCCGCGGTTGATCCTCTTGCGGAAGCGCGAGGCGCTGGAACCAGCCTCGTTGACGTCGAGCGCACTGTCGTTGTCGTCAGAGTCGCTCAGCTCGCTGTGCGTCCTCTTGCCGAAGCTGCTCGACATGCTGACTCGCCGAATGCGCTTCAGCTCCTGCTGCCTCCGCATAAACTCCGACTCGGCGTCGTCTTCCTCGGGCTCCGCCTCGTTGTCGGACGCTTCGTTGCTGCAGTGGAGGTTTTCGAGATCCTCCATCATGCCCTTGTCGAGCTCCCTGGGGCGAGACGGGGAGCGACTCCGGGGAGACTCGTCATCAGACTCGATCTCAGCGGGGCGGAGGACAGCCAGGCCCTCGCACTCGCTGTCCATAGGATCAACATCCTCGATTGTAAAGCTGCACATGTTGTCTAGGATGCTTGTCGCGGGGCCGTGCGCGGATCCTGTTCGCTTGGGTTTGTCTGACTCGGCTCGCTCGTCAGCTTCAGAGTCAGATTCAGAGCTGGCATCTGATTCTGCGCCTGCATCGGCATCGGCATCGGCATATGCGCATGCGTCCCACTCGTGCGGCGCAGAGGCATTCTTCCCCGTCGCGAAGCGCTGCGCCTGTGATGGAGAATCCGGCAGGCTGACAACGCTGGCGCTTTCAGAGGATTCGTCGTCGCTCGCGTCCTCCTCATCAGCCCCGGACGAGGACGACGACCGCGGACTCAATTGCTCCAGAGGGCGATAGCTGAACTGATGGCCACTGCCATACGGCCTAATGTTGGGGTCCCGGGCCAGGGGGTTTGCGAAGAGATAGAATGCCGCCGGGGCATCCTTGCGCGAGAAGTGTGGCGAGGCGATGGGCGTGTCGGGCGGTGATGCCGGGTCGGCGGTCTGCGGCGCCGACACATGAGCCGGCGAGAGCTTCAGGTTCGGCGTTGACGACCGCCTCGGCGAGCTTCTGCTGTGCGGGCCCATGGCTGTGCGTGATGTATGTTGTGTTGTGGTGAGGCAGAAATGAGACGAGCGACAGCGGCGGTATTACTTTGCAGGTGAGCAATTTCGATCCGTGTGAAACGTATGACTGGGCGAGGCGCCGGGGGGCAGCTGTCTCTCGTTTTATCTGGCCACGGGCTGGTCCGCTGCGTTGGTCTTGTATGGCCCTCGTGTCTCGGATCAGAGTCGCAAGAATTTGTTATCAATTGGCCGTGGCGTTTCCGAAATGGCGTGGGGTCTGTCGCTTGGAATGAGGATAAGATAGAGGTAGAAAAGGAAGTAAAAATAAAACAAAGGGTATTGCTGCGCGGGGCGCTGCAGCCATCAGCATCAATGCAGGGAAGAGGCAGCAGGAATTCTATGGCACAAACATGTGTCCTTGTAGAAGATAAGGTAGGATAATCGTAGTCTATGATTCTGTGGCTATTTGCGAAGAGGCTCTGCTTTCAAACGACCGGCGGATAAGCAGTAAAGCGTCGAAATAGGGCGGTGGTAGAGCCGTCAAGGGGTCGAGATGCAGAGCTGAAATCTCCTGTACGGAGAAGAGGAAGAGACTCGGGGTGTGTTCGGGAGCATGATAAGTTCCAAGAGCTCTCGAGGGGTCGGCGTGTCTGGCAGCACCTTGACGGCACACCCTCACACGGCTTCTCGCTGATGGAGAGAGTGCAAATGAGGAGGGAGAAGCTCAGGGGGAAAAGGGAGACGGCGCAAAGTAGGGGAGCAATCAAAGGAGGGAAGAGAGGGAGGCGAATCAGAGGAACAAGCTGCAGGACAGAGGATCTATATAAACAGACGAGGGCGGCAAATCAGGTTCGACACAGGCATGGGCCAGCAAATAGGACCACAGTCAGCCCTGGGCGGATCTGCGATCTGCTGCCTGGATGCTGCAGATGGACTGACTGGCGCTGTCGAGGGGCTGCAGGCGACAGGCGACAGGCGAATGGGCGGCCCGCGGGAGCGGACGGATGACGAGGGCCTCGTTCAAACGCTCGGCGTCGAATCAGAGATGACGGCCAGTCAGAAGCAAGGCAAGGCAGGGCAAGGCAGGGCAAGGGCAGGACAGCTCAATGCGCATCAGCCGAAGCGTCGGGTCAAACGGGCTTGGCTGAACCCTGTTTCAGCATCATGGAAAGGTGCGGCATCCCGCAAAAACGCGACCAACGGGCGGTTCTTGTCCATGCATGGATGGATAGCCCTTAATCCCACCTTGTTCAGGAGTACTAGCATCTTGGGAGCAAGTGCCAGTTGTACAAGTATGTAGGCGCCTGGAGTCAATGCTGTCGTTATTTGTTAGGTTTCGCTACTCGGAACATCAAGTGAATCTGCCCCAATTTGCCTCAATGGTGTTTCGGTGCTCGACGTAGGACAACAACACCTCACCACCTGCCCTGACCAGAAAAGGGGGCCAAAGACGCACGTCTCCTCGCTTCTTCTCTGGCACTTCCAGAACAATGCTCACGTTGATGGACCTGCAGCTCTGCATCCCGCCGAGTCGAGACGAAAAGCCCGTGAGGGATTCCTTTGGTGCCCGTGGCTGCTTCTAGCTCCCGAGGCGGATGGTGTGGCACGACTCCAGCGCTGAGAACTGCGGCCGCCTGGCAATCGTCTCCCATTGATCCCATCGATCCATTGGCTGGTTGGAGTCTCACTTGATCCAATCCAGTCCCTCCTCGAAGCAGCAACGCAATCGCGCATGCATCCAAACCCCCCGTCGCTTCCTCTGCCCCCCTTCCTCCTCGGCTGCAAGGGCGCGGCCTTGGGCGTGCCTGGCTACGGCATCCATCTCCTAGCGGCTGTCCTCTGGATTCCAGCTGTACCTACATTGCCTACATACTCGTACATACTCGTAACACTACTCCACGATCCACCGCAACAGGGGGATCGTCCACCAAGTTGGGCAGCAATGCCTCGACAAACTCCCCGTAGTGGCCTTATTGCCCACTTGGACCGCTACCGAACCTGCTTCCGTCGACAAACAGAACATTCCATCTCATGTGGAAGACTTGGGAAGCAGAAAGCAATGCAAGATTGTTCCCTCCATCTCGTTTCCGGTGTCTCTCCCCTCCAGTTGGACACACACGAATTGGCAGGTCGGGCTGCTGGTGGTCAGCCTGATGTCGCGTTAGTATCCACCCACCTGTCGGCGGCATCATTGCTTCTGGAACGAACGGGGGGCCTTGAGCTTGCGTTTGGAGGCACGGAGCAGCTGAAGCTGGCTTGTCCAAGCAGGTGTCCATCGAGTGGCCGTGAGTATTGCATGATTGCATCATTCTGTCTGAATGCATTGGTTCATGTGAGTGACAGCAGCACGTGAAGGCGGACTTCGACGACTCGTCCATTACGGAGTCCTGCTGCATGTAGATGGGATGGTATCAGGACAGTTCCATTCAATTGGCACTCTCTGCTTGCACTATTGACAACAATTCGCGTACGAGGTAGTCTAGGGGGAAACAGCTGAAGACGCATTGGCCGTGGAGGACCTCTCTATGTGAGGCATATCGCGTAGCAACAATGCTCCGTGGGTGTTGATCCGTGCTTTCCATGTTGCTTTGCTGACGACCACGACTCCTATCATGATCCCTCTAACTGGCAGCTACTGCTAGCCGTAAGCATCCAAAGCTGCGGCATAATGACAGTGAAACCAAGAGGAGTGCAAAAGGAGAGTCGATTGGACCAGAGGCGGGAAAGCAAGAAAGTTCTCTGAAGAAGCTGCTTGTTAGTGCTTCCGGTTGATTGCAATCGAGTTCTGCCTCGCCAGTAATGGCTTACATAACGACAGTTCGATTTGTCTTCGGTTAAAGGTCGGCACATACCATCAGCAAAACGATGCTCCAACGCCCAAGGTCAGCTTTGATTGGCGGACGCCCTCTTTCGTCAGCGAGCTTAACGACTGTGACGGCCTCAGCATTAAAACGTCCCGGCGCTTCAACAACGCGTTCTCCTGCTTGATGCCCGCCCACCCGTATCGATTGCGGCATCATTACTCAATAACCGAATTCTCCATTACTGCTCTCCGGCGTGTCTTTTTTTATCTTTCCCACAGCTTTGATCCATCGCCGAGCATCCAAGCGCGCCTGGTCGACGACGACAAGGACAATGAACAACGCCCCGGGCCAGATGGCCCAGCAAGGCCAGCCCCAGCCTCAGGGCGGCCAGGCTCCCGCTGCCCAGAACCGACCGCCCATGTACCAGCCCGGCCAGATCAAAAACTTGCCATACCTCAGTGATGACGAGAAGACCAAGTACGAGCAGGGCCTGCGGGGCCTGTGGACGAAGATGAACGGGTCCCCAAGCAACAGCCCGGATCAAATCGCGGCTCGACAGAAGATTATCGAGTTTTCCAGAATGTTGATAGGCAAGATTCAACAGCGAAGGACTCATGCTGCTCAGCAACAGCAACAGCAGCAACAACAGCAACAACAACAGCAGCAACAACAACCCCAAGCCCGACCACAAGCAGCACCATCACAAGCACAGCTGCAAGCGCAACCGAACGCTGCCCTCCAAGCCCAGGCTCAAGCCCAGGCCCAAGCACAAGCACAAGCACAAGCACAAGCACAACAAGCACAACAAGCTCAACAAGCTCAACAAGCTCAACAAGCTCAGCAGGCTCAAGCCCAGGCTCAAGCTCAGCAGGCGCAGGCTCAACAGGCACAGGCTCAACAGGTTCAGGCTCAGCAGGCTCAGGCTCAGCAGGCTCAGGCTCAGCAGGCTCAGTCGCAAGCACAGCAACAGAAGCCTCAGGGGGCCGGAAATGGTGAAGCTCCGGGTGCGGCCGGTCAGGCGCAGAATGCTCAAGCTCCGGCAACGACAGCGGCTGCCGCGGCAGCAGCACAGCGTCCTAAGATACCCGATGCCTACATGCAGCATGTCAACAAGATGACATTCCGACCGCCGGTGCAGCTTGCTGACAAGTCCGCCGAAGCTGCCAAATGGATCGAGGAAATGAGGGAGCGCTATGCTCGGGCCCTCATGACCATGGAAACCACCAAGAACAAGGTGGCGCAATGGGAAAAGCTGCTCAACGATCGGACAGCTCAGGGCAATCCCCTCAAGGAGGAAGAAGTTCGGCAGATTCAGTTGAGAAAGGACCAGCAACTCAAGCTCTACGCCGAAGCCCACAAATGGGTAGAGGGCGTTCGGAAGCAGCAGGGAAGCCTTCAGGGCGCTGGCCAAGCCCAGGCCCATGCCAACCAAGCGGCAGCTGGCGCAGCTGCTGCCCACGCTGCCGCCCAGCCTGGCAACGCGACGCCAGTCATGTCCACGGCTGCTCCGGCTGCAGCGGCTGCCAACAAGCCTCAGAATAGCGCGCAAATGACCAACGCCGCCGCGGCAGAGGCAGCCAAAGGTCAGCAACAGGTGACTGGTGGCAATCGAGGCCCAGGACCAAACAACATGGGAGCTACGCCCACACCGCAGCCGCAACCGCAAGCACGGCCCGTTCCGAACGCTCCCGTGGCAGGACAGCAGCAGCAACTGCAAGGCCAACCGCAGATGCAACAGCAGATGCAGGCACCCCAGCTGCAGCATCAACAGTTACCTCAGCAACATCAACCGCAGCCGCAACCGCAACAACAACAACAGCATCAGCAACAACAGCTGCAGCATCAGCAACAGCTATCACAGCAGCACCAGATGCAGCAGCAGCAGCAGCACCCTCCCCAGCAACCACAACAGCACCAGATGCAGATGCAACAGCAGATGCAACAGCAGCAGCACCCGCAAGCGCAACCGCAGCAGCAACAGGTGCAACCTCAAGGCCAGCCCCAAGGACAGCCTCAGCCACAGATGCAAATCAAGACGGAACCGCCGCGGCCCGCACCAGTCAACACCGCCCTCGCTTCGGCTGCTGCACAGGCCCAGGTTGCTCAGCAGACTGCATCTCCCGCTCAAGCTGGTGCACGAGTACCAACCCCACAGACTGCAACACCCGTCGCTGGCCCAGGTCAACCGACACGAGCCCTCAGCCATTCAGCGGCAATGTCCCTCGCTAACCAACGGGCGACGGGCAACACGCCGGGAAGCGCACCGCTGCAGAACCAGCAGCCTGCAAACATCAACACAGCCGCCGTCACGGCTACCACCACCAACCCAAACATGGGCGTCCAGGGATCGCAGCTTCAGCAGGGCCACCCGCATGCTCACCCCACGCAGCAGCAGACCACTGTCCAGCCCAAGATGCCGATTCCCAAGCAGCTGCCGGAAAAGGCCACTGCAGTACCCCAGGGAGTGGCCGTGGGTGGCGGCGTTGCCCCCGGACGGCCAACCATGTCCCAGGGCGGTGGAACGGTGGGAGGTGTCATGAACCAACCCGCAGTGCCTCGGATACCGGCATACAATCACGATGCCGAGGGCGACCATGTTCTCAGCAAGAAGAAGCTGGATGAGCTCGTGCGCCAAGTTTGCGGAGGGTCTGCAGAGGGTCAAGATGGCAACCTGCTGACTCCAGAGGTCGAAGAGGTGAATAAGCACAACTGAACGAGACAAGCAGACTACAGAACCTTGCTAACAAGCAACAGAACGTCCTGAACCTGGCCGATTCGTTTGTGGATAATGTCCTTCACGCGGCGTGCAGGAACTCCAAGGAACGCGGGTCCAAGGTCCTCGAGATACGCGACATCCAGCTCATACTGGAGCGAACTTACAACATCCGCGTCCCAGGCTATTCCTCCGATGAGCTGCGCACGGTGCGTAAAGTCCAGCCATCTACGGGCTGGATCGCAAAGATGAGCGCTGTCCAAGCTGCCAAGGTGATGCCGGGAAAAGGCGAGTAATTGTGGCTCGAGCGGTCGTTATGCTCTCGTCACAGAGGGTTCGGAGGCCAAGTGTTGGCTTGATCATCTTGAGTGTTACGGACATGTTGAATGTTTTGGGGATATGGACGGTAACAGGACAGGTCGGTATGGAACGGCGTTTCAGGAAAAGGATATGAATACATGGCTGGGAAGCCATTTACTAATTCGTTTCTGCTTTTACTCTCTACAGCCCTGAAGGGCTGGCATTGCCAGAATCAAGGAGCAAGGAGCAGATTGTCTCGCGGCACGTTGGCTTCCGTTGTGATTGCTCTCTTGGAGAGGCTGGTTGACGGTAGAGAGAAATATTCTACATCAGTCGCCAAAATGAAGTTGAGGCTGCATGGTCTCCCCTTTGAAGCTGGGTCCCAGCTTGCGTCCTTGGACTTGGCGTGCCATGTGTGTTTTCAAGTGACTGATCAGTTCTATACCTTTAATATCACTCTGGTCCTTTACTTGCATTGTCTCGAGTGAATGCTGAGAGAAGAAGGCCCATTCACTGGAACTCATATGCTACCTTAGATGAGGGACGCAGCTCGACGTCCAGCCTCAATGCCCGTTCACCTATAGATGTACCTTGCCCGCCTGCAGCCGCTGTTCCGGTACCTCCAGCCAACTGTAGGCACCAGATGGCCAACGTCACTGAGGTGGCGGCCTGCCCCACAGCTCTGCACGGCTTGTCAGCGATGCGGCGGATTAGGTAAGTCGAGCTACCTCCGTACCCGCCCGCCGCCCTGCGAAGCTGCTGGTACCGCGACCTTGCCAGCCTTGAGCCTTGTCCCTCACCTCACTGCCCTGCAAGCCAGGCAAAGCTTCCAACCTCTCTTGCTGCTCTGGTCTGTTCAAAGCTGCCCACAAAGCATCACGATCCACGCCTTCATCAGCCCTCTCGACCTCTTCAGCAGCTCCACGCCCGATTGCCGCCCACGACGTCGACTTGGCCTGGCCTCTGTACCGTCCTCGTGCCGTGGCCAGACGCATACTTTATCTCCTAGCACGCATCTTTTGACGTCCGACGAGATCCAACGAGCAATCGAAACCCGCGGTCCATCCACCTCGCCTTGTTCGAATCAATCGAAACACGTCGTTCTTCGTGTGTCTCTAGAGCATCCAGAGACAATATACTCAGTCCTAGTTCTGCCCACCATGCCTAGCAAAACACCAGGTAAAGCACCCCTCGAGAAACGATGTCGAGAGAGAGGATCAATGAAGCTGACATGAGAGCACCCACCGACAGCAAAGGACGGCGACGACAGTATGACTGTGGTTGTCCCCCCCTCCAAATCCTCCAAGCAGCCCGCCTCCGCGGCCGACGCAGAAGGCGACGTGGCAATGGACGTGGACAAGCCCGAGGACAAGGTCGATCCCGCGGTGCAAGCTGTAGCAGGTGAGCGAAGACGAAACCGAAAGCGGCTGCCATACATTTCTCTGATTCGCGCATGTTCTTTTGCTGACGCAATGCTCGTTTGTTCCAGACATCAAGAGCAACTTTGCTCTCCTTGACCGTGCGGTTGCGCTCTTCGACGCCCGCTTCTCCCTGCGAGCTCTGCGATCCATCTCCCTCATCCGCAAACACCTGTCGCCCGATGTCATTGCGCAGGCGATTGTCGACACATACCCTGCCACGTCGTCGTCCGCCAGCATCGCCAAGAACCTCTTGTCCGCGGTTGGCCGGGAGAACGTCACGCTTGGCCGGGCCGCTGGCGCTGAGATGGAGGTGGACAGCGACGCAAAGGCTGCCAAGAACGGCGCCTCCAAGAAGGAAGTCAAGGAGATCATCCCCGAGATTGACGTGTTCCTGGGCATCCTGGTCCAGGTCTATCTCTTCGATGCCAAGAATTTCCAGCAGGGAGCCGACTTCTCCAAGTACCTGTCCGATCGTATCCAGACGCTGAACCGCCGGACGCTGGATCCCCTCTCCGCCAAGGTCTACTTTTACTTCTCGCTCTTCTGCGAGTACATTGCCCCGCTGCCGCCGTCTCCCGAATCGCCCATTGTCGCCATCCGGCCGACTCTCCTGGCCGTTCTCCGGACTGCCGTCTTGCGCAAGGACACGGACACGCAGGCCTCGGTCATCGTCCTGCTCCTGAGAAACTATCTGCTGACGTCGCACATCAAGCAAGCCGATCTGCTTGTCTCACATACGCAGTTCCCCGAGAATGCGGCGAACAACCAAGTGGCACGATTCTTGTACTATCTGGGGCGGATCCGGGCCATCCAGCTGCGATACACGGAGGCACACGAGCACCTCACAGCCGCCACCCGCAAGGCCCCGTCAAGCGGCTGTGCCGTGGGCTTCTCACAAACCGCCACCAAGCTGCTGCTGGTTGTCGAGCTGTTGATGGGAGACATCCCCGACAGGGCCACGTTCCGGCAGCCTTCGCTGGAGGACGCCCTCCACCCATACTTCCTTCTCGTGCGGGCCGTGCGCGTGGGCAATCTGGAGGACTTTGAGACCACCATTGCCGATAACGCCGACATCTTCAAGCGGGACGGGACCTACACACTCATCCTCCGTCTTCGCCAGAATGTCATCAAGACGGGCATTCGAATGATGTCGCTGTCATACTCTCGCATCTCCCTGCGTGACATTTGCATCCGCCTGCATCTTGGTAGCGAGGAGTCTGCTGAATACATCGTCGCCAAGGCCATCCGGGATGGCGTGATTGAGGCTACCCTGGATCGAGAGAGGGGATTCATGAAGAGCAAGGAGGTGGGCGATGTGTATGCCACAAGGGAGCCGGGAGAGGCCTTCCACGACCGCATCCGAGCATGCCTTGCCCTCCACGATGAGAGCGTCAAGGTAGGTCATTCTCTTTTTAGATGTTTGATATGCAACGTGAGCTAACATCCGTCGGCAGGCAATGCGATTCCCCATGAACCAACATCGTCTTGAGCTCAAGAACGCCCAGGAAGCGCGTGAACGGGAGAGAGAGATGGCCAAGGAGATTCAGGAGGGTGATTTGGACGACGACGACCTGGGTGGAGACTTGGATGGCATTTAGACTTCTTCCACAATGATAGTGTGTTTACTCTGGCTGTGCCTTTTCCAAATACATTAAACAATAGCCCCTATCTTCTGTATGAAATAGCTGGGACAGCTCTTTGTTCTTCTTTCAAAAGCTGCCATGTTTAGTGTCTACAGCACTTAATGGGAGGCTACGCATGTGAGTCACTCCCTAGCAATTAGCTATCTATACTTTTGAGTCTCGATATTGCTCTAGTAGAAGCAAAAGTTGAGAATTGAAAGGTTATTGGGATTTCAGGACTTTCATGCGGCGGTCAATATTGTCTTGTAGTTGAAAATACTGGGGACAATGTCAACTTGTATAGATCGGATCAACTTTGACGGGCCATTCCTTCTGCCTAATAAGATCCCACATAGGCCGCTAAGAACTCCTAATTGACACATGCATATGCAGCCTTACGCCCTTTCTGTCAATTTTTGCTAGGCCCCATCTCATTTCATCTGTAGGGAGTACACGGCGCCCTTGTTGTCAGTACTACTACTACATATCGGTGAATGGGTAGGTATGATATACGGTTGTATGTATGTATGCACGCATGGGCAGTGTTGACGGGTCTGTACTGCCCCGTGATAATTGTTTTGTTTCGATAGAGGGGGGCGCTTTGTTGAGTCATCTCGGCGAGCTGGATTCGGAAAAGAATTCGACATGTACATGCTGAGTTGTGGATGAAACTCGGGTTGAGTTGGTGCGTGCGTTGCGCCCTTTGTGTTGTTGTTGTTGTTGTCATTTTTGTTCATGTTAAAGATGGTCTTCAGTATGATGAGCGAAGGCTGAGTGAGAGAGGCGTTGGGCTGATTGGTAGGGGATATGATCGACGTGTGATGAGTTAGGGGACGGATCGAGCATGTGCATCTGCATCTCTGTGTCTGCGAGTGTCACTCAGCTATATATACGAGAGGCTGGATGCCACTTGTATCTTGTCTTGAGGAATCAAATATGCATCTTCTGCCCATCTGGTGAAAGACGGGCATCTTGACTCCGAATACACATCTTGCAGCGTCATCGCGAGCAGCACTACGCCATGGCTTCGGCTACACAGGTTCAGCTACTCGACAGCTCAACCCCAGCTCTCGCCCTTCGAACCAAGCCCGACGATGACTCCAAAGCGGACTCCGACGCCTCCATGAACGCGGCAGTCTACCTGGCCGGCCTTTGCCGTGCTGCCCTCAACGATCTGTCCACTTGCCTAGACGACGTGCTCAAGCCTTCGCAGGGCTACACCGCTGACGAGATCCTTGGCCTGCCACTTGACAAGCATAGGATCGCCGACATCCTCCACGACCTGCCCAGCCGCAGGTCGACTCGGCATGACCTGGCCGTGGCCGTAGCGGCGCTTCTGCATCCGGTCCACGAGGGCTCGCTGACGGCCATCATCCGGTACGACGCCGACCGCGTCCGTCTCCGCGCATGGGCCTCTCTCCAGCGCCGCTACGACCTCCTGCAGGCCACCAGGCGCAACGGCAGAATGGCGCACGGCATGACCGGCGGCGTCGAGCGCGGCGTCCAGGCGCCTGCGTGGGCCAGCCGCATCACCAGGCAGGGGCCGTGGGACCCGGCCAAGAAGCCCATATCGCTGGACGGCGCGATCGCGCTCCCCATGCCGGTGCAGGTGGCCCAGGAGGCGGACCCGGCGCCGTTCTTCGAGCACCTGTCCGGCGGCGGCCGCCATGAGATTGACGGCGTCGAGGGCGCTGTCGAGCTCCACGATGGCAACGGCGAGCCGTACTACAGCGTTCGCGGTGCCGAATTCCGCAGAGGCGTCGTGTATGAGGACGGCCGGATGGATCTCTGCAAAATGGTCGTCGGGCCCGATCACATTGGGCGGCTGATGGACAGCCTGCGCACCAACACGCACGTTCGGCACTTTTTGCTGGGCAACAACATCATCGGCCCAGCGGGCGTCGAGGCCGTTGCCCGGTTCATCGCCGAGTTTCCGGACCGCATGGATACTTGGTATCTCGCGGGCAACTGCATCCAGGGGGGGGAGAGCTTCAAGACGCTCGTCGATGCGCTGGTCAAGTCGCCGGCGGTGTCCAACATCTGGTTGAAGCGGAACCCCCTGGGCCCTGATGCCGCCGGGGACCTGTATCGCCTCATCACCGAGACGAACAACCTGCAAACGCTGGACCTTGACCAGACCGAGCTCGGGGACCGCGGCGTTGCCGACTTGTTCACTCGTCTGGCCTCCTTCTCTCCCTCTGATGGCGGCAAGCTGCCTCTTCGGCACATCTACATGAATGCTGTTGGCATCTCCACCAGGGGAGCTGCTGCTATTGGCAAGTTCCTCGAGTCGCCGCATTCCGGCGTAACGTCCCTTTACATCTCCTGTAACCCCCTTGGTGATGAGGGTGCTCAGGCTCTGGCAGCCGCACTGCCCAAGGCACCGTACCTGGCCCGACTGTTGTTACAATCGGTTGGGGTCAGCACCCAAGGTGCCGTGGCGCTGTGCGAAGCCTTGGCCGAGCACCCTGGACTCAGGTGTCTGGATCTCGGCCAAGCATATGCCACCGAGGACCTCGGCCAGGCGTACAACTATGTCGAGGATGAAGCAGTGCCGGCCATGGCACAGCTGCTCAGGGGCACGCCTCAGTTGCAATATCTCAACCTGGGCCATTGCGCCATCACACCCCCGGGCCTTCTCAAGCTGGCGCCGGCGATCCTCGATAGTCCGAGCCTGCTGTATTACTTTGCGACCTCGATCTTGGTCGATCCATCCAGGAAGCCCGTGGCCTTCATACCGTCAATGGACACGGCATTCCCCCACCCGGACGCTCCGTCCGCGGAGCAGATCAAGTCGGAAAAGGCCATACGGGAGCACCTCGGAGCCAATGTAAGAGCAGCGTTTGGGGGGAGCATGTCGTATGCAGACTTCCTGGCGGAAGAGAAACGATGGCTTGTCAGCGACAAAGTGGTGCGCAAAATCGACAGCGTGTATCGCAACCGAGATGCCGGCCTGGCGCGCCGTCGCCTGCTGACGTTGGTCAAGGAATGGGAAGAGGGCGACGATACTCTGCAGAGAGCCATGCACGCTCGCGGGGCCCCGAGCTGCTCTTTGCGATGAGCCTTTGTCTGTGGATGGGATATAAGTGAGGCAATGCCGGGCCTGTCACTGTGATGTTGTGTTGGATCTGGCTATCAGATCATCGTGTTGTCTATTGAGAAATTGCAAGACTCATCTTACACACTGCGGTGCCATGTTGTGAATCTTGACCCCCAGTTCATGAATCTATACCACTCCGTAGGCGTTAGCACTCTGATGCCTCCTGGCGATGTGACGTAGATTATGCAGGTAAAGCGTGCGCATCCAAGGTACCTACGAACAGATGGTCGGAACTGCCCTACACACCATCATCAATCACAGAAAGGACAAAATCATTGTGCTTTCTCTCGCAGAATCAAATGGCAGCCGTCGAGATGCAGTTGCTTGTGCACAGAGTTGGGCGGCCTCGAAGCAGACGAACCTCAACAGACGGCCTGATCACGACCCCACGTGACGGGTCCCGGACGCGGGCTCTTTCCTCGCCTGCAAACAAACCGCCACGGCTGCTGTCCTTTGTGCGAGATTCCGGCTTCACTCGTGGTTCTTTCACTTAGTATATCATTGCTTGCTCTGCCAGCTCCCGCCCAGCTCCAACAGCTGCTGCTCTCTCGCTACGCCGACCCTCAGCCTCGCGCGCCTAGATGGCTTCGTCGCCTCCGCGTCCGCATCCAGCCGTCCCGTGACATCACAGCCCATGCTCGACAGCAGCTCGACGCTCTCGAGAGGCTCCTTTCCGCACGCCTGACTGCCGCCCCGAGCATCGAGCGATGCCGCACAAGCGCAAGCGTCCAGACGAGCCCGATCCCCCGGCCGACGCCCAGCCCGATCCGCAAGCCTCCACGCGCCGTGCGACGCGTCAGACTCCCGTGCTGCCTCCTCCGGTGCCCGCCGCTGCGCTTGTGCCGCCGCCGCCGCCTCCTCCCGCGCCTCCGCTCGCAACGACGCACAAGATGGCCGCCGCCGCTGCTGCGCCCGCCGTCACCGCCGTTCCCCTGCCTCCAATCCTCGTGGCCGATCCGCAGAAGCGAGGCGCGCGCAACGGCCCCCGTCCGCCAGGCGCCAACGCCTCCGCCCTGCCTCAGAACCCTTCTGCGTCGCCTCTCCAGCCCCTCCCGCCTCTGCACGGCGGCCTCACGGCAGCTGGCCCCCGCAGCACGATGAACTCGCCCCTCTCGCCCGGCTCCAGAGTAGCGGCGGCTGCTGCTGCGGCTCCCGCTGCGCAGATCCCACAGAAGCGGGCAGCCCCTGTGGCCGATATGGGCGGCGGCGGCGTCTCGGCCAAGGACCGTAGGCGGCCGTCGGATCTGGTTGCGCCAGAGATCACGTATCACGTCCCTCAGGCGAATCAGCAGGGCCGACAGTCGTCGCTGGTGAGGCCTCATGGGCCCTCGGCGCCACCTCCGAGGCTCGACAAGACAGCCCCGACACCAATGGTCATCACGCCTGTACTACCTCCCAAACCGCCGACCCTACCGGTGTCTGATAGACCGCCCCCGAGGACAGATCGTAACATTGACAAGGTTGTCTTGGGCAATCTATGTTTCCGCACCTGGTATCCGAGCTACTACGGCAAAGAGGTGTTGGGGGCTACATCAAGCCATGCCAAGGGGGACAGCAAAGACGGCCTTCTCGACGCCGCTGGAAGGGGCCCGTCGAAGAAGGACAGGGATGGCTTGCCAATGCTGGAGAGGCTATACGTCTGCCCCAGCTGCTTCAAGTATGCCAAAGAGCTTGTGGCTTGGTGGGGTCATGTCAAGCTGTGCCAGCAGCGGGCTCATATCCCGGGGAACAAGATCTATGTCCATCCCAAGGGGAGGCGGACCGTCTACGTTGCGCAGGATGGCAGTCGAGGTCCGGGTCAGAAGAAGCGACGGGGGGAAGGGAACATACGATACATTGAGGAAGTTGTCCAGGACGCAGGCGAATGGAGCCTGTGGGAAGTGGACGGAGAGAAGGATGTGGTGAGTTCCAGTCATGCATGTCTGATCCTCTTCTGGCTTTCCTCGAGACTAACCGAACCGGTCTCGTATCTCCAGCTTTTCTGCCAGAACCTGTCGCTCTTTGCGAAGCTCTTTCTGGACAACAAGTCCGTCTTCTTTGACGTGACTGGGTTCAACTACTTCTTGTTAGTATACACGCCGCCAGCCGTGGCGACACCAGCAGGTGCAGCTCCTCCCCCCGTCACGCCGCAGATTACGGGGTTCTTTTCAAAGGAGAAAATGTCGTGGGATAACAACAACTTGGCCTGTATCCTCATATTCCCCCCGTGGCAGCGCAAGGGGCTAGGCGCCCTTTTAATGGGCGCGTCCTACGAAATTTCCCGACGAGAGGGCATCATGGGGGGCCCAGAGAAGCCGATATCCGATCTGGGTAAGAAGGGGTACCAGCGCTTCTGGGCCGGGGAGATTGCCCGGTGGCTTCTCAGCCTAGACGTTGCGCCGGCGGATGCGCAAAGCGGCCAGGAGGCGCTTGTGGATGTTGAGGATTGCAGCCAGGCAACGTGGATTTCGCCGGAGGACTGCCTGGGAGTGCTGAGAGACATGGGTGTCGCGGAAGATGTGGGTATTGGGCCCGGAAAGCCGGAGCCCGTGGACGAGCAGCAGCCGCAGCCGATGCAGGCATCTGAGGAAGACAGGAAGAAGAAGCAAGCATCGACCGGCGAAGACGATGCGGCGGCGAAACAGAACATCAAACGAGCATCAGCCGAGGCGGAAGAAGACGAGAGGCCGAAGCCGAAGCCGGCCGTCAAGCAGGTCCCGCGCGTCCGGATCGACAAGGAGGCGGTGCGGCGGTACGTGGCGGCCCATCGGCTCGTGCTGGACAGGACGTGCGACCCGGCCGGCTTCGTGGAGGGGTATGCGATGAAGAAGGCGGAGAAGGCGGCCAGCGAGGGCGCTGAGTCTAGGGACGAGGCTTTGGCGAGAGGATAGAGAAGAATGATTGAGAATGAGGGCGTGTGGCTGGGCTTTTGGCGTAAATGGGAATTACAATGATACCCCCTTTTTTGATTTCTTTACATTTTTTGTCTTTCCTGAGGTGAATTGCTGTCGTTGCTTTGGCTTTGACTCTGTGCTGTTTGCTCGGTGCTTTATATGCAAGAACCATCACGGAGGAAGGGTCCAAGAGGGCTTGTCTTGTGAAGAAACTCCCCGCCCACCTCACATTTGCTTATTGATTCGCTTCAGTACATCTGCAACGCAGACTTTCTACTAGTACCTCAACCCAATTTCTCCTGCATATAAATCAAGCTGCGTGGTAGTAATACGAGGCTGTTTCTCCTATGAGATCTGTCACATGGGAAGCAGACCTGATTCTTCGCGAAACCGCTCAAAAGGGGGAAACCTGAGCCTCTTTCATCCAAATAGCACAGCTCGTAGAAGTAGAGTCCGAGACAAGAGGTCCTCAAAGGGGCAATACACACCAAGAAAGTAAAAAGACCTCTTTTGCTTGTTTTACCTCGGTCATACATAAGGTACGATCCGTACATACGCACAAGGTACGACAGTCTTCGTACTTGACACCGGGAACAGATGCGCGATATACCACGTTCCATACAGGGGGCCCAGCTTTCACCACAACACCATCGTCTACATCATCGTTTCTCCATACATCGCAGCAAGCAGTTTCTTCGATCCGAATAATTCTCGTCACTGTCGGGAAGCCAAGGCCCCCCTAACGGCACGCCCCCCCTGGCTCATGCTGTCGAACATCCTTGCCCAGCAGCGTTCGGAGCAAAAAAAAAATGCATGCGCGTGGGATGCCTGAGGACAAGGGGCGTGGAAAAAGGCGAGGCGGCAGATTGACAGATCCACCGGGCTGGTTCTTACTCGTACATGTAAGAGCCAAAGGCAACCTCACCCCCAAAACAGCTATAAGATACGTATACGTGTAAATACGCTCAATGAAGCCTTTCGAACATCGTCTTCAACATCGGTTTGGAATGCAGCGCTCAAAAGCTCATCAGTACTGCTCTTGCAAAGCATTTCCCCGCAACAGAGAAGAAGCAGGATCAAGAGCCATTCCAAATCAGGTCAACCAATTCACATCAACAGCTACCTGACTCGTCATGACTCGTCAGTTGGCCAAAGTCAATGGGGGAAAGTAGCAGAGCGAGCGTAGCAAAAAATCCCGGCAATAGAAGCGATTTCGTCCAGAAGACGATGGCAGAACAAATTAGTATAATACTTATGCCTGACGAAATCCGCACGTCCCGTCATCAAAAGCGGCTGTATACTTGTAGGAGCCTGCAATGCATCTGCTCGAAATGCGTCATTTTGCGACAGTTCTCATGAGGCATCACGATGCCCATGGGCTTCGTGGCCCTGGTGATGCGACAAGGGGGTGGGACCCTGACTGCTGCCTTCTGCCAGCTGAGTAGCGAGGCTCGCTCCGGCTCATTTGGAAAAATTTTCGCAGCCGCCATTCGGCTTGACCTCCGTTGATTTTAGCCCGAACAGCCGGGCGACCTTTGGTGCTTGTTGCTGGTCACCGCCAGACCTCCGACCCCTGCCGCTGCGTCGTAGCTGCGGCACGGAGGCGCGAATAGCGGCGGCAACAGCGCTGCGTGAGGGTGTTGGGCGTCCAGCTCCCATTGGGCACACCGCGGCGCTGGGAATGACAGCAGAGATTGAATGAAACCTCAGCTATCGCGCAGGGCACGTCATGCTGCAAGGTAGCAGCGGCAGGGCTCGGCAGTCAGCGTTCCATGGCGTGCTGCTTTCGGATTTGCTGGTCCTCGTCGAGCTGGTGTAGCTGTGATCGCCGTCGAGTGCCATCGTCCATCATCGTGCATCGGCGCCTGTACCGAACACTTGGCCGAATACCACGACAGGTAAGACAGCAGGTGGTAGGACGGGCGGAAGGGCGGACGGAGCTCGGTATTAGACGTCGCACGTACGAAGTATTCGGTACCGGGGACTCGTAGTAGGAGGTGTTTGCTTTGAGACCCGAGCAAGGAACAAAGGTTACCCTGCCGGCTGCCATCGCTCGGAGGGGGGTCGGCACACATCCATCATGAGGTGCCTGCAGCAGGGCTGGACAGACATTACACCAGGACATTCAAAGAGTAGGGACGAAGAGAAGCGGCAGGAATACGGCTTCCCTTTTATACCGCCGCGCAAACTTTGCTCTTTGCTTGCAATGGAAGAGTCATCAGGGGTCTGACGACAGCTCGAGCCTCGAGCACTCGAGCATGAGCTGTGACTCCTCGTCTCCATCCTTATCTCGACGGCATCAGCTGGTTCCAGACACACATGTCGTGTACTCGGCCTCGAGGTATAGATGGTCGTCCAGGTTCACTGCTTGTAGCTCTGTGGCCTCCCCAGTGATACATTGCGTCCATGTTCCTCGGCATCTCTTCCACTTCCTCTTTACACCCCTCCTAGCATCTGTGCTCGCAATCGGCCAGGCAAGCAGTGCAATCAAAGCCCGGCCAACCCTTGCAGGTCCACCCACGTGTCAGGCACCCAGTTCTATGCCGGCCTTTCTGTGAGCGTATCGTATCGTACTGTAGCACCCATACCGCATCAACTCACGGCAGCAACGTGCTCGTATCGGCCTTTTCGCACTCCTCGCCAAGTGGGGCGTGGGGGCTTGCACCAGCGAGCCTCATCCAGTCGTACAACTTCATGCTATCTGAACGCGGCAAAAATTCTGCTGTCCGATAAGTCGATCCCGATGTTATAGGAGTATTCCTAGTACCAAAGGCTTGCCTAGGCGCCATTTTTTCTTCATGCCTCAGACAACAACAAAGCAGAAAATTTTTCTTGGCCTGCTGGCCCCCCAGAGGAGTGAAGTCATGGTATTCACTGGTCGGAGGAGCAGCAGTATCATCAATTCACCACCAGCCTCGGATAGCATCACTCATCTGGAAGAGGCGCGTTTGTATAGTCGTACTTGTAGAGCATCTGCTTGGTGGTGGTGGTAATAGCCATCTGTTTGGTCCGATTAAGGTTCGCACCAATGACTGTTGCCGTGCGGCCAGTAAACCGACTTCGATGGAAGCCAATGGCTTGCTTGGCCAAACGTCAAGGGCCACAGGCCAGCCGCTCTGCTCTTTCACTGGAATGAATACCTGCACCGTCGAGGTTTTGGCGCTCTCACGGACGGACACAGTAGGTTGACGACTGTTCAAACAGCTCCGGATTTGAAGCCTGAGGCCGTAACCTTCGCAGCAAGTGCAAAACTCGAGGAGCTCTCTCTCCTCAGGGCTTGCTGGGAGTCGTCTGCGAATCCGCACCCGGCTTCCCCCGATTGGACAAGAGAGCCGTTGGCGGCATGCCTCAACTGACGGACACGGATTCGCACCACAGCTTTCCAGCACACAAACCGGTCCTTCGGCCTCAGTCATCCACTGGCTCCGGCGGTGGGAATTTCACTCGTTTGTCCAACATGGCCCCGGCTGACCTCCCTCAATGCCCCTAGGCCGGTCCCCCAGGTGGGTCCTCTTTTCTTGCCATTCCTCCATCCAGCTCCAGTTCTCTTTCTCTCTCTCTCCTTCTTCCTCCAGACTCGACCTTTGCCTCACTCCATCCAACCCTTCCAGTCCAACCTTCCAATCCCTCCTCAAACCATCACAATGGCCTCCCGTGTCTTTGCTTCCCGTCTGGCTTCCCAGATGGCCACCAAGGCTGCCCGCCCTGCCATGCGTGCCCCCGTTGCCGCTGCCAAGCGCACCATCACCACCGGTGAGTCGAAGAAAAAACTTTTTCCCTCAGCAAATGGAGGTCGGCCCGCGGTGTTTCGATCATCCAGAGGGAACTTCAGCAAAGCTCAATGGACGAGCTCAGTATGCTGACTTCAATTCGTCGTAAAGGCAGCCCCATGCAGGCCATGAAGCGCCAGACCATCCAGGCTGCTGGCCGCAACGCCTTCCAGGCTCAGCGCCGCGCCTACTCTTCCGAGATCGCCCAGGCCATGGTTGAGGTCTCCAAGAACCTGGGTATGGGTTCTTCCGCCATCGGTCTGACCGGTGCCGGTGTTGGTATCGGTGTCGTTTTCGCCGCCCTCATCAACGGTGTTGCCCGCAACCCTGCCCTCCGTGGCCAGCTCTTCTCCTACGCCATTCTGGGTTTCGCTTTCGTCGAGGCTATCGCTCTGTTCGACCTCATGATTGCCCTGATGGCCAAGTTCGTAAGTGATCCCGAGGTCTCGTCCGCAACATCGAGCTCAGTTGAGTCTGACCAATTGCCCTGCAGACCTAAATTGCCTCTCGAGAGATTGGAAAAGCTCCGGCCATTGGATGGAGCAACTAATATAAGGGGACGACGTTGGACCGTCCGCCACTTGGGGTTTGATGGTTTTTCAAATGCAATTGGAGTGCCAACGTGCACGGAAAAAACAAGGAAGTGCATCATAGACGGTGTTAGAGGTTGGGGAAGGTGGTCATCGATGAAAATGGTGTCCTCTGTCTCAATAGATCTTGGGTAACGCCCATCCTGCTCCCTCGTGGAGTCCATTGTAAAATAAAAAAAAGCCTCAATTCATTCCGCCCCTTCAGTATGAAGGGTTTTGACATGCTCACTCTTGCTGCGACGGGCTATTGACGTCAAGAATGACGTTCACCTCGAAATATACTGTTCCATCTTGGGCATTCGCAGCACTGGTTGCTAATGCTTGACTGTTGATTTTCCTGGTCTCTGTTTCACTCGGTCATCAATAGCTGCATCGCCACAAGAGGCTGAACAGCTCAAGCTCCGCGAGCAGAGAGCTATTGCCGCGCGCAATGACGGTCATCATACACGCAAGCAGCTCATGGCAACGCTGTTTTTTTCTTCCATTTTCACCAACTTGGTGAGACCTGAGGGCTGCGTTGTGCGTGATATATCGACCATGGTGTCCACAAACTGAAGAAAGCATTGCTCCACACGGTGTCAAAGTGCCTCTGGCGGGGGAGGGGTTCCTCTTGGGCTTCACTCAAAGCTGACGTGATTTGCTTCCGTGGAAAATGGTGGCCTTTTTGGTGAACTGGTGGATCCAAACAAGATAAGAGAGAGCGCGAGTCTTGTGCCCCGTAGTAGTGGATCAGGCGTTTGAGCTTGGGATCATATATAGGACGATGCCTCTGTTGACCGGCGTCTGTCCACACACGTCTTGATACAATCAGAGAACGGCTGTGTGCTGTCATGTCTTTCGCCAGCTTGAGCTAGTGTGCGCTTGTCGTCCAGACAGGCATGACGAGTAGCTCATCGAAATATCCCAGGCTCGGGTTCCCTTCACGAACGAGACATGCGACGGCGCCTTGGATTCCACGCCTCTTTCACAACTCGAAAGGTCTAGCTGCATGCACCTCAGCCGGCTGATGTGAAGTTTCCTGGTGCAATCGAACCCATGGATCCGGACTCCTGATGGCTCTGGTTCTCTTCTCGGCTGGCAGCAGCTCGAATCCGAAAGGGGTCGTACGGAGAGTCAAGAGATTCCCTTGACATTGGACCCATCTCATTGGCATTGGAGCATCGTCTCAGCATAGGCTCCCTTCATCATACGGGATATGACGTTGCGGTTTTTGGTCCTAGGTTGATTGGAGAATCACACACTCGTGTTCCAGGACGCTGGCCCGTTGCCGATCAAGTGCTCGCGCAATATCATAGACTGGACTCGGATTCACCTTTGGGCACTGGAAGTCCTCCCAAGGTACTGACCGTCAGCTAATAGACTGCAAGTGCCACTCCGTTCATCGAATACTCACTGGCAGTCAGCGCGTCACCTGCCGTGCTCATCCTGGTCAGAGGAATCAGCCATCCCCGCCATCGTGGCGCTTCTCGCATATGCAATTGTTCAGCATGTCTGCTTCTGCAAGTTTGAAGTGGGAAGATGAGCGATGGACGCACAATTCAGCAAGAAGAAGGAAAAGGAAAGAGGAACGTGAACAAGGCATGGCAGTCGCGATGCTCTTCCCCTCACGACTTCCCCCTCACGGGTCACATGACCTCTCCTGATGGAAGATGCAACGACGTTACATTAGCCGTGTAAGCTGGGGGTTCTCGGCTGAATTGCCTCCCGTAAAGGAAACAAAAAGACATAGTTATAGGTCGGTGATTCGGTTCGAATGGGGGTGGAAGTTGGTGGTGTTGCGGCAAAAGACGCGCCGGCCTTGTTGCTCTTGGTTGTTGGTGCGATTGAGTTTACGCCATGGCTTGACGTTGCCGAAGCCACCAGCTTACTACTACTATCGAGAGTGCACGATAACTGCCCTGTTCTGGAAGGCAAGTCAAGTGCGGATATGACAAAAGACTGCATATATGGTAGGAATCGCAGATATTGCAGATATTGCAGAAGAGGGGGGAACAAAGAGAAACAGATGGTTGTCGTCAGACGACATCAGGCCACTAGAAGGCTTGATCAGGTGAAGCTGACATACAGACTCAAAGTAGTTGTGCGATGTGTGATTCTGGCCACATCCAAGGTATTTGACTGATACGGAGTACAGTAATCCTGCAAGTTCTCTCAAGAGTAAAAGATTCACAAGCGCATTCACATCGAGCTTCACTTATATCCTACAGTGTCTCAAGCAATCAGTTTGTCCAAATAGGAAGCCCTTGAAAAGCTCCGTAATTCCATTATGTACAACGCCGTCCTCTCCCTGGAGTCCCAATCGAGAGCCAATCTATGCTTGTAACCAACAGCCAGCCCCTTCCCTTCACTTCTTAAACGTAGCACTCTTCTCACCCCGAATCGGTGGCATCCGTCTTGCCGGTTTAATCTCGTCGTCACCCGTCTTCGCATATGGGTCAAACGCCTTCTTCTTGTTCTCGATAGCTGCCGCCTTGGCATCATCCCTCTTGGCATGAAGGACGGATGCTGCTTTGCTGTAGTCGAAAGGAACAGCTTGATACTTGGCGCGCTCTCCCACATCCGTCTGCTGTTGCTGAGTCTTCCGCTGCGCTTTGCGGGCAAGCTTCTCCTCTTGCCGCTTGGTGCGGAGCTCCAGGTGCTGCTGCTCCTGAGCCATCTTGGCTTCTTCTCGCTTCCTCTTCTTTTCCAGCTTCTTCGCCTTCTTGGCCGCCTTGGGAGGTATGTCTTCGGCCTCAATCTCAATGACGGCGTTGCTGTCTTTGTTGTCGTCCTCCATGTCTTCTTCATTGTCGGAAGCCGACTCACCTTCTTCACTGGGTGAAGGCTCGTCGTTTTCAATGGCTTCGGACTTTCTCTTCTGCCCTCTTCGCAAGGTGAACTCTTCGTCCTTTTCGACCTCAGGAGCGGGGATTGGCTCCTTCACTGGTTCTTCCACTGGGACAGGCTCGGCAACAGGCACAAAGTCTGTGATGTCCTCGACGAACCGCTGCCAAGGGAAAGGGAAGTAGTCTTCCTCTGCACTAACGGCTTCTTCCTTCGTGCCATCCCATCGTGAGCTTACAGCGACGTCTCCAAAGAGCTGCGAGCGCGGCAATTTGGCCGCTATGGCTGCTTCCTCCAATTTCAGTGTTGAGGTCTGCGTCTTCGTTGCCCGGGGAGCTGCAGCACTATGCCGTAATGACGCCGGATCACGAGATGTAAAAAATTGCAGCAGGGTCGGTCCACCCTGTGCTTTTAGCTCCTGGATCTGGCTCCAGATCTCGTTGACTCGAGATCGAGCCAGAGCAGCAGTAAGTGGCAGCAGGCTGTGAAGAGCTTTGGCATCTGGAGGGTTGGCGCGTGCAATATCCACCAGGTTGTTTGTGCCCAGCACAAAATTGGGATTCTCATCTTCCTTGCGCGCAGTAACGTCTCGCCACTTCCAGAGCGCTCTGAAAACTGCAAACTGCTCACTCTTGTAGCCCAAGTGCGAGTTCTTAAGGACAAAGTTGTACCAGCCTCTGGACCCTTCGCCCGTCTCTTCGTTGAATTCGGGATGCTCGTGGCGTGAAAGAGAAAGCTCTCGCGATTTCTCCAGCACACGACCAATGAGATCCTTATCGGGGTCGCTGCGGTCCGATACCTTGACGAGATCGTTTCGAATCATGTCGTAGATGTAAAGCAGGAAGTGGGTATCTGAGCGGGCGTAGAACAGCATTTCTTCAGGGATAGGCCTAGACAGAATTAGCAAAAACGACGATAACATGGAGCACAATGTGTTGTATCATACCGTATCCTCCAATCGGCCAACTGATATCTCTTGTCGGCATCGAAATTGACAAACTTGGACAGGAGGAAAGCCAAGCTTCTGCTGGAGTAATGCAGGGCATCGCTTGCGAAGAATGTGTCGAAAAGGCCATTGACGTAGAGCCCAAGGTCACGCTGAAGCCAAACCATGTCCATGTACGCACCATGAAAGACCTATGAGAGAGGTAAGTAACAAGACAAAGCCCCCTGACCGGTCGAATGCTCACCTTTACAATGGTAGGGTCGGCGAATACTTCGTTGAGCACCTGGAGCTTGTGACGCCAAGGCTTCAACGTGTCAACAATCCAATCTTTTTCTCGGGTGCTGATCTGCAGCAGGGACACAAGGCCGACGTAGGTTCTGAAATCATGATGCTCCAAGTCAACCGCGATCTCCTTTGCTTGTTTCAGCTCCTGGAGCATGTCGACAACGCCTTCGTATGTATCAACCCACGTGGCTGAGGTCGTCTCGACTGGTTGGGGGGGTATGGGGTCAAGGACTTGGAAGACTCGGTCGGGGTACTGCATGCTCAAGATCTCTGGCTCATACGGATGCTTATATCTGGAGAGAAGGCCAGGCTGTTAGCGAGGGAACTGAGGGCGCGGCGAATCAAATTTGGCAGGCTTACTGAGTCGTTCCATTGTCTCCAACAAATGTGACCAGGCTGTCTTCAAGAGACACCTTGGCGTGCGGCTTCTCTGTCAACAGGGGCTTCCACGGCCCATTGGGGAAGTTGTTCGGCGGGATTTCAAAGTCCAACTGCGGCTTCTTGACGTTGGCGTTGCGAATGACTTTGCTCGTCGATTTGGCTTGCTTTGTCTTTGAATTCTACAAATGATAATATTAGAGCTATGTCGAAGAATGTCCATGAGTAGAGGCCTTACGGAATCCGAGTCTCCATTCTCTCTTTGCTTGATCAGCCCCGTATACTCGTCTAGAGCCCGGTCTGCCTTCTCCAGCACAGAGTCCACGACATCCACCACTTTGCGCCAGTTCATGTCGACATCTTCGGGATCTTCCAGCTTGGGCGCCTTGACTCCACAAGCCTTGGCTGCCGAGCTCAGCAGTCGCGTCGAGAGGTCGAGAATGCGCGACGTCTGGTCGTCGAGCTGCTCGGCAACGTCTGGGTTGACGGTTCGCTGGAAGGCCAGGTCGTGGGACGCGATGCGATTGGCGGACTTGATGGTGGAGATGAGGGCCTTTTGGATGCCCTCCTGGAGGGAATTGAAGTCCTGCGACGAGTCCATGGCGATGCGCGGCTCCCCCCGAGGCGGCAGGGCTGATGGGCTGATGAGAGTGATGAGGCTGTCGCCGCCGCGATGGACAATGAATGAAAAATACGGCCGTTTGGGATGCGGTTGAGATTCTTATCGATAACAAAAAAGTTATTGGTCTCGCGTTTCCAGCAGGAGGAAAAGTGGGTATCGAGTTACGGAGTCGAAGGTTCCTATCAAGCTGTCGAGCAGCTTGCAGTCCCGAAGACTTTCTGGGACGTTGACATCCAAGGTTGCGCATGGAAGCTGTCTTGAGGCCACTGCAGCATGCTTCTTTTTCGTTCTCTTTACACTGAATTTGATGGGAATTCGTTTCTCTCAAGCCATTCGCTGAATTTGCACCATATATCCTCTATGGAAGATATCAAGCCCACCTGCACTCAATCATGTACAGGCCACTTAAGGGAGCATGCCTCACCTGAGATTTCAATAATCATTGTCTACAACCGGGAATTACTAGACTATCCAAGGCCTACGAGTAGTATATGGTGGCTTTTCCTGAAGGAGATGGGCAATAGATAGAAGCCCACTTGTACGAGTAACATTTCGCGCAAAGGTTTGACAGAAAATGCAATGTCCAGCCCATCATGTGGGCCATTCTGTGCTACCGTATCTTCGCGGGCCATGTGAAAACGCATCGGCAAAATACTTGGAAACGCCATGCCAAGCGCAGGGAAGAACTTGGAACACGAAAGAAGCTTACTTTTCGATTCCGTTTTTTCTCGTCCTGCCTGCAGTACCCAACACATGGAGGATTCGTACTACCTTAGTATTACCGTTGATATACCTGTAGATGCCTCACTCTGCTTAGGCCCGGTTGATTCAATCTGTCGAGGCAAAAAAAAGCATTTGCGCAATCCAGTGTCATGCATGGCCGTGCTGGAAGCACTCATTGGCCAGCGCCTCGAATCAGGAACCGCAAAACTGCCTGAAGCTTGATACTGTATCCGTCCAGCCTGCAGTGGAATTTTCCGGGCCTTGTTCGCGGCAGCCCCATAGCGTTGACGTCAATAAGGTTGGCAGGACACGGCACCCGAGTAAGTGCCTGTAAGATTCTGGGCATCGCACGAAAGCATGCCGTTGTTATGAATTCATCGCCTCCGAGTTTGCTTTTTCGCAGTTCCCGCCTCGAGATCGCTGATCGCTGATCGCTGATCGGACTGTTTGCTCCGACCTTACACAGGCACAATTGCCAGATGCTTTTCTGCAGTGTTGAGAACCCAGGTAGGCAGTAGGCACGGCTTGTCGCAGAGGCATTTGCTGTGTGCGTTTGTCGCCTTCAATGAAGGTATCAATAGTGCTACTTTGCAATATACGGAGTACATGCAGAGAATATCCCTCATCACCGTTGCAGACATCCATTTTGAAGAGTTTGATGACGAGCCTTGCACGGCCATGTGCAGTGCCTTGCGTGACTGCGTCAGGGAGCTGTAATGCAGCGTGCGTTCAGGCCTCGAGCTGCGCTAAGACGCCCGTAGCCCCGGGCAATGGCCGCTAACCAGGGCCCCAACAGCTGCCCCTCCCCCTCCTCTGCCTGTAGCGCTGCGTGGCTGCCCCTCCGCTGGCAGTTGCGAGGCGGATCGTATAAGAATCAAGGCTCCAGTAAGCTTTTAAGCAGCGCCATCATATTTCCCAGCCGTATTCCGAACGCGAAGCCGCATCTCTGCCACCTCGTCCTTCTTCCTCTTCCATCTCGTGCCGTAGCTTAGAATCATCCCAAGATTCTCTCGTCCGCCTGTCGAGGTGCTTCTATGGTTGCGATTGGTTCTCCGCGATAACGACTGCCAATCAAACAGGCCACCGAGCCGTGCGCCCTCCGAAGCATTTTTGTGTTGCTCAGCTTGTCGTCATCCCGAGCCATCAAGTCGGACGGTCGTCGCCACGCTTCTCTTAGCTAGTTTTTGGACGCCGGATAGCCTCACCTAACGAGAAACCGAGAGCTGAGTCTCGACAAACGAGCTGCGATACACAACTCACAGCTGGGGATCCCTTCACGCCCGACAACAAGACCAAACAACCTCCACACAATGCCTGCTGCTGTTGGATCAAGCGGAGAGGCCGCCAACTCTGGCCGCCTCCTCCTCCTCTCGAACCGCCTTCCCATCACCATCAAGCGCTCCGACGATGGAAGCTACAGCTTCTCCATGTCGTCGGGCGGTCTCGTCACCGGCCTCAGTGGCCTCAGCAAAACCACCAGCTTCCAGTGGTATGGATGGCCCGGCCTGGAGGTGCCCGAAAACGAAATCGAAGGCATGAAGAAGCGCCTCAAGGACGAGTACGGCGCCCATCCCGTATTCATCGATGATGAGCTCGCAGACAGACACTACAACGGCTTCGCCAGTGAGTTTCCTCCCTCCTCCATCTCTTGATTGTGTCTACCTCCAATGACGTCGCTGACTTCTGTATTTTCACCCCACCTCAGACTCTATCCTATGGCCACTCTTCCACTACCACCCCGGTGAGATTACCTTTGACGAATCTGCGTGGGCGGCGTACCAGGAAGTCAACCGCCTCTTTGCGAAGACCGTCATCAAGGATGTGCAGGACGGCGATCTTATCTGGGTCCACGACTACCACCTGATGCTGCTGCCGCAGATGCTTCGAGAGGAGATTGGCGACACCAAGAAGGATGTCAAGATTGGCTTCTTCCTTCACACCCCTTTCCCCAGCAGCGAGATCTATCGAATCCTCCCTGTGCGAGAGGCTCTGCTGACCGGCCTCCTCGACTGCGACCTCATTGGCTTCCACACGTACGACTACGCTCGCCACTTCCTCAGCAGCTGCTCTCGAATCCTCGATACTCCCACCACTCCCAACGGCGTCGACTGGAACGGCCGCTTCGTTACTGTCGGAGCCTTCCCCATCGGCATCGACCCCGAAAAGTTTGTCGAAGGCCTCAAGAGGCCAAAGGTCCAGGAGCGCATTGCCACACTCAAGCGCAAGTTTGAGGGCGTCAAGCTGATTGTCGGTGTCGACCGTCTTGATTACATCAAAGGTGTGCCGCAGAAGCTGCATGCTCTCGAGGTGTTCTTGACAGAGCACCCCGAGTGGATCGGCAAGATTGTCCTCGTCCAAGTCGCCGTCCCGTCTCGGCAAGACGTGGAAGAATACCAGAACCTCCGCGCCGTGGTCAACGAGCTCGTCGGCCGCATCAACGGCAAGTTCGGCACCATCGAATTTATGCCCATTCACTTCCTGCACCAGTCCGTCTCGTTTGAAGAGCTTACGGCCCTGTACGCCGTCTCAGACGTGTGCCTCGTCTCCTCCACGCGCGATGGCATGAACCTCGTCTCGTACGAGTACATTGCCACGCAGCGGGAGCGCCACGGCGTCATGATCCTCAGCGAGTTCACCGGCGCCGCCCAGTCGCTCAACGGAAGCCTCATCGTCAACCCCTGGAACACGGAGGAGCTCGCCAACGCCATCCACGACGCCGTCACCATGAGCCCCGAGCAGCGCGAGGCCAACTACCGCAAGCTCGAGCGCTACGTCTTCAAGTACACGAGCGCCTGGTGGGGAGCCAGCTTCGTGGCCGAGATGACGCGCCTTACCGCCGAGAACACGCAGCCCAAGACGCTGCGCAACATTGCCGGCGCCGTCGTCGGCGGCGTCGGCCAAAAGGTGAAGCAGGTGGCCCAGGACGCGACGGACATGGTAACGGGCGGCGAGCAGCAGCAGCAGGAGTCTGCTGCTCCTGCTGAGGCGCCGGGAGCGTCTCAGTAGGGGGTTCCGGCTGTTATAGTCATTGTTATAGTTTCTTTGGACAAAGTTTGCGGGCTGTTTTCGAAAGGATGGTTTCATGGTAGCCCAAGGGTGTCTTTTTCTTTTACTTTTCTTTTCCTTTGATACATCTGTGTTTACGCTGGACGCTGGGTTAGCGAATAAAAAAACGTACATGAGGGTTTCTTACATCTTATCTTGACGGCCACATTTCATTGCTCTCCTCGTGCGGGTATAGATGACATGGGTCATCATATTCTTATACAGCCAAGCTAATTGACCTGTTACGCTGGTATCACATGGCAACACTACTACGTATAGGCAATCGTTGAAGGGCATGTCAACTCATGACTTGTATTCAGCAGTTGATAATGTACTCTGCATGCATACAGCTATCTAGGAATATCTTGGAAAGAGAAGAAAAAAGCATCGTAAGCCCGGGAAACTCCACCCTCCGTTGACCGCAATCGTAAAGCAACCCTATGGTATTCCATCATCGTCATATCATCATCGTCATCTCATCCCGTCCACCCCCATTCGATCCCATCCCATCCGTTTCTGCAATGTTCCCCCCTCACATTTCTCAAAAAGATTGCTCTCTCAAAAGATTCCATCTAATACGTGCCATCTTTACACAACCCCCCCTCCTCTAATAAGGCGACTCCACAATGTCATCCCGTCCCAGCTTGTACTGCCCACTCTTGCCCGTGCTGATACGTCCCCCGGACTTGCGTCCACTGCCGAGCAGCCGGACATCGCCCATGATGCTTTCTCGAGTGGGCATCTTGAGGCTCTGCTTGGCCACCATGTTGACCTCGTTGGGCAGAGCGACAATGACGTTCTTGTCGGAGCCGAACTTGAAGTCGTCGGCCATGACCTTCTCCTCGTACCGCTTGATCTTGTACGGCGTCTTCTGGCCGCGGATGATGCGCTTGAGGTTCCACTCGATGATGTACGGTCCGGACGCGGTAATGATGCTCGTCTCTTCCGCACCCTCACCGGTGTTGAACTTGGCAGGGGTGAAAGACACAGGCAAGCCGGTCTCGTGGTAGAACTGGGCGACGTGCTCGGGCGAAAGGGCGAGTCGACGAGGACGAGGCTTCGAGTCGGCGGCGAAGGGCTTTTCGAAACCAAGCTTTCCCTCGTTCTTTCCATCATGCTGTTGAGCATCGACGAGGAGGAGGTAGTTCTTGGTAGTTCCCAAGATCCATCGGCCATCAGCCGAAACATCCATGCCGATGATGGGATCGCCAAGTGCAGGGAGCTGCGTCTTGGCACGGATTCCGAGACGGTCAAACAGGCGAATGTCACCCTTGTTGCTGGCCACGGCGATGTAGCCCTTCTCCGTGGTGGCAACGGAGGAGAAGTCGTTCTTTGAGGCGTATTGCTTCAGCTCCGAATCGACAATCTTGTTGCCCGCCTGGCGAGGATCGACTCGGAAAAGGGCGTTGTGAGAGATACCCAGGAACGTCTGTTCGCCCGTCATCTGTGCAAACTTGTTCTCCGGAGCGAACGTTGTGACGGGAATGTCATCGTGGACGTTCCACTCGTCGACGACCTTGCCGTACTCAATGTCCATGCGGTAAAGCTTGTTCGGATCCACGTCGTTTTGCATAATCATGTCCCTGTCCTCTTTGTGGAGCATGACCTTCTTGGGGTTCATCAACTTGCCTCCGGGAGTGGTCACCTTGGAAATGTTGGTCGAGAACTTGAGATGGTTATCCGGCGTATGGGTAAAGACGCCAATCTTGGAGCCGCGAACAACAAAGGAGCGGTCGTATTTGTAGCCCACGGCAAGCTGGGAGTTGACGTCTCCATCAGCCCTCTCCTGTCGCTCTTCGTCCTCGTCCTCAGAGTCTTCATATCGTTCGCGGTCATCCTCTGCGTCTTCGTAGTCCTCCTCGGTCTCTTCTTCTTCCTCATCAACCGGTGGTGCGTCTTCCATGGCGAGATCATTGAATGCGTCCAAGACGTACTCACGTTCCTTCTCCTGGATCTTCTTCCACTTGGTTTCATTCAGCCTCTCCCAGATGGCCTGCATCACCGCTTCCTGGAACTTCTCCAGCGTTGGTTGGTCTTTAAACCGAATGAGCCAAGACCTTCCCGTTCCATCTTCAGACCAGTGGTTGAAGATGAAGGACAGATGCTCAAAGTCGAACACGGGATTGAACTCGGGGGTAACGGGAGTGCCGAGGATGGATTTCCCGGCTGCATCGATCTGCAGCCAATACTCCCATTTACCGACTTCGGAAACCGTGACAATGACGGAGTCTTCAACCTGGGAGAAGTGGCCGGCTTGAGGGTCGTACAGGTGCAACTCGCCAGAGACGGCAGCATAGATCTCAAGGGGCGTAGGAGCAGCTTTTACCCCTTGAGGCTGCTGGGGCGCTTCGACCTCTCTCGACTGCTGCTCCGCAGGTTCGGACTTGGGTGGGAGAGTGGCGGTCCTCTTGGCAAACATATCGTCGATGGATTCGATTGATCTGGCAAGGGTCGGGCTATGGATGGGGCTGGCGGGAGGGATGGGTTGCTCCTCGGGGAACTCAAACTGCTGGAGGTCCTCTTCCGAGGCCGTCGTGTGCGGCTTGCGGTACTTTCGCTCGTACTGGCACTCCTGCGCCGTGCGAAGGAAGCGCTTCACCTCGGCAGGTGTGACGACGCGGTCGCACACAAACTCGTACAGGTCGCCGCTGTCTCCGCTCAGGTCTTTCCAGGCGAGCACCGTCTCGTCGCCGCCCTCCCGGATCTCAATGCGGAAGCGCAGAGCCTCGTCGAGCAGAAACGTCTTTTCGTCACGTTCGCCCACGAGTGCGTCAATCTCGGCGTCCTCTCCTTCTTCGTCTGCGAGCAGCTCAGCTTCTCCTTCCTCGAAGACGCGCTGGACGACGAGCTGGTATTGGTAATCTTGGTTGGTCCGTCGGATGCGAATGGCAGAGTCCTTGAAGATGAGCTCTGAGTAGCCTTTTGGCGACAGAGGTCGGACAAGGTAGAGCTGGCCTTGCGGGAGCTCAATAAGGGATTCCTGCGCAGCTGAGCCGAAAATCAGCTTGCCAACTGATGAAGGTGACTGTTAGCAAAAGAGATGCTATGCGCTGAAAACAGAAAAAGCACGGGAAGAGAGGCAGCGATGGAGGCGAGCCAGGGCATGTTATAGGTCGGTGATTGGCAGGTCGTTGGTAGGGAAACAGAGCTGCAATGGACACATGCGGAGTTCGCGCAGGCTACATACAGAAAGCGCATTCACGTCTTCACTCACCATTTCTAAGGACGAACATTCTGGCAGGTGAATTTGCCCTTGTGCCTCCCAGCAGTCGTCGTTGCTACGTTCAGTGTTGTGCGGCGTCGCAAGTAGATGCTGGAGAGGAAGAGAAGAGGACTGGAGGGCGCTTAAACAATGAGTGGGGGAAGAAAAAGATAAGAAAAAAAACAAAGCGTCGTAGCAACGGTTGTCAGGACGAAAATACGGCCTAGTAATTTGTGAACAGGCAGGCCTGGTAAATGGGCATGGACAGCATAGACAGCACCACGACGCGGCAGATTTCATTCAGATGGAGGAGAAGAAAATCGAAGGCGTGAAGAAGCGGTGATTCAAGTGGCTTTTTGGCGGTTAGGACAAGAGCAGCGCGCCGGACAGGTTTCATTAGGGGTCTCTGAATCCAAGACTGCGTGCGTCATCGTGCAAACAAGCTTCAGTTAGTGACCACACTGAGCAAACGCAGCTGTGGCTGAGGCGAGCGCTGTAAAAGCTCCTGTCAACTTGTGTCGGTGCTGCAAGCCCGCTGGGATTGGGCAGTTGGCAGATGGGCGGCGAAGCGATTGGCTGGCTGCGCCCCCAATCCTTGCCACAGTCCGCCACGTTTTGCCTCCGCTTGGACGAATGTCTGGCTGAGGCTGCACGAGGGACGATGCAGGTACTCGGGGCTGATGGTAGTAGGCGTGAACATTTTCACGGTCGACTGCCTGCGTATCAGGAAGTATCCCTCCTGGTTTTATCAGATACCTGTCTGTCTATTCAGTCGCACTTGCACAATGTCTTGATCGAAACGTGTTCCCGCTGTTAGCCGCTCCCTGGCAGTTCTGCCTATTGCTGCCTGGAGTCGGTCAAGCCACAACAAGACGGAGATGCTTTCTACTTACATGCACTGCTTTCATTCTAGATCAACTAAGGTACCGACTGAACCCTGAACATTCGGTCCATCGAAAAGCTGAACTGTAGAATATCTGGTCCATAGAGGAATGAACCAACACTTTTGCATGAACATGGTATTGACGGGCGTGAATGGTTGAGCTTCAGGGTAGCATGTGATGTGAGAACGCACTTGGCATCAACGGAAAGAGGCTTCGCGTGACCTTGACAAGACACATTAAGAAGGCCCAATTTCAGCTCATGTGATTGGCGAGATGGCCGAGTTGGTTATGGCGTCAGGTTAAGGCTACCTTAACAAGCAAATTCCTGGTGGAGCAATCCGCGTGGGTTCGAGTCCCACTCTCGTCATATCTTTTTTTCCTTTTTTGTCCTTTGATATAGTTCTTTTTATATATTTGCTACGGAGCTCTGTCGTTTGCTGGTATGACGGAAGTTGTTGAAGTCGGAACGACCGATGGATTGATAGGCAGGTCTATGACATCCCTTCTCCACAGACCACTTCTTCACCTGTTCGACGGCCGCCTTGCAAATGTTGACTCCAGCCGTGTAATACTCCGCGGAGATGTTCTCGTGTCATTTTCAAGCTGGAGCCTACAGTCTTGCCATCAGATGCCATCCAAACCCAATAGCGTTTGGTTCCCCTAATGCTGCCATGGGGCAAACATCGTCTCACGAGGCGGTTGAGCATTAAGCTTGTCCTGACTCCGGACAATGTCTTGATGATGACCTTTCACTGTTCATGTGGTGATGGGCTATGCAGTACATGACAACCTAGCGTCCGACATTTTGGCTGATAAGAGAAGTTTTCATTGGATGATATAATAATAAGTCTAATTTATAGCAATCGGAACAAGTGCCGACCAAGTCCAAGGAGATTCGCCACTACCAGCCATCTGTCCTTGTCTCCTCCTCCCCTTCCCTGCAAGTTCATTCCAAGCTCCCTTTCTTTGCAGCATTGACCAACAAGACATTAGTCTACATTGTGTCGTCCCTACATGTATGTACAGCGAGGCTGAGAATCTCGATCTCGACGGCCCGCAGCTGAAAAGAGGGACTGCGATGGCTAGTAGTAGTATGATTGCCCTTACATTAGCCTATGGGCCTGTGGCCCTTACTACACAAGTCATAAAACCAGTAATAGCTTCTTTTATATCAGGTCTTAGCATCATAGATGTATGAGCCCTTGCAAGGCCTTCCGTCATGATGGAATAATACCATCTATTCGCCCCCCCTGGCTTATATCGCAAACCACAGCTTGGTGTTGTCGGAGCAGACTATCCGCTAACTTGCTTTTCTATCGACTTGACGTATGTGTGACTTGAGAACTAGAAAGCACCAGCCTGTCCTATAAAACAAATCAATTGCTTTACATAAGTTGCTTTACACTCGAAGCTACCTCTCAGTAAAACGGCCATTACAACACACAAGAACATTGAACGGTTGCAAAATGGCCTTTTCAGGAATATCGAAACGGCTGTCAGCGTCCAACGGCGACGGCCGTAGCCGCGAGCACTTCCATCCGTCCCCGATGCAGCAGCATCTTATTGCAGCAACCGGGGAGTTTGTCGGCACCTTTTTCTTCCTGTGGTTCGGTTACGCTGGCAGCATGCAATACGTGAAGCTGGAGACTCTATCGCCATCATCCGGGGGCATGCCCGACACGACCGTCTTCTTCCTTGCGCACGTCTACAGCTTCTCGTTGCTGGTCAACGTCTGGGCCTTTTACCGTATAAGTGGTGGGCTATTCAATCCTGCAGTACGCCGTCTCAAAATCAGAAGCATTGCAATAATCACATATAGAGAGAACTTGGAACTGACATGATTTCGTATCATTGGATATAGCTCACGCTTGGCATGTGTTTGGCGGGGACACTGCCCTGGATGCGAGCCGCCTTTCTCGTCCCGGCACAAATCATCGCCAGCATGTGCGCAGGCGGTCTCGCGAGCGCCATGTTCCCGGGGGACATTGCCGCGGCGAACAGTCTTCTCTCAAGCGACACGTCGATCGCACGAGGCCTCTTCATCGAGATGTTCTTCACGGCCTTTCTTGTGTTCGTCGTCTTGATGCTCGCTGTCGAGCGTTCCAAGGACACTTTTATCGCTCCCATTGGGATCGGGTTGGCGCTCTTCGTCGCCATGCTGGCGGGTAAGAAAGACACCACAAGGACCACCTTGTACTTTGATCGAGAGCAAATATTTGGTTTCTTATCATCGTGTATATAAGGTATATATGCCTGCTAACACATCTTTCTTTGTCCAGGGACTTCCTTCACCGGCGCATCCCTCAATCCGGTACGCAGCTTCGGGTGTGCCGTTGCAACGCCTCATTTCCCTGGCTACGAGTGGATCTATTGGCTCGGTCCCTTCATGGGGGCTGTTGTCGCTGCGGGCTTCTACAAGTTTGTCAAGTGGTCGCATTACGAAGAGGCGAATCCCCAGCGAGATGCCACGGACTATGACCACGGCCAAGAATCACAACCAGCACAGCACTCTGAGGTGTAACGCATCCGATCGAGGGGTATTGTATGTGTATTATAGTAGGGAGGAGGACCGTGATGGAGATCTGTGTATGATTTAACGTGAAAAAAATGTCGGCGTTGGTAGAGAAAAGCGATTGCCTCAAATACATATCAGGCAAATGTTACACTTTGACAATTTTGTACTTGTTAAACTACTACACCATTCTGAGCTGATGTGAACGTATACTAAACGGGGTGTGTATATCCATCCATGTCTATTAACGTAGACCAAATCAGACTGCCTTCGTTTTCTGGGCATCCAAAACAATCACTCCGTCCTAAAATTGAGAGATACAATCCCTATAGAGCCCATCTCATACAATTCCATCTGGTATCTCATTCTATGTGACAAAGGAGAAGAAAGCATCAAAAGAAACCAATTCCTTGCCGAATCATGCCGCAAACCATTCTTGACCATGTTCATAACATTGTGTTCAACACCGCAGTGCAAGTTGCACCCACGCAACATAAAAAATTGAATCATCTCATAGCGTCGAGTTCCTGGCTATACCAATCATATCGGATGTCAAGACGTGTGACGTATCAGGCGGACTCATTCCGTTCCTGTACATCCACAGCCTGCTGAGCTCCTTGACTTTGACGTCCTTCTTGTGCCTTCGGTGGAGGAACTGGTCGTAGACCTCGATCGGCGTCGTGATCTCGCCCGTTCCAAACCCCCCGGTGCCCCCGTAGCTGATCTCAAATGCTTCTCGCGCGTTGTCCATGGCGGTGCCCTCAACGCCAAACTTGATGACCTCTTCCATGAACTCATTGTTTTCGTCGGCTCCGGTAAACTCTCCGGTTTCCGGGTCTCGTTTCAAAGGGAACATGCCGTCGAGGTAATGCTGGACGAGGAGATGTCCGCCGTGTCCGTTGGAGCGGTTGAAGAGACGGCCGAGGAACCGAGGCAGCTGCAAAGAAGCCATCTTGTTGGTAGCGAAATGGAGGATGCCCCATATGGCGACAAAGTCGGTGTTGTGAGTATAGTGCTCGATATGGCCAATGGCTCTGTCCTTGGCGGCGGAGGCGGTGTGGTAAGACGCCAACGAAGATGATCTTCGTACGACGGAGGCGGTCGCCATTGGATCCTTCTTTATCTCGAGAGGCGTGGTGACCGGCTCCTCGTAGCAACCCTCCGAGACGAGCGTCTGCATGGCCTCATGGGGCCTCGACCGTGTCAGATCTTGCGAGAGGAGGTGGCGGTGCGGGTTATTGAAGTGGTTGGCGGCGCCGCCGAAAGTGTACACTTCGAGTTTCGCGAGGAGATCTTGGGGCATCTCCTGGAGGAGCCAGTCCAGGACCATGCCGCCCTCGATGACGCCCTGAGAGTGCATGATGAAGACGACCTTTGACTTCTTCGGGTCGTAGAGAATCTCCTTGAGGTGCCTGTAGCAGACACGCACGTCGGTGGTCGCATAGGAGAAGTTGCGCTGGATGAGGCACTCAATGACGTCGAAAACAACCCCTGATGTGCGGTTATGGATGCCGAGAACTGGGCGGCCGAAAGTCAGGGCCAAGCGGTTCAGGTTCATCTTCATCCAGTGGCGGCTGTTTCGTTGGCAGATGTCAGTTAGCAGCAAGTCCATAACACGAAACTGCATGAGCATCCTAGTGAAATGGAACACTTACCCGACAGAGACGCCGTTCAAGAAAACCCACTGCTCGTGTGCATGCTCTGGCCGCGCCTTGGCATACTTTTCATCAGAGTGAAAGATGATGTCTCGGCCGTTCAACAGCATACAAACCAGCCTGTTTAGCGAGTGAAAGGCCACAACCCCGGCGACGCCCATCCATGCAGGGAAAACGAGGACAAACGGCAGGCTGATGAGAAAAGCGAGCTGAAAGATGAGCAAGAAGAAGTGGACCGTAAGGCAGAAGATGTTCATATACGACGGATACAGCTCGTCAAGCTCGCCCGAGCCGAATTTGTTGACGGGGAACAGAACCCATGGCAGGGCCCAGCAGTAGTAGAAAAAATAGTAGACGTCTTTGGCAAGGAGCCGCCAGGGGAAGTCGGTGTATGCGTAGTTGATGACGGCCTCGTTGCCGATCTGGGAGCGGTAGAACTCGGTGACGGAGCTCATGATGAAGGACTTGGGCGATGCATCGTTGGGTTGCTTTGGAGGTTTCATGGCCGAGATGCGAGGGACGGATACTGACAGCAAGCGCCACTAATAAGCGGTGATATGTAGTAATGGCGTCCAATGTGCTTTCGTGTAAGGCATCAACCCCCTCTCTGTCGGCAACGAATAGGGCTGAAACAAGCTGGGAACTTGCAGATTCAAGCGCTGCAGCTCGAGGCGAGGGTGGTGAGCTAGCAGCATCAACATATACTTTTCTCAACCCATCTCATGGCGCCCCCCTGACACCTCACAAGAGCTAACCGCTTAGCAGCTGCAACTGCAGGCATCTGGGAGGAGTCGAGATCCCACGACAGTGCCCCATCACATGTCCGGTTGGAGCAGTGGACCTGTCAAAGGTTTATGCGACAAAGGCAACAAGGTCAGACCGCATCTCTGACGCACCGGCGGATGTGACGCAGGCGGGAATGAAAGAGACGAAACAGAAAGAAGCACTGCCGAACAAAAAAGGAGGAGACGAAAGAAGGCGTTATTCTTAGCAAGGCTGACGGCGATCAGCTGCATGTGCAGAGCCCGTGGTGTGGAGGAGCGTCAGCAGACCAACAGATGCGAGACTTGGCCGTCTCGGCACTGCTGCGGATTCTTGGCCCTTGACTGGGGAGAGAGTCATGGCGGGAGAAGGGAGTTGCAGCCACCAGGCAACAATCACGGGGAGGATGAAATGTGGCAATCTGAAGGTGATGAGTCTGAGAGCTGCGAACAGAGAAGCGTGAGGTTCGTGAGATGCTCGAGCAAGAGACAAGGATCGCAAGGTGACCGCGTTCTATGACACCCAGTGTAACTCAGAGCCGAGTCAGGCACATGGACCGGCTGCAGTCAAGACCTGGTTGCGAGTGACGCTCGCGCACTTGATCGTGGCCGGAAGCGGAACCGAGTCTCGTGCTTCGAGGTCGGCAGCATCATGGGAGGCAGCAGCTGCATGACTGTTTGCCGAAGCTGGATCGAGGACACGACCGGCAGTTTGTGATCTCCAGATGCCATCGCGGGGGAGCTGCTCCCCTGGACTTTTAGCGGGCTTCCCCCGCCTGCAAATTCACGTCTTTACAGGTAATGCCTGTGCTGCAGTTTACCGCCATACACTGTCTAAGGCACTGCACTCGAAAATCGTCTGATTTAACCCACGTTACATTGACGGTTCTCTGGCTTCCATTATTTCATCCATAATCGATTGCTGATCGGTGGCAATGCCGTATGTGTTGTCGGGACTGCATGCATCTACGTGGTGCAAAAGTAAAAAGCAAGCGCCCTCGTTTCACCTTGATATCAAAGGCAAAAAGAGAATTCTGACGAGAGTGGGACTCGAACCCACGCGGATTGCTCCACCAGGAATTTGCTTGTTAAGGTAGCCTTAACCTGACGCCATAACCAACTCGGCCATCTCGCCGTATGATTTCTGCTCGTCTTTTTGATACTATGAGGTCGGCGGATGTTCCTTCTGGAAGCGCCGCGCCAAATAGTTCCAGCATCCTCACCAGGTTGGGAGGGCTTGTGACGTTCCTCGTTTCTACCTTACCCAGAGGCACCATGTAGTCCAGTATCAGGTCTTTGCATGTTAAGATTAAAGATACTTTAGCGTCAGCGGAGGTGCTTGCGCAAATGCTGTACACAATGTCTGTAAGAGAACGATCTCGTCTTATTCAAGGTCTAGGTTCTCCGCAAATGGGACACTTTGCCAGCATCTGCTCCCAAGATTGCGGTACCACTACTACGAATATGAAGTGATGTGCTTCGAGGAACCTGTCAGGTAGTATTCCTCAATCCTAGTCAGTAGTACCGGTAACATGTCCAGGGTCTCTTGAAGATGGTCGCCGCTGTAGGAATGCCCAAATGTTTCCACGTGCCCGTCTCGAGTTGCCATCTGTCACTTTAGAATGGACTTTAGACATGGCACATTCCGGTGCAGCGAGTCTCCAAGCCTCGACGTCACCTGATTGATAAGAAAGCCCAGGTTGATGTAAAGCATGTTTGGCCCATCTTGCCGCCTAGCATCCAAGTGCTGCCTCGTACAGCGTGGGAAGCCGTCTTCCAGCTCTAGCAGCGTTCCTCGCACAATCCCGCGGGCACTTTGGCGCGCCCGCTCCCAATGGGAGCCAACGAGAGAACACAGACTTGCCATTTGTCAATAGGATTGGCGAGGAGCGGACGTAGGAACATGCGGCACGAAGGCGAGGCATCGCGGTGGTACTCGGGGGTTGTCTGCAGCAGCAAGACCTGGGAAGCATCAAAGCGCTCGCGCAAGTCCGTCCGTCTTTCATTAGCGCCGGGATGGGGGCGCTTTTGGTTGTCTAATTGAGCAGCTGGCCGAGAAGCTGCACAAAGCCTTTGGAACTGGGCGATCGAGCTTGCTTTTGCGAGATGGGCTTTGCGAGCCAAATCCACGACGCGATCTGGAATGAGAAGCCTGCCACTCTATAGAAGGCTTAGAAATGCCACCGCACCATGCAGCATCTTCAGTCTATTATTGCTCGCGTTCCGTTGGCGTGGTGCAAAGGAGCCCGAACCTGCATCACGAGAGGGATGGCGAAGCACCAGGTTGTATTACTTGGCGCAGCGTCGGCGGATTAGACCTCAAAGCAGCGAGACCATTTGGTCTTCCTCCTTCCGTCGCTTCTCTTTTCCTTTGTCCCCTTTCAATCCAAGGTGGGTAGCGAGAGAACGGACTGACGGGAGCGTGGCTGGCGGACTCAGCCCAGGCCAGGCATCATGGCACAGCTGGCTCTAGCAGCCCGAAAGGCCGTAGGATAAAATAGGAAGGGGAAGCGGGTAGGAGAGAGTAGCCAAGCAATGTAAGTGAGAAACTAAAGGAACAAGATTCTGCTTTCTGGCCGTAAAGCTTTGAGGGCGACTTGCTTCGCGATGCCTTTCTGGCTTTGGTATCCTTTGTGACGGAGGTGATGGGCATTGGGCAGTTAGCACACACACGAGGACGCACATTCATTGGTACAGATCCGTCAAGCTGTGATCAGCAAGTGGTGCTTCCACAGACGCACACTAAAAGTGGCGGGCTTCACCCGCACGACAAGCAGCCGCAGCGAGCGTCTGCCATTACCCGCCGCGCTCTGTCAAAACAGAGACATTCTCATGCAGATTCATCAAATTTCATAGTAGTAATAAGTTGCTTTTCCTGCCTCTGTTCTTCCTGTCTCTGTTTCACTTGTTTCTGGCGGGAAAGGGACACGGTGCGCGAGGCCAGGCCAGCCAGGCCGGCGGTTGGTGGTGTTCGGTTGGGCGGTCTGTCGAGGTAAAAAGTTCGACCTTCTCATACATGATACGTACTGGGCTTGTGGGGGGTTGAAAAGGACCGCGTGAGGAGATTCAGTTTGACGGGCCTCCAGGGGAGATGAATGAGCGAATATGGCGAGGTAACGAGCTCCTCCCCCCTTTGGGCTGCGGAGCGCTGTCACCGCAAACGAGCTGCTTATTGTCATTCGGGAGGGGGTAGGAATAAGATTTAAGAAGCTTTCCCCTTGTTTGAATCGTTGATTCGTATTTAGTACTCCATGGCAGCCGTGAATGACGGAGGGCCGTGAATGGAAGCGAGCCCATATGCTGATACCAGTGGTAGTATTACCCGATTGTATCGGTGGCGGCGGGCGGGCTTGATGCTGCTGGTGAGAGCGGAGAATTTGATTGTGTGCCCAGCCCAGCGTTTTATGCGTCTGGTGCGTCGAATGGATCTGATGCCGCTGGCCGAGTCGCTGTAGCCACTAACCCAAGGTACCTCAGTAGGCGACGGGAGCAAAGTACCAGCCCGGCGCGAGCAGTGAGTGCGAGTACTTTCCCTTCGTTCAATGTGCCCGTAGGCCTGGCGACGCAGAGCTGGAGCTAATAACGGGCATGGCCTGTCGGCAGGTACCAGACCGGAGTGAAGGCAGGCTACGGTATTAGGCCTCTGCCTCTTCTCACCCATAACTACTTGACCCCCCCTTCCCCCGTTCCTCGCCGCATTTCCTCCCATTTTCAATCACTTCCTGGGCTCTCCTCCCCTCCGTAGGCCCTCGTTCTGGTCGCTCTCGACGCCGTTTTCTTTGCGCGTTGCCGTGCGTGGCTCGTTTCTGCTTCACGGGCTCACTTACATGGCTAGGATCTGATTACCTCACCCAGCCTGTGGAGGGACCCCCACGACTGGCGTCAATCGGGACGAGGAAAAGCAGCCAGCGAAAAGCAGCAGCACAGCGGCGACAGGATGCGAGAGAAAACGGCCAAAATCGCTCGTCAGGGCCCCGAGTGGCTCTCGAATGAGCATCGCGAGCAGCACACGAAAACGAGGGCGCAGAGCAGAAACATCACGATGCGAGCACCGGTCTTGTCGGAGGGGCCGCTGAGAGACTCGCCCATGGCCCAGCGGCGCTGCCATCAGAGTGCGCTGTGACAGGGGTGGCTGACCCTGTGGAGACTGGACAGCGGCATCAAACGGTGTCACAAGGCGACACGACAACCCCAGGATTCGTGCCATCCCGGTCGACTCACTGGCGCCATGCCCGATCGCATGCGCGGCAGCTTGGATTTGCTCAGCTTCTGATGCTTGCGAGCGGCTGCAGAAGGCAGACTGGCATTGCCCAGATCGACTGCGACCGGTGGTGCGAAGCGAGGGCTGGACAGGCCGAAGCCTGGATCGTGGCTTGTGGCGGGGCCACCCACGACACCTTATTTTGGTCGGCGTGCAGTGCAGTCGACTCCTACATGATGTATCGACGGCCGGCAGCACGGACGAGTGACACCAGAGGCAAGCTGAGCCGTGAGAGGCGAGGAGCTCTGGTGGTTACAGCATCGATTGGCTCGGCATGCTGGCCAGAAGATGTGCGCGAAATGAGCGGTTTGGTTTTCCTTCGCGCGCCCACGATCCCCGTTACCTTACCTTGGGGTGGCATACGTGCTGTTATATGGTGGCAACCAAATCGGCCAGTGCCGCAATTGGCGCCACATTGACGCCCAGAACGCAGCACAAGTTGGACAAGCATAAGGCGAACCATCGACGGCGTCGTGGGAGGAATTGGTCCTCAGTCGATTCAGCAACCCCGGATTGGCAGCCCAGGATTACGATCCACGAAAGCGACTTCACGGCAAGGAATGGGTTGAGTTACAATATGCAGCCATGTTCGACTCTCGGCTTGTCGCCAACCGGACGGGATGAGCATTACCTTGTGCGGCGCACTCCGAGAAACGATGTTTGCCTGACAGAAGATGCTCTACATTCTCTTGCTGGTGATAGCACTTTGTCACAGCCAACGAGCTCATGGCAAGCGTGTGCTGTCAATTTCTTCCGGCAGGAATTCCGACGAATCCAGGTCGCAGTCCATTCATGGCCGTCCGAGACCATTATCGACATCCGGTGCAACCCTTGAAGAAACAGCCCCAGCAACTCGCCTACTTGCTTGTTCTTGTGGTGACGATTGACGTTTGGCTCTCGGCGAGGGAAAAAGAGGGTAGAGAAAAGAAAAAGAACAAGCGCCTGCGACTCTATACAGTACCTGCTGCTGCACCGCTGCAACACGCGATTCAGGTACTGCTCGCTTTTGGCTAGACCTCGGTCTGAATCTCATCGGAGATCATGTTTCGAGGACAGCCCTGGTCTCTATCGCAAAACGACTGATCCTGTCCAGCTGCGAATAGGGGACTGATAGCAACTTCAGTCTCGGATGTTAAGGAGCTCGCTGTTAGATGCGGCATTCTACTAACACGCAATGCCATTACTGGTATCGCGACACTAACGCAGTGCGCTCATTGGTCAGCGACCCACCTGGCTTTCCGGCGGCGTCAGCGCTAGGCCGCAACCAGGCTAGCCGTCTCAAGAAGGGAGCATTTCCCATCGGCCTGAAACCAATCTGCCAATCCAGCGAGGACTCGCAGTCATCCACCTCAACGCGCCTTAGGTAAGACCTGGCTCTCCATTCACTTCACGTCGCCTGCACCTCCTTGCCTCTCTGCTGCCCCCCAGGCGACATACCGATCCTGTCTCTATCGCATCGCTACGGCTAGCGAACGCCTCTGCCCCGAGCTCTCGATAGTCAGGGCGCTGCGTGGGAGCCGCCGAGGTGGCTTGTTGTTGCTTGCGTCGGCGCCGATCCGAACCAGGACGCCTCCTGCAACGAAAATTTCTCCTCCAGCACACGCGCTCGCTGCCCCTGCGCTACATCCACTGCCCATAGGCCCGACGGGCGTGCCGTGTACCTCCCTCGTACCGGTACCTCGACACGCGCAGTCCGCTGCGGCTGCCCCGACCCAACGCGAGGTATCCGTACCTGACACGGGCGCTGCTATTTACCACCTTGCCTTAACCTCCTAATCTCCTGCACCGAGTCGGCCCCGTCGCGGGTATCACCAGGTACGTCCGTTTGCTAGCGTCTGCCGCGGCGCCGCGAGGTACCTCGATTAGTGGCGCTGCCCCCTCCCTTTGGCCCTCTTGTCTCCCGGCTTCAGCGCTGCTGCGCCGCTGCTGGGCCCAGCGCGCAGGTGGTTCCAACAGCGACGGAGCGGAGTACCTGTGGCTACATCCGGCCTGCCTGTGCTAGCGCTGCCCGCGGCTGGTACTTGGCGGTACCTCCACTGCCATGAATCCGACGCCTGGGCTGGCATGCCGCACTGCCTGCCACTGCCGCTGCCGCTACCGCTACCACTGCCTGCTACCTGCCCAGCGCCCACCCGGAGCCCCCCCCAGCCAGCGCTCTTTGTCTGGCTGTCGCCCATTTCCCACACGCACACACACATACACATACGTCCTCTCCGCCAACCCGCGACGCGACTCAACGTTGTCGTCCATCAAACCACCCACTGTGCCGTGTTACGGCCCCGTCTCCATCCATCCCTGCGCCCATCAATGGGCTCTGTGGCCGCCGTGCCTGCTGATTTCGCTGACGTCGCCGCGCACAGCTTGTCGGGCTCATCGCCATGAGCACCTGGATGAACGACGCAGTCCCGAACCACAATGGCAACGGCTTCCCGCACATGACTGACCCCAGCTCTGCCAGTGCCATGATGGACCCTTCCGTCTTCATGACCAACCCGGGCCAGTTCAACCCGGCCGCCCAGTTCCCCAATCAACAGCAGATGGCCATGCAGAACGGCCCGATGCGCCACGCCTCGCCCTCCGCCTACCAGGCGACCCAGGTCTACCAGACCAATTCGGTCATTCCATCGAAGCGCCCGCGGCCGCGTGAGGATTCCATCTCCGGCTCTCCGAGGCAGAATCCGGGCATGCTCCCGACGTCGCGCTCCGAAACGCCGCAGCAGCAGGCCTTCCCCGGCTTCCAGCCTGGCGCCATGCCTCAGCAGAACGCCGGCCAGTTCTCCCACCTGCAGACCAACGGCTCGGCCAACGCCAGCCCCTCGCCCATCATGGGGAACCAAATGCGCCCGGGCAGTGTTCCCCAGCGAGTGGCGACGGCCTCGCCTCATCCGTTTTCCCCCGGTGCCCAGCAGTTTACGTCCCAGACGTCGCCCATCACATCGGAGCATGGGACGCCGCAGCCGAATCCCTACATGCAAAACATGCCGCAGGGCTACAACCCGGCCTTTGCGCAGTCCCCGTCGAACCCGCGCCCGTCTCCGAATCCTAACGCGATGCCGGGGAACCCCATGATGGCCCAGCAAATGGGGCAGATGGGACAGCCCATGGCCCAGATGCCGGCTGCCATGTATGCTCAGATGCAGCAGCAGCAGCAACTTCAACAACAGCAACAGCAGCAGCAGCAGCACCAGGCGCACCAGGCACAGACTCAACAGCAGCAGCAACAACAACAGCGGCCGCAGCAGGGCATGACCGAGGGTCAGAAGATGGCTGCCTACCAGATGCGGCTCCAGCAACAACTCCAAGGTACCATGCAGATGCAGGCTCAAATACAGGCCCAGCAGAATCTCGGCCGTGGAATGATGGCGAAGCAACAGCAGATGGCCGGTATGCCCAATGGTCAGATGCCCCCCGGACCGATGCGACCGCAGCACCGACCAACTGGCAGCATCAACGGAGAGCAGTTCATGAAGAACCTTACAGCACTCATGAGTAAACAGGGCCTCCCCTTGGACGTGAACCCCATGATTGGAGACCGGCCCGTCAATTTGATGATTCTGTTCCAAGCCGTGTCATCCAAAGGTGGTTCCAAATCGGTCACTGTCGCGAACGCCTGGGGCCACATAGCCCAAGCCTTGGGGCTTCCGGCGCAGATACCCAACGTTCCTCTGGCGCTCAAGCAGATTTACGACCGCAATCTTGGCAAGTTTGAAGAGGTCTGGATAGCTCAGCAGAAGCAGAGGATGATGCAGCAGCAACAGCAGCAGCAGCAACAACAACAGGCGACTCTCGCGAACCAAGGCGCTCCCCAGAAGCAGGTCGTACCGGGCCAGCAGATGAACCAGGGCCAAATGCAGCCGGGCCAGCAGCAGCAGCAGCCACCACCACAGCAACCTCCGCATCCGCCTCACGTGCAGCATCATACGCCGGTCAAGTCTGGCCAGCCCTCCATCAACGGTTTCTCGGCGCCGCAAACTCCACAGCTGCATCAGCAGCCGAATGCTGTTCCTGGCCATAATAGAAATAGCCTATCACGCAGCATAGATCAAGCCGGGCCGAATGACTTCTCAATACCCTCCCCGGCCCACTCGAGACCCGGAAGCATGGTCTTGGGCCCCGTCGACGGCAGGCCGATGGGCGTCTTGAATGTCGAGCAGCAGATGCCCCAGCTTCCACCGAGATCAGAGGAATACAGCCCTTGCGCGCGAGAGCTTTCCACGTATGGCGGAGTCGATCTCCATGCGGCAAACTTGCTCGGCGCGGAGCTGGAGCGCTGGAAGCCAACTGTCCCACCGGTGAACGACCTCGGCAACATTGATATAGCTGCACTTACCCGTAGCCTGCAAAGTGGGATACATGGAGAAGTCCGCCTCGCTCTGGACACGCTCGCGACGGTATCTCACTCGCCAAACCAGGCACATTTCCTACAGCTGCGATACTGCGACGATTTGGTGGATGCGCTCATCGATTGTGCCGAGGAACAGCTCGAGCTCCTCACCGAACACACGGTGGAAGTATCCGACGACATCCAGCTCACCCCGTATGAAGAGGTGGTCCGGGCGTGTCGCATCGAGCGATGGGCAATCCGAGATGTTCCCGCTTTTGGCACTCAAGAATACGAACTTGACCGAGCCGTCGATCGATTGGTGTGCATCTCCACCATCTTGCGCAATGTTTCCTTTCCGGGCGAGAACAACGACAACCACGTTATACTCGCTGATGAGTCGGTCATCAAGTTTCTCTGCACCGCGATCAGATATCTCGGCACTCGGACAATGCTTCTCCGAACCCATAACAACACCCTTGACTTCATGAAGGACGTGGTTATCCTCCTTTCGAACATTGCCGGCTCAGTCGAAATTCCCGGCCGAGAACAGGCTTCGTGTCTCTTGCATTTCTTGCTGGCATTTGCTCCGGTTCCCAATCCGACACTGACTAACGACACAATCTTCTTCACCAACTATGATCCGAGCGTTCATACCTATCTTCCCCACGCTGTGGATGCCTTGGCCAAACTGCTTGCTCGCGATGAGCCCAATAGGGGTCATTACAAAACCCTTTTCGCTTATGATGCCGCCAACCAGCCCCCATACGAGCTCCTCACTCGGACCTTTGCGCTAGCCATCTCACCGATTCCAGACAAGGCCAAGGAGCGCGATCGACCAACGAATTTCCCTTCGCTTGTGGAAGTCCGGAAGCCGTATCTGATGCAAGGCCTGTTGGCTGCAGAGATCCTTGCGGCCTTGGCCCCTGGTGCTGAGTCGAACCTTGTGAGGACCTGGTTGAGTGCAGCCAACGGCCTGGCGAACAACCTCTTCCGTCTCGGTCAAGAGCTGAGTCGCATGTACGAACAACCGCAAGCCTACGGTCGCGGACCTGGACGAGCTGCACCACGCAAAGATCCCGAGCACCTCTACATTTCTGTTCTCGCGATAGCTTTGCTTAGGCGACTTGTCGAAAAGTCAAGGGATCCTAACAATCCTGCCGTTGCTGCCGCCGGACCATTCCTACCCACGACACAGGCGTTGCTGGAGGCGTTGTCCATGCACAGCCCTGAGTGGTCGAAGGAAGGTTTACTGCAGCACTTGTCGACAATAATAAGTTTAGCAGGATGAGTCTGGATCTTTTCATTGTTTTCACCTTTCGAAAAAGGGTTCTAGGATACGAGCATTGGTGCGGGATGGGTTGTCCCGCTGTCTTTTCTCCCTTTTCCTTTTGTTTACCCCTTGAAAAAATTAGGAGGCGGGGGCTTGAGGGAGACTGCGTTCAGGGTTCTTTTTTACATTGGACAATGTCAACAAATGATCAGATGTGTAAATGCTATTGTATGGGGTCGATAATGTTTGTTTTAAGCCGTCCGTCACAAGTGCGATGGTGCATAGGTGTTCAATATCAGCGGGTTTGGAAAGGTGGAATTCTCGCAGACTTATCGCGGCGTCTGTGTACATAGGAGTAGGGATGTTACATACACTGATACCTCTTTTCTGATGGCCAGGATGACCTTGTTCCTTTATTGATTTGTTGTACATAAATATGCAAGATGATACATGTGAGCGTCTAAGCTCGAAAGGTTTCTTGCCAATGCCGGTGTCTTACCATTCCGACCCAGGCCAGGATTCACATCCCCTCTCCCCAGATAATATACACAGGTCGGGGAACCTTTAGAAACCACGCGCAAGCAGCCATCCCCTTGCCTTATCGAAATGGTCTCCCTGAATCAAAGAAAGTGTGTGTTAGTGACTGTGCCATCTATTAGGCCTTTCCCGGCCAACAAGAGAAGAAACTTGGCTGTGCTTTACCTTCAATTCTATATGTTGTGTTGTCGGGTTGATCCTCGCGTCCTCCCGAGGGATACCAAGGTCTCCCACTAATTCCTCTAGCAGCCGTATCCTGTCACCATCGACCTTCTTGATCAGGACCACCTGGCGCGTGCCGCCGGACTGCCACCTGCGGTACACGGGCAGCTGGACGGAGGGCGTGCGGCGCACGATGTAGCCGAGGCTGACAAGCTCCTCGGGGGTCTTTGTCGGCGGAGGGACGGGGGCGCGGCTCAACTGGCGGAGGTGCGGAGGGATCTTGGCTTTCTGGTTGGGGTTCTGGCGAGGCGAGGCTGAGGCGGACGAGGGCTTGGTTGAGGAGAGGAATGCCGTTTGGATCGTGGGACGGAAGAGGGTTCTTGATGAGGGGTTGAGGGGCAACTGGAGGGCTGGTCGGATGGTTGCGCTCCTCAGGGGGAGGGCTCTGGGGATGAGGTAGCTCATCTTGGCTGGCTGTGATGTTTGTTGGAGTTGAAGATGGGATTTTGGGATTGGCGATTAGCTCGGTTTATCAGCCGTGGGCTGGCGCACAAGGTTCGTATACGGATCGCCTCGCTGGATTCAGCAGACCAGAAGAGGAAATGTACCAATTGACAATCGAAAACAGCCTTTTCAACAGTCCGCAAGTCTCACTACCGATTCGTGGCCGCTTTATCAAGCCTTCTTCTGCTCCCCTCCAAAGTAACTTTTTCAACATGCTAAGGTAGATCTCCGGATCACATGATGCGCCGCAAAACTAGAGTTTCGCTGGCGGCGGATCTTCGGACAAAAAGCTGGAACCCCCACAACCACTTTGTGTGTTATTCGCGAAATTCACCAAAAATCTGCCCCTCCATTGACTGGGCGAGCGAATCTTTTTCTCCAGCAGTAGCGACGACCTCCCTCCCTCGACTCCTCTCCCACGACAACCCCCTACCCCGGCCGCGGTCAGATTCTACTTGCCTGCGACGACCACCCAATTTTTCACCATGGAGGACATTCTGAAGGCCCTGCCAGCCGATGGCTCGTCAATCCTGCACAAAGTCGCGCCGCACCTGAGCCGTCACTTGCTCTTCCCGCTGATCCAGTTCGAGGGCGAGCAGGCCGAGGAGAAGGGCGATGCCGAGCTGGCCAAGAAGATCCTGTCGGGCAAGATCAAGCTGCTGGATGACACCAACATGACCGACTACGTGGCGAGCCTGTACTGCGAGCTGCACGGCGTGGCCGAGGCCCCGGCCGAGTACACCAAGAAGAGGCAGGACGTGCTGGCACAGCTGGACAAGTACGAGAAGGCGACGGAGCAGATTGCGAACCTGCTGACCCAGGACGAGGTCGTCAACGGCCTGCGGAGCGACAAGGTGGCCAACTTGGAGTTTCTCAAGAACCAACACGGAGTATGTGCAATCACCGACTAGAGCGCAAAGCCTTTTTGGTTTTGCTTGCGTGTCCCTTCTCCCCCCTTGGTAATCCCCGATCGATATGCTAATTGACTCTTCTCTACTCTTTCACCAGGTCACCATCGACATGGTAAACGCTCTGTATGACTTTGGCCAGTTCCAGTTTCGATGCGGTCAGTACGGCCCTGCCGCCGATATGCTCTACCAGTTCCGAGTTCTCTCCACCGACAACGACAAGGTGGCCGCTGCGACCTGGGGAAAGCTTGCTTCCGAGATCCTGTCCACGAACTGGGAGTCTGCCGTCGATGAGCTCAAGAACGTCCGCGAGGGTATCGACACCAGACTCTTCAACAACCCCCGAGCCCAGCTTGACCACCGGACCATGCTTATCCACTGGTCTCTCTTCCCCCTGTTCAACTTCGAGGGTGCCCGGGAGCCCATCCTGGACATGTTCTTCTCTGCGTCCTACATCAACACCATCCAGACCTCTTGCCCCTGGATCCTGCGGTATTTGATTGCTGCCGTTATCACCGGCCGCACGCGCGCGCGCAACAGCTCCGTCCAGCAGAAGCAGCTCAAGGACATTGTTCGCTACGTTCGACAAGAGGCCTATGAGTACGCCGACCCCATCACCCAGTTTGTCAACGCCCTCTACATTGCCCACGACTTCAACGCTGCTCGCGAGGCTCTCCGCCAGGCCGAGGAGGTGTGCCGCAGCGATTTCTTCCTGGCTGCGTCCACCGACGCGTTTGTCAACGCCGCCCGACACCTCATTTGCGAGAGCTACTGCAAGATTTTCAGCCGGATGAACATTCGGGACCTGAGCGCCAAGCTCGGCCTGAACCCCGACGACGGCGAGAAGTGGATCGTGAACCTGATCCGCGAGACTCGCCTGGATGCCAAGATTGACAGCCAGGATGGCACTGTCATCATGAACCACCCTCCCAACAACGTTTACCAGCAGGTCATTGAGAAGACCAAGGGCGGATTCTTCAGAACACAAGTTCTCAACGCTGCCGTCTCCAAATAAAAGAAGCGGTAAAGGAGCTTGCAGATGTGTTTGAAATAGCAAACTCGCCTGGCGCTGGGCAACGGGAGCGATTCGGAGGATGTTAGGCCGGGGTTTGGGACCATGGCCACGCGGGTGGACGACCCGGTGAACGATCCCCAAAGACGAAAAGAAGACTGCCGATGTTTCTCTCTCCATATAAAGCTCCTCGAACACGGTCGGATTTGCAACAAGGAAGAAGAAACAAGAGGGAAAAAAGGAGCAAAGAAAGAGTAGACCGGCCCTTGTTTTTTATATCACATGTTCTTTTTTATCTCTCTTCCTCTCTCTGGTGATGCGGTTTGCATTGCACGGCGTTTAATAGGTATAAGACAGGGATGGGGAGGATGTCTTCTTGAGGGAGGAGAGGGCCAGGGTCGTTTTTTTAATGAAATTGACTGTTTTGTGCAATGATGAAAGAGGTTTTTAATTCACTGTGGAATGATTGCTTTTCGTCACTTGTGATGACTTGTGTAAAGCTTTTACTCGGATCATTCTAGGAACACAGGGGTTTGAGACAGGAGCGATCAGCTAGCACTTTGGCTTGGCTTTGCATTCGTCAAGCGGGATCAATGCCGTCGTTGGTGTGTATAGGCTTTGTGAGGGTGAAGTTTGCAAGGTCAGCCTTTATACGTCGTTTTGGTGCTGCAGTATGACGACGGTTAGGCTGTCGTTCGTTGCTGGGGACGTGGGTTGAAGAACTGATACCTAGTATGGCACTTTTCACAGGTCAACGCTGATTTTCTGGACCTCCAGATAGTACCAAGAGGTAATTGTTCAATCTCTCCCTATAAGAGATTCCTTATTCAGATCAATTGGAAGCATCTTCAAGCTTGTGATATGCGTAAGGTACTACTACTACTGCAGGGCCAGGGCCTACAGGCATCTCCAGGGCAGTCTAGGTAGATCTATCAGTGCTACCGTCCCATACTAGGGAGCCAACCCCACTAAAAATTGCTGCCAGAGCTCTTTGCTTCAACCAGTCGGATAGCCTCAGCTACCTTACCTACCTTACATATCCATCACTCAGACATCCAACTGGAGCCATCGCCAGACAATAACAACAACACATGGCACTCCGGCATGGCCACCGTCCAATCTCTAGGGCTGCACCAGCCGGCAGGGCTCCAGCGTGCCATTGACGAGCAGCTCCTCCCTCCAGACGCGACGCCCTCATCCTACGTCTGGGACGTCGTGACCGACGACAACGGAGAGGGGCCCGTGGAGGATGAATTGTTGACGACGGACAATTGCGTCGTGTGGTGCCGCGGAGGCATCTTCCGCAAGTCGTTCCGGTTTGACCTTGAGAAAGAGACCATCACGCAAGCCCTCCTGACCTACTTCCCGACGTCGGAGGATGAGGGCGGCAGCAGCCGCAGGGCTTCCACGGCCCTCGAGAAGGGCTTGGTCGTCTTTCTCAAAACCCAGGCCCACATCTACATGCTCTCAGGGACAAGTCATGTTGTACACATGCCGTTCGAGGTGGAATCGGCCTGTGCCGCTCCCGTGGGCGTCATCATCCAGACGAAGCAGAAAGCCGAGAATCTGGCGCCGATATCCCTGAAGTTTCCTCGAGTGCCTCCCAACTCCTTCGTGTCGTCCCAGTTGACTGCCTTTAGCGGTTCTCAGCAGACGGCATTCTCAGTGGAAGGCCTTGGAAAGCCAAAGGCACTGCCGGTGGGACTGAACATGACGCTGGAGAACATGTGGGATGCGCCCTTGGAGCAGCCCGAATCGCACTGGCCTCGGTTGGTGGCTCTCACCGATCCACTGTTGGATATTGGGCTGGTGGTGACAGATGCAGAGAAGCCTGCGTCAAAGGGCGGGAAGCGGGACAAACCTACAAAAGTGCATGGCTTCCTCAATCCTGCAGA